ACACATCTTGAAATATGCATCCCAAAAAGACGTATGTGATTACTTCGTTCTTATCTGTCTACGAGAAGGGCTGAGTGATGTGCAGATAAGCACCTGCAGTGGCTTCAAGACACTGGCTCATGCAGAAACAAAGTTCTCGGGAGGAATGCGCTCGACCGGCATGGGTATGTGCATTTGCGCTCGACATGAATTTGTCCAAGCGAATGGGGTTGGTGACCTCCAGAAAGGTGAAAGGCACATTCTCAGGCTAACCCTGCCTGTCACACGACACTCACGGTTTCTTTCAGGTATTGCAACATGGACTACATCTTGCTTGGTGCGCTTGCACCGATTGCATTACTCAGTGTTTTCGTCTCCTACGACATTGCTTGTCAATTCAAGGTCAAGTTCCACAAGCGGATGGTTGAGTTACCGAAGGATGTCCATATCCCCGACAATGTGTCCATGGATTGGGGCATCCCCAAGTGTCACTGCCCAATGCATAAAGTGCCTTGTCAGGCACCGCACTCGTTGAATCTAAAACCAGGGGTTGGTCGAACGGATGGGGAAGGTATTGAGCAGAGTTGGGCGGAAATGAATCTGGTTGCGAACAGTACGAAAGAGATGGGACCAGGGTCACGCCACGACACCCTCGACGACCACTTCGGACACCACAACTGGCGCAAGAAGGTTCGTTTGGGTAAGTTTCCTCACTTTCTCAGTTGTTTTCCGGCTTGACGAACTCTTTCGATAGGCGTAAGTTTACACACTCGGTTACTCTTGGCGATACCCGAGCAGAAGCGCCAACAAAAGATTTTCGAAGACTTCTCTGCATCGTTGCGCGATGAGGCATTCGTGCCAAGATGGACAAAAATGGTGGAGGAGTGGGAGAAGGACCCATCCAAACCAAACCCTTACATGTCTATCGTTGCTCGTAAGTTTATTTGTCTCTACTCCTTGTGTCAAATTATTAATTATTGATAGACGCTTCTCAAGATGACGTGAAGCGGCAGTTACTACTGGAGGAAAAGGAGTCATTGAAGGCCAGCATTCCCCAAATTCACGACACAGGTCCCACGTCGTTCATTACCATGGGCCTTTTGGTCGAAGACACTCAGTAAGTAATTTAACATATAGCCGAGATCTTGCTCACTCTGTTATTGTGCTTAGATGACGGATCGCCTGGGATGCTCGGGCGGAAGAAGAAATGACATTAAACCAGAGCAACGACATCCACCGCCGGCGGCTACTCCTACACCGGCAGCTCAAACAATTCCGCAATTTACAGGCTGTCTACATGCCCACGGCATCTTTGATGATGGCCTAGTATGACGAGGCACAGAAAGCCCTGCCAGCCGAGGAACGCGCTCGAGACTAGTGTTCGCAGGTCCAGTTAAGTCCAGTTTTTTACCTCAAAACGACGCAACTGGCAACCGCAACCGGTCTAGACCGATCCAAATATTGAGGGACCGCAACCGGACCGCTTTGGACCGGTCCTAATCGGTCCACAACGCGAAAAAGACTGGTCCAGACCAGTTGCGACCAGTCTTTTGTTGTAAAATTTATTACACCACAGAAACTAAATATTACCTCACGTACATTGCATACATAGATAGATATTTTAATTCTCCGTAGACTGATTAAAAATCTAAGCAATTCCGTCAAGATTTGACTGAGGTAGGGCGAAAACAGAAAGGATGTACATTTGAATCACATGTATAAAAATGTTTTTGGCCATATCTCAACCAATTCTTGACCGTTTTTGATGATTCAGGGACCGAAAATTAAGTAAAATGTGCACGAGTAAGGTCCAGCACGTGATGGGACAAAAGACCGGTTGCAACCGGTCTAAACCGGTCTTTTTCAGTTTTTATATATTTACAAAAACATGGCAACTGGCAACTGCACTGACCACAAATGTGGGCAACTGCAACTGGAAAAAGACTGGACCATGGTTCAGTCCAGTTCAGTCCTATGTATATTTTCAGTCCTGTAGACTGGACCTGCAAACACTACTCGAGACGAAGTCGAGTTTCATTTACTCTGGCTGCCTTCCGCTCTGCCTGACGACCACAGACTTCACAACTGCCATGCAAACCTCGTCACTATCGAAACCAAACTACGCCAAGCCCAGTGCTACGACACCCTCGAGAAAATCCGAAGTCTCCAACGTGGCTGCCTTTCCTTCATTGGCTTCCGCAACCGTAACATTCGTGGCCAAAACCCAAACACCAGAGCATCGGAAACCATCATACGGGTTGAGACAAAGTGCATGGCCCTCGCCGTCAAGTATCGCGAAGCGCGAGCAGCGTTGTTCAAGCTGATAGGACCGGGGGCTTGGGAGAATGAGCTGAGGGAGCTGTCGCACAAGGATTTGACCACGCCAGATGGGACCGAGATCAGCATCGAGGATCCAAACGACATAATTGGGCCTGATGGCCGCCAAGTGAGCAAAAAGAAGAGATTGATCATCAAGTGCAAGTTAGGCAAAGGTTACCGCACTGTGTCCTGGATTTGGATGCGTGCCCCAGCAACAGGAGATCAAACAGATGCAGTGCTGCACGAAGGTTAGTAGAGACTGATCTGTATGTTCCAGAGGCTGATTTTCTTTTCCACAGCTGTGAGGATAGAGTGGGCCAAGGCACGAGCGCGTTATCTTCGTTGGTCTGAAGAGGTGCAGTTATTAAAAGAGGAGATGAGGAGGGTCCGTAAAACTCTAGAGTGGGAGGCTTGACAGTGGGAGGGTCGCACTGAGCCCTTTACAGCTGATGCCGCTGCGGTAGAAGGTATCAAGGCGTATGCTATGTGTCAGACGCAAGTGCGGAGGGATTTGCTGAACCATTTCACGAGGATGTGGGACAAGCCCCTGGTACCTGTGGTGGATAATGAGGATAGCGGGGAGGCGCCTCTCACAGCCTTGGACCCTAGTCTTGAGATGTTGGTGGAGGAGGAGGATTGAGGATTCGGAACATGAGTTCATGCGCGATCGGGCTGTTCGGGCAAAAATTATTGTATTTATATGTGTTTGCTGGGAGCTTCCAGCTGATCTGGTTATTGCCAGATCTCGTCATCTGAACATGGTAAGTCGCATCCAGCTATTCCAGTCAGAAAGAAGTGGGGGAATAGGTCTTGGCCCATTTGGTTATATTAGTAGATTTGTTTTCCAATGTTCTGTGATTTTTCCAACAGAGGAACTTGGTGTTTCGTCTACTTTTATATATTTGGAGGGAAACAAGAGATTGTTGATATATGTTTACCAAAAGCCCCCCAACAAATCCTAGGCCAAAGCCATGTGCCAGTGCATGCTGCAGACCCCTGGCTTGAATGCATGGTAAATGGCAAAGCATTAAGTGCAATAATGTGGGTGAGTAGGGCAACGACTACAGCCAAGGGTGGGACCTAACACACTCTCCACTTTTAGGTGCTGACATCTCAAGCGAAGCTATTTACCTGTTTGGTGGTCGGCATGTCCTGGACATGTACGTAGCACGCGACCCCATGTAGGTGGAGTGATTCATATTTATCAGGAGCTTGTATTGCTGGTACGGTGGCATCCTCTTTCAACATGCTTGCTCCATTTGTCTATGAGGCTGGAGAGGAGGCGCTTTGCACAGCGATGTTGACCATCAAGGACAGCATTGCGGAGGAGCAGGACTCCATGAATACGGAATTGAAAGACATGGTGTGTTCAAGGATTTCAGTAGATCATTTGTGGATTTGTTGAAAAGCGTCTTTGTGGTAGCTTTGCCCCCGTGTGGCCTAATGGTAGGGCTACTAGCTTTCCATCCTCTGGCCTGTTGGTGTATCACATCTACAGATGTTGTAAATTGACATGGGATTGAAATCAGAAGGTACCCACTGAAAGCATAATGTAAAAAGAAGAGCAGGGAGTGCTTTAATGGAGATGTGGTGCAGCTGCAGAGGGTTGTTGACTCTGTTGACGCCGCATGGTCTTAAAACACTCGATACAGTCGGCAACTAGCCTTGATCCTGCCTAAATCATCACTATTTGCGCCAAATTTGCGCACAGATCAACGCATTGCAGATTCTACTTTCTCAACAAGGCGATCTCCTCTCAAGCCATTTGTGCAGAGTCTTAATGGCATTTGGGTACAAGTCATCTCGAAACCAGTCATTACGATATGTAAACTATTGGTGTGTTGATACAGTCGCGGACAAACAAAGACAACAATTTCAGTAGCTTGGGAAGAAATGAATATTTTGACAATCTGACTTCAGATTCGAACTCAGGATGCGAAACTACGTCCAAAAACACCCCTCCAAAATTTTTCCCACAAGGGATTGGGTTGGCCAAAATTTTTGACAATTTTTGTCGTTTTGTTGGGGTCTTCAACAGGTCTTGGGACCCCCCCTGGCAGGCTCCCAATGCCGGTGGTCATTTAAAAATTGAGTGGCACTTGCTAAACATTGTAATTCTGATCAGAAGTTAATAATATGCATGTGTTGAAGGTGGGGAGGGGAAGGGGGTCAACAGGCCAGGGTTCATTTAGGGTCTGTGGGGGTGGGAAGACCCTGAGTTGCCATTTTAGGTGATTTAAAATCATTTTTTTCTGCAAGAACAGTAGTGTTTGGAAGTCCGGTCTCGTGACTGGAAAAAGACCGTAACCAGACCGGACCAAGACCGCAAAAGACCGGACCTGCGGTTACGGTCTTTTATTTTTGAAATGTAAAGACCGCAAAAAAACCGGTTAACGTGAACCGGTCTTGACCGGTTTGGACTGGTCTTTTATAGCCCCTTAAATACCCTTTAAAACGCACCCAAGAACGTACGATTTGGTAAAAAAACGAGAGAGATATGAATTAAAATGTAAATTACTTTTGGGAATAATAGATGTACCAGACTTATTTTATAGAAGCACCAATTCCTAACGGAATTTAACGTTCTTGGGCTCGTTTTGAAGCTATTAGAGATGTTAATAAATTTACCGATTCATAATTTTAAAATATTGGCCTAAAGACCGGTCATAAACCGGTTAAAACTGATGCAGACCGAAACCGGTCTATAGACCGCAAAAAACCGCAGTCTGCGGTCTTTTTGCGGTCCGGTCTGGTCTTTTGACTTCTGGGGAAAAGGCAGACCGGTTACGGTTACGGTTAACGCCCCTGGGCATCAAAAAACCGGACCGAACCGGACTTTCAAACACTAAAGAACAGCTTGTCAGATTTTCCCCAAACTTCAGGATCAGATACAGAATTGAAAAAGGAGTCGATTGCGCTATTTTTCATAATTTTAAGGGTTCATTAAGGGTCCGGCCAATATTTTTGGGCTAAAATTTCCCATTTCATCGATTTCGAAAAATCGGCTCGTGTAAATCAAAGCGTTGGGTCCTAATCTCCACGTTTCTGCAATAAAAAGTAATATTGAGGGTTGTGCAGGGTCCCCATCTCACAATCACCAAAATTGTTGTCTTTGTTTGTCCGCGACTGTAGTTCTGTGGTAGTAGCCCAAGGTCTAACTAAGGCTTTGTCAAGATGATCTAGACTTCGACCGTAACAGGTGTTTGTTAATCACAACGTATTTCCATCCTGCTCCTCTCCTGCAATCGTACCATGGCAAATGTTTCAAGCAGGCATTCCGCCTCATCCCACATTCTTGCGGTTTCTGTTGCGTTCTCAGGATCGCCATCTGTCGAGTCCCGCCAATCATCCGCAAAAGTGATCGATTCGATTCTGGGGAAAATATCGGAAAGAAAAGCGGCAACTTTGGGTGGGGCATTGATGGGAGAGTCTGCGACAGATAGGCTGGTCAAATTATTGTTGAAGAAACCAGGACTTAACCTCAGCTGGGTATTTTGAGCGTCAAAAACGATGCCTAGGTACGAGAGCTTAGAGCAACGTTGTGCAAAGGGAATGAGGTCCTCCGTTTTTATGATTGATGATCTTGGCCATGGAGACATATTGCCAAGTTCGAGGCTACGTATGTTGGGCCAGGCATCAGCTAATCTGTTCACTGTGTCACTCGTAAGTTGAATGCCAAAAGCAGGCTGGATATCAACGGTTTGAAGATTTGTGAACACAGACAAAGCCTCGAGTCCAATGTCAGAAATGAGTGCTTCTGGGGGTTCCAAGGCATTGCCCGACTCCTGCAAAGTAAGTGCTTCCAATGACGGATGGCAAATATGGCGACTGATGCTACTGAAGAGTTCCCTCCACTGGCGAAGATAACAAAGATCCCCAACCTGAATTTCGAGATCCTCGAGGGGACTAGAGGATAGGAGCTGCACAAAAGCAATCACAGCATTGATCGTCCTACAAGAGATTGATAAACTTTGAAGGGCAGGGTAACCACTAGTGGGGATGCGCGTAACGATCGGCAAGTGTTGATTGTCAGCGCGTGTCACATCTTGCAGGGAGTTAAGAGAAAGTGTTTGGAGGGATGGGATTGTTGCGAGATGCTCGAGAGCCTCTTGCGTCAATCCATTGACCGTTAGAGACTGAAGGCAGTTCCATTGGCAAATGGCAGAAGAAATACCCCGTCGATTTTCTTCATCGGAGTTGGAGGATTGGATATAGAAAGTCAATTCTTTCAGGGCTGGGCAAGAGTTAATAAGACCAGAAAGGATGGAGGGGGGACATGCATGGTCAAATATATTGGATAGAAAGACGGATAATCTGGTGAGTTTGGGAGAGAAGAAGAGATAGATGCACTGAAACATCGACCATTCCACTTCTTTGGCAAGGTATCCATAACCCCACATAAGGTCTTCAAGATTTGGAAGGAGGGGCCTCATATGCAATGTTGCCATGCCTAGGGCTTGCAGAGCCCCAATGTCAACAGAAGGCGTTGAGTCCACACGAAGTTTGCGTATTCGTTGGGCATAAGATGGCAATCTTGTCAAGTCAGAGAGTAAGATCGGCCTGCGCAAACACTTTGGGTCGGAAAAAATCAGAATGATTCCACTAAGATATATTTGAATTCACAAACGTACCAATATGTGAACCTGGCGGGACCAATCCTTTGCCTTCATCTCAAACAGGTCGGACGGCATCGTGCAGAGAAGCGGACGCAATCCATCAATCTCACGCCAAAGGACGTCGAGAGCTGGCCCTTCGAAAGCACGACATGTGAGAGCAAGGGATGCCAAAGTCGCCGACCGTTGACGTAGCCGCATTTTGCAGTCATGCCTCAAGACGTCGCAAACCAAGCTAAAGAGCTCGGGAACAAGAAGGCACCGATGAACCATTGCTTTCGCTAGAACTTTGTTGATAGTATTTCGAGATGAATTTACTCAAGTTGAAGTTGAACACCTTTGACTTTTGTTTGAGTTCAAGAGGTTTGTGGCTGTACGAGCTGTATCGATTAAAATAAATCTCGAGAACTGGGATGGAATGGAGTAGTCTTTCCGCTAACTCTGGGGCCTTAGATTTAATTTCCATTAGATTCTGCGCTCTCTCTCTGACTCTGTGAGCATCAAAATATTACCCCTTGAAAGTGTCAAAGCCTACTACTCAAATCCGTCCAATCGAAGGCAACTCACTTCCTTACAGCTTTCGTTCATTGTTTCTCCCCTCCTTCACAATGCAGCTCGAGCTCTGAATTAACCTGAACGATCTGCAATCATATACAACCAAAGAAGTGGTCGGATAGACGCTTGCGTGTTGTCTCCGCATGCGTCTTCAGTAGATCCAATCCTGCAGCTCTACACTCCGGCGTAGTACCCTTCTTCAGTTCCTCGTCGCCACCAAGCTGGTCTCTCAAGCACGTCAACAGCGCCAAGATATCAGCCGAGTTGTAGCCCAATATCCTCTTCCAACCCACCGCACTTACCCAACGCCTCTCCCAGGTCGCCACGCATGAGCGGTGGGCATCGACTGTGCATGCATCCGACGCATGGGGCAATTCGAGCGGCTTCAGCCTGAGCCGCTCCCAGTAACTGACGAGGGAGCAATACCCAGATAACAGGCGCATAACCTGTCCGTTGTTCAGCTTCGGGTCGACACGCAGCTGCGTCCCGCCACCTTCTGGTGTGTGAGTTTGGCGGTCGAGCATGTCCTGAACGTGTACGTAGTACGCGACCCCGCGTAGGCTGAGCAATTCGTGTTTATCAGCAGCTTGCATTGCTGGTACGGATGGTGTACTCTTATGATACACGCGCTCATTCCACTTGTCTACGACGCTGGAGAGGAGGTGCAGAATGTTGCATTGCACAGCGACGTCCACCATCAATGACAGCGTTGCGGAGGAGCAGGATTCCATGAATGCGGGGTTGGACGACGCAGTGTGTTCGAGGATTTCCGTGGCCCACTTGTGAATCTCCTGGAAGGCGTATTTGTGGGATATGGTAGCCAGGAGTATAACGAACTCTGCGCCCGTGTGGTCTAATGGTAGCGCTACAAGCGTTCCATCGTCTGGCCTGTTTGTGTATACATATGTTCAAAATTGATATAGGATTGAAAACGGATAGATACCCACTGAAAATATAACGCAAAAAGAAGAGCCCGGAGTTCTTCAACGGAGATGTCGTGCAGTTGCAGAGGGTGCTCGTCGATGGCTCCCCGACGACCCTCCAGAAGGTCGGCAAAGGTATGAGATGTTGATAACAGTTCTTTACGGACCTACAAAGTTCAATTCATAGTTAGAAATTGCATACATAACATCGTGAAAAATATTCACCTTGAAGAGGATATTGTCAACCCTCACAACGCAGTCGCCGTCCTCCTTGTAGTATTCTGGGTCACACACCAACCTCGCTCCAGCAGAACCAGCTTCTTCCTTCTTCCTCTCCTCTTCCTCGTCTTCGTCTACCCGCTGTCGTTTGCGAGGCCTTGTTTCCTCTTGCCGATCCCGGGCTTCGCGAATGGTACTGTCATCGACGATGATGAATCTCCTCGTGCTCTTTGAAGGCATGGTTTATCTCTGCTGGTAGTTCAAATGAGGGAGGAATGCAAAATATAAATTCACTCGGCTGGTGAGAGGGCTACAGCATGGTCTCGGACTCCATTGTTCTGACTTTGGAAGTCGTTACAAAGGTCGAAGCTCGGTAATTGTTGTGGGTAACCGGGAATTAGTGCGCCATGTGTCGGAGTTTTCTAATTCGGCATCTCAACTTGTTGTGGACGTTCCTATCAAAATTGCCGTCATAATTAAGAGCAACCAAAGAGTTTTTGGTTACAATTTTGGTCCCATCCAGGGTGGCAACCTGGTTGCAACAGGTGGCAATGGGAGTTCCGGCGTGATTGTAGCCAATTTTGGGCTAAAAAATGGAAAAATAAAGAACTTTCAACGGTTAGCACTGGTTAGAATGCCGATTCAATGCCGTCCCAATTTCGGCTGGTTGTGACAAAAGAAATAAATCTCCGACATGACTTGCACTCAAACCACAACATACAAAGCAACCTCAAAGAATTCCAAGGCAGTTAGACGCTCTGAGCTCTCATTCGACTTTGCGCCCCGGTAAGGAAAGTATCTTTGCTATAACAGCTATACTCATTGTAAAATTAGCTGTAGCTACCCAATAGCTACCTTCAAATATTGACTGGATACTCGTTTTCGGAAACATCTTTCCTCACCCATGGAGCAACACTCATTAACTTAGAGTGACAAATACCTCTGTGTAGGCCAGCAATACGGCTAGAGAATCCTGCGTTGCTGCAGTGACATCGGACACTCAGTCCTGCATCAGATTGTTATCTGTGTCACCAATCCCGCCATACCCACGCTCCGTGTGAAGTCTCTGGAGGTTCTGCAGTCAAATCTCTAACAGGACGCCCTCATCTGTAAACCCTTCCCCCCCTCCCTCGAGGATTTTCTGGCTAAACTGAGGCACAGAAATGTGACTTCCTCACTTAAGATCTTGTGCGATTGGAAAAAGACGTTTCTTTCTCCATTCCGTTCGTCTAGATTATCTCAGATAGGCCAAGTAATTTCCCCCCCCCCCTTGAATTGCTGGACTTCTTCGTTCTTCCTCAAAAAGCGAGCATTCTATTCTCGCCTTCAAAGGATCTCGGGCCTTGTCTCAACCACGACCTCTGAATCTGATCAAAGAATCACCATCCATTCGTCAATCGCGAAGTTTCTTGATGGAGACGTCTTGGACCTATAGAACATACCGTCTGGAGTGGCCCACGACAACCTCTGAGAAGGTTTGCGAATGTAGGGCTCAATCTGCATTTGTAAGTGAAGTGATCTTTGCCGTCATGGCTATATTTATCGTAAAGTTGCTGCAGGTGAACCGCCACTCTAGCCCTGATCATGGAACGACACCACGTAACTAATACTCTGCTGACTGATTCATGGCCTTGTCAGTTACATTCAAATTATCCCAATTTACGGTCCACATAACGTCCCAAGAGACTCTATAATCAATTTGACATCTTCAACAGTCCGTTCTGAACCTACCGCTCGACGTCTCTCTGGCCGACATTGGGCTCAAAATATTGACCCTCCCCCTGCCTCGATCTTGTGCGGTTACGAGACATCTTGCACACCCTTTGTCCTTTTATTCACCTCAAGTCATCCTAGCCGTGTCAGATGATTTCATCTCCACACCCTGGGTTCCGCCGTCTTAAAACCAAATCTTCTATTCTCGTTGTCAGAAGTTTCTGGCCTTTGACCGTTTGACCGCTTCGGCCGACGTGGACTCTGCGAATAACGCCATTTCTCCTTATCCTGACACCACCTTTCAAACAAATGACTTCACCACACGCTAGAGGAAAAGAGAATGGCGTGTGCATATAACGGCGGAATTAGTTCTTGACGAAATAACGAGCGAAGCGGACTTAAAATCTGTGTTAGGCAAGACACCTGCGACCGTATAAAAGGATGCTGCTTCAATGTCCCAATCTCTAGACTCCTGCCAACGCATTTTGAGGTGGGAGAAGACGGGCTACTCTCTCACAACGTACTCACCTTTCGTCCACAGATCTACAATCAACCCAGCAAATCCAATGGTCTTCTACCTCCTTCCCATCAGACCGTCACCTTGAAAACACCATTCAAGGCTGAGAACATCATCGTCTTCCAGTCCGCAAAACTGGACTTGACTCCCAGCACTGGCCCGGGTATCGACAACACCGCCGTCAATATCCTCGATGCTGCCGGCGACGTCCTTCTCCACGTCAGCATCCGTCGCGCGGAGAACGCCATCGTCTTGAACAGCAGGCCTGCCAATGGCGCTCGGGGTACTGAGGAGAGAGTACCACTCAAAGGGCTGTTCGTCAATGCACCCAACACGACTATCACTGTCTACGACCACGGTGATCGCTTCCAAATCCTGATCGACTACAAAACCGTTCACTACTACGCCAAGCGGATCCAGGCAAATGGTACTGCCATCTTGTACACTATTAACCCGGGCCAGATCTCCGTTCTCTGACACTTTGGCTGTCACCACGTATGACTCCTTCGCCAACATCATTCCTAACGGTGCTTAAGATGCAGGTGTGGACGAGTATCCTCTTGTTTTTGCCTCAATGCTGAAAGAAATCTTCTAATCAGTGGTTGTAAACATGCTGCTGGCGAAGTTCAGAGCGTTTCTGGAGCCAATGTCGGACATGTATTCCTAGTTATAGTTTGTGATGGATTCAACGGTGATCAGTGTTCTGTCCGTGCTTGGGTCACTTCTATTAGGCAAGGTGGATGTCAAGATCGCAGCTGTCCAGCGAAGTGGTCAAGGATCTAAGCAACATAGATAGCAGTTGTACCCCAAATTATATATACACTAAAAATTACATACGATTTTGATGATGAAAGCGAGAGTCTATGGGTATGTCTACGAAAAGGGATATCCGTTCATTGCGCAATGTCGAAAGAAGGCAGGTTCGAGACTGGTCATAGTGCTAACGAAGTCATGGGCAAAACAAGCAACGAGAGTATCAGTGCGAGAGAGTTGATTGTAATGGTTGTACTTGAAGATCTATGGACAGGGGAGTTATTATGGGGGTAAGGCGAAAGGAAAGAATGGATCATACGTTTTCGGTGGAGTGGCGGTTATTTTCACGTTGATTAGCGCCAGGAAGCCGTCCGTGGCGTTGAATCCGTTGACGCCGACGGTAATATTATGGTTTACGGCGTCGTTTGTGTTAGCTAGATATCCAGTCAAGTATTGTATATCGCTTTGGTAGGTGTAGTTGGCGAACGACGTTGACCCTGAATATGTGGTTCCATTTGTCAGGTTTGCGGTGGGGATTACGGATTGTGTTATGTTTCCTATTAGCCAGTCCCTAGAAAGAGCGAGAAGACTTTGTTGAGGGATGGAGGGATGGAAGAGGAATGAGTGAGACGTACCTTCCAAGATTATATCCGTTTGGAACGATGTCGTGTTGTTCTGCGCCAGGAGATGAGCGTCTGATAAATTTTATATGGAGAGACGCGAATAACTCACGGGCGATGGGCATCTCATATGACAGGGCTAAAAATATCGCGCCTGTGTTCGCAGAAGGCCCATCCTGTACCCAGTACCGAAAATGGTTCCCTCCTTGCACGGTCTCCTTGCACGTACCCAGCTGTGGGTCGCCGTAATTCCATCGCATCACTGCCGTCTCGTTCTCTGTTCCAGCATGCCGTCAGACAAAGACGATTTGAAAGGAAAGGGGCTCTAGCGCTCACTGCTACCATTCCCGTCCCCTAGATTTGCCCCTTGGTCCGAGCCAGAATGTTGCCCCAGGCACTCTCCGGAAAAGCCAAATGACCTGCGTCGTAAAATGAGCAAAACAATAGATGACACCAGGAACGGAAGTGGACGGACGTAAAATAATTCCTTAATCCTCCATTGAGTTGTGCATCTATTAGAACGTTTGGGTCCGAGTTTCCAGATATAATGATGTTTATGGGCTCTCCCTGGCCCTCCGGATATGTGCCTGATACTTGCTACATTAAATAGGGTTATTTAGGCTAAGACAGAAAAGCTTAAAAGTCGAGGTCAACGTACAGTTAGAAAGCTTCCTCCTGCAGATAATGGATTGGCAAAGCCTATTGCAGGGACATTCCGTGTCGAAGAGGACGATGTGCGGCGCAACATTGGAATCCATGTGGGTAGGACGAGCTCGGCGAAGGTGGGTGTGCATGCTAGTAAAAGGAGAGCGAGAGTAACTGCTGGTAGTCGTGGAGTGGTCGAGGTCATCTTCCAGGACGACGAGGACGAGGGTTGAGAAGGAGAAAAGGAGAGAAAGCGATAGGCTTATAGAAAGCAGAGGAAGAAGAATCCAGCGCCCGTCGATCGTTCATTGTATTTAGGGATTACGTAACTTATATTGTCCCTTCCATTCCGCATCAGCGCTTAGCCAGACTTAGCCTCCGTTGTCGCGCGTCGGGATACCGTACTGGCGAGTCGCGATAACGAAGTGTATATGTAAAGAATTTTTTTATATTCAATGGCAGGGCGGAACAGAGAAAATCAACCCTTGCAGATCCCAACACTCGAGCTCCGACCGCGTCGGATGCACTTGTCCGTTTCGAATACGCTTGGCACACTTTCGACGTGGTCGCAGAGCGTTGAAGGCGGTCATGCAAAGCCGGAGGTACATATACATGCGTCATGAGGTCGCTATTCAAGTGACAGTGATCATGATACTAATCTTATTCCGCTCGCTTCTAACGTTTATCGGGGTCATATGAGCAACGTAGGGCACGTCCACATCCATCAAGGAAGGTAGATTGGATTTGCATAAATATGCAGTGAGGAGTCCACATACTATGTGCCCCAACGCCCCGCGATGTTCTCCAAAACTGCCCTGTTATTGGCGATCAGCGTCCTCTCCCATTTCTCGGGGGTAGCTCTCGGGTCACCCACCCTGGAAGCGAGGCAATCGGCCGACAATATCGTCTACGTCACCAATGCCGCAGCGTTCTGGTACGTCTCTTCAATTAACACCGGAAGCAAAGGCGTCAGATCTAACGCGGGTTAGTATGATCATGCCTCGGACCCCACACACCAACATCGGGGACAGCGAGCATCCGGGCGGGATGCAGACATACTGTTCGCCAAGTGGGAAGTACGACTCTTCCCAAGGCCAGCTGTCCGCAAACTTCTGGAGTAACATAGAATTTAAGACGGGCACGAGTTCCCGCGGAGCGAGGTTTGCACAACGTTCGTGTCTCTTGTGATTAGGGTGTCTACAAGGCTGAGGGGTTGAACGTTGTTGACAGTGACAGGGTGCATTCGACCAGAGACACTGGATCGACTGAACTCCAATGATGGTGGAGGGCAATATGATTCAAGTGGTGGAGCTGGGGGGCTTGGAAACCCACAAGGGAGTGTCTGTCTTGGGTACGTGAATGGGGCGTCCTTTGTCATGTAATGTCACTGAATACTTGCAACTGTGCCCAGGTACAACCACTACGTTGAGCTCGTTGAGCCGGGTGATAGACGCGCGTGCATCAAATGTTGTGATAACTACGACGATTGTCCTTTGGACAAAGGTTAGTGGTATCTTCCATTGCCGAATAAGAATACTCACTTGAAGGTGAATGATAGACACTCAAGGATGCCCCAATGTTATTCAAGGCAACTACTTCGATTGTTGGTGAGGTACATGAAAATTTCGACCTGCTCTGTTTGCATGCTTCCTTGGACATTGGAGACGATCTTTCGGACTTGGTAACGATCTTGTGGACTTGGTTATGGCTAGGAACAGTTAAACAGTACGATAAGCAACGGACGGACTTACAATTCATTACATGTGGAAGGTCAATCAGTAAGCTCGAAAGAAAAAGAGTGAGCCAGCCAGCTTTGGATCACAATCACACGAAGCTAGGCACTCAAATGGGACGATCTTAAAAGTATATGCCGCATGGACCATGCATGGTATTATGAGATAAACGATACATTCACAGCACCTCAGTCCAAGATCTCAATGTCCCCGTAAGGTTTCGCCCTGAAGTACGAGTCGTCGAAATGATGGACACGGACGAAACCGTCCTCTCCTCCAGAGGCATAGGATGTCCCTCCTGGGTGCACAGCAATCCTAAAGGAACGAAGAAACGTCAGAAGAGCCTTCGAGAAACAACGCAACTCACGTATTGATAGGTCCGAAATGGCCCTTTACACGACCGATTTCTTCTTCAAACACCTTGTGCCAGAACCGTGTTTCGAACTTGCCCTGTCGAGCAGATGTTGTCGTTACGTTCATGGCTTCTTGACCACCGCCAAGCAGAATCTACGAACAAAGGTGTCAGCTATGCCTTTAGATAAAGTCTGAAATCACTGACATATGGCCGATTGGGCGCCAGTGAGGCGCTGTTCAGAGGTGTTTCAGTATTATAGGTTTTGATGACCATCAGGTTTTTTGTGTCGTGTATCTGTCGGAACAGTTAGAAACCAAGTGAAAAGCCTGAGATCGATGAACACACACCCGTGCAGCCTTATCCTTGCTACTTGTAATGCAATATGCCCTATCCTTGCTAAGCTGCAGGTCCGTGACCACATCGCTGTGTGCCCGCTCGTTGTTGTCGATCTCCTCTCCAGATTTTACATTGAAAAGCGCCACTTTTCCGGATTCGTGCCCAGTGATGATGACGTTGGGTGTTAGCGTGAAGGCGCAAACGGTGGCTTTTGATCCGATGGGGTTGAACATGTACAACGGTTCTTTTGATTCTATGTAGGAGATCAAAGTCAGAAAAAAACTGCTGCCAACGAAGGGCTCTGTGGGGATACGCACGATTGGTTCCATCACCCTCTTTGTTGATGTTGAATACACGTATTGCGCACTGGTGCCCCATCCGCTGCTCAGTGATACATACGACCTGTGTTCCCTCCTCATTGAACGCTACCCGCTTGACGGCCGTTGGAAACTCCCATGTGTAAAGGCACTTGCCAGTCGACACTGCCCACAGTCGTAAAGTGTTATCAGCGGCACCAGATATCATGAATCTCGACTCCGCTGTAGAAATTTGTCAGAATCGCTTCAACGAACAATAAAAGAAAGACAGCGTACGATCAACATCCAACGTCCACACAGATCCATTATTGCCTGCGTACGTCCCCAACCGCTCTCCGTTATGCGAAAACCACACATTGATAACGTTGTCCTTCGAGCACGTAAATAGCAAGTCACCCTCTGCGTTGAACTTGATCTGCGTCAACGATCGTTCGTGACCTGCAAAATAATTGATAAATTTGAGTGCGCCTTATCGGCCTTTCCTTTGCTGCGAACCTTGTAAAAGTATAGGCCTCTGTGTAGTGTATCAGCTTTTCAATTCCTTGGTGAATTTACTTCAGAAACTCACCATTTTTCGATGGTAAGGACGGTTTTTAGGCCCTTGTAGATGAAGGAGGGGTGATAGAGTTTTGTGTGCACGTGGGGTTCCTAATTTGGGTTTGAACCCTCTCAGTAGTCAGTACACCTCTTGGGCTCTCTTGGGTTCTTCCCTTCAAAGTTCAGAGGAACTTTCATGGCCAAAAAGCAAAAGCTCCGCAAAAACTATCCATATCATTCAGGCCAGGGCATGTCCGACTTTCAAGTGCTGGGAGGGATCATCAATTCAAAGGTGTGCTCTTGGATTGCCCCACAATGCGGCCAGTACTTATTGACGCACCTCAAAATCAAGCAAAGAGCCCTTCAGTGATCCAAAGACGTTTCTCACATTCCCGCCTCGTTTGAGCAGCACTCTCGGACCGGTATTTGCCTATTCTCCGACAGAAGAGCTCCTTCGACTCATATATATGACTGACTTCTTCTCGACAAAATAATAGATAGATGGCATAGATGACTTGTACTGGGCATACGCGACACAAGCGTCTCCTTTTGGGCAACTGCACGACAATCTCCAGTCTCCTCTAACTCGTTGCAAGGGCCAAAAAAGTGGACGGGCGACGCGTCCTCTCTGCGGAAGCTTAAGATCTTGTATTACGCCTCTTGGCTATACAATGACAGGTCCGAAATCCGAGAACTGTTGACTCACCCAAAGCGGAATTGACCTCGGGCATCGGGCAGACACCACATCGATGGCCTTTTACTAAGAATATACTTACCAACGCTTCCTACGTTGTAGTATCCCTGGCACAATAATTCAATCGGTGTTCTTGGCCAGCGTTACGTCTTCGTCAGCTGCAACAATGTTTTTGGCTTTATAAACCCTCCAGTTCAACCACTTCAACATTCAACGCACCCGATCACAACCCAACAACAGCTCCAATAACAGCATGCCTTCCTGGTTAATCACTGGTACAAGCAGGGGTATTGGCCTCAGCATCGTCAGCGATCTCGTACGTCCTCACCACCACTTTGCGTGCGCCTTTCCTGGACTAACATATCGTTTCTAGTTGAAAGAGGAGAATAACTTTGTCATCGCCACCGCGCGCGATATCAGGGCCAAAGGCCTCCAAGAACTCGCCTCGAAATACCCCAAGACCCGCCTCGCTCTCATCGAGCTCAACGTCACCGACGTCGCGAGCATCGAGAAAGCCGCGGAGGAAGTGGCAACGCTCCTTCCCAACGGTCTCGACTACTTAATTAACAATGCGGGCATCATGCCACAGCCCATGACTTCCTTCGAGGACCTGTGCGCTCCCCTCTACTGACTGTTTATATATTCAACGCTTATGCTACATCAATCTAGTGACTTGAAGCTATTCGCAGACGAACTCAGCTTCAGCACCATCGCCGTTATTCGAGTGACTTCCGCATTCTTGCCCTTGGTGAAGAAGTCCGCTGTGAAGAAGATCATTTTCATCACATCTGTCCTTGGGTCACTCGAACTTGGGGGCTCGTGGCCATTTATCACCAACTCCTACTCTATCTCCAAGGCGGCCTTGAACATGTCGGCATCCCAGTCTACTGTCCGTTCTACTGATACTTTCTCTGACGTTTTTATTCAACAGGCTGGCTCGAAAGTGGGGTGCAGTCCTCAAGCACGAAGGCGTCACAGTTGCTCTCGTCCACCCAGGTTGGGTACAGACTGACTTGGGCGACGAGATCAAGGAGTGGATGGAGACCTACGCTAAGAACAGTCCTCAGATCACTACTGCTCAGTCGTCTGCGGGAATTTTGGCAGTCGCGAAGAAAGTAACTATTGATTCTACGGCTTCCTTCTATAACTACGATGGTAGCAAGCTTCCTTTCTGAGTCCACTTGCCTTTCTGAGTCCACTTGACCTGTACTCTGATTCGGACAATAATATGTGTGTACTGCCCCCCAGTCTCCCTAACTAAGATTATCCGCGCCCGGACTCGAAAGTCGATCGTGAATGGCGGAATGATAAAGAAGCGGGCGTAGAGTTGGACTGTTTTGCGTAAGCGCGGACTTTGATCTCGAGCATGCATGGCTAAGATGGTGAGAATGGATGGACCCTGAGAACATCGACGACAGTATCAATGGGACACGTTCCGACACTGCCGACGCTGCCAAAACTACCAGTGCTTCCAACGCTGCTGCTGGTACCGCTGACTCTCCCAAAGGAATCATATCCCCAATATGTTTTTCCATCGGGGCTGCCGTGGTGGCCCTCGTTGGAAGCAACACTCGCTGCTGGGTTCTCCACGTTCATCGAAATAGGAATTATTCGGCGCAAGGGAGTGCCGTCTTTCGGATCCATTTCTCTAGGGTCAATGTCAAAGTAATAGGCGTGGTTCTTGTCTTTTCTAGCATTAACGATATCTAGGGCCTCATTGCCCGTTGCCACCATGCGACCAGCGTGAAGAATCTCGACATGCAGCGCCCTTCAGATGGAGGTTCGATGATGTAGTTAGACATTTTGAACAAGGGGGGATGCCAATAAGCTGCGTAAACGTAGGAAGGAGGGATAAACTGAGAATGAGGGGGGATGGGTCCTTTGATGTTTTGAGGTTGCAGCTGAGCAATTGCTTGATTGGTCGTGGTTTGAGACCATGCGGCGCAAAAATTCAGCTATGGACCTCGAAATGCGATTCTTTGTCTGAACAAGGCAACGGCCCGTCACATAATCAGGGGAATTTGGGAGAAAAACGTTTCACGAAGGGGTCAAAGAAGTAGAATTCCTGCAAAGGGACGGATCAGTAAGTTTTTCTGCAGAAAAACGGCGAAGAGAGAAAAGTTCAGAAAAAGCGGACAAGTACTACCAAAGTAGCCCTGCCGAAGGTAGCTGAGATAATTTTCTGCAGTGCAGGGTGCGCTCCTGCGTAAAGCCAAATGCCTCAAACATCATAGAACGACGAAAAACGACAGCGATACCAATGAGGAAAAGAGAACTCACCAACAACATTCTGGCACACGAGCTGACGAGCTTTTGAGGCTATACGCGCCCACAGTGCGTGACGCTCGGAAAATGATATAGCACACCCTTGAACTCCCGACCTTATCTTTGGATTTGGGGGGGATGAAGACCCCTCTAAGAACTACCCAAAAGCTCAGAAGGGTAAACCTGACATTGATGACTGAGTCAGTGCAGCAAAAACAGGATGAACAAGAAAGACTAACCAACAGTGTTTCTACCACTAATCGTAAGAATATCTGCGGCGGCCACCATCGCTTTAAGATTGGGATGTTCCGGGTATCGAACGCCGCCTTGCACCAGGCGTGTAAAGGGGTCATACGTTTCGTTCAACGAGTATGAAAGAAACGAGCGTGGCATGAAGCAAGTACGGCCAAAGTCAATGACCCATAATCTGCCTGACTCGTCGACTAGAAAGTTGGCAGCGTTCAAGTCGGATGGACACAAAACCAAGTCTTCTTGGGCTTCCTTGCCGAATTCAACGTTCATAATCCTTCGACATTTGGCTAACTTGTGCAGGAGTGTCAATGAATACTGGGGAGTTGAATTGAGTGGAGGACGTACACGTTTGATCTGACGATGGAGATATTCGACCTTCGGGTATTTGACAGCTGACCTGCATTCAACGAAGAAGTCGTGGCCGATAGTTCCGCCACAATAGGTCCTGGAGGGGTGTCTGCAGGTACTCGGAGTTCAATGAGTTGTCTGACGGCAGAAACAGCGGCTTTCAGATCCTCCTCTTTGTATTTGCCTGTGGCAAGTGATTTGCGGTCTGCGACTGTCTTGCCTGAGACGAACTCCATGACGATATGGCGACACCACCCGATGGAAAAGATTACGAAGACTTCTGGAACGCGAAAGGTGCTCGAGGGGTCCGCGTTTACGATACGTGCGACATAATCCTGTGTGAGACCTTCGCCTACGGTGAGGTCACCGAATTTAACCCAATACCGAGGAAAACCCTCTGTGTGGATGCACAAGCCATTCCCATCATGAAAACCTGCAGTTTTACACAATCTAGCGATGTCGTCAAGGGATGGAAGGACTTGCTCCGCCAAATGCTCGATCTTTACGTCTGATTTGACTATGATTGATGTAGGCTGATAAACTGGATGAAGTTGGCCTCAATTTGAACAGAAGCAGATGGAAAGTCTGTTGAGATTGACATGACTGGACACTTATTTGTTCGTGTTTATACTCTTTCAGAATAACTTATCAATCTTGCGCACTTCCAGCTTGATACTTAGAACGCACTAGATTGACTTCTGGTTACTTGCGAATGTTAGCGCTCATGTTATGGGGTCTACCCGTTGAAATTTTCTAGACTCGCGACCAGCTCTCGATGGATGGACTCAGTTTTCAGCCTTGCTTCTCAAGTCAGAGATCGAACAATCCGCAACCTCATCGCAATCGGGATGTAATCACGGGTCGGGGTGGTTTCTAGGAGGCGCTAGAGCTGAAGGAAGGTTCTGGCACTTTGTCGGTCGATGGAAGAAGGTCGGTCAGTCTTTCAAGTTGCCTTCGCCCTTGAAGCGAGATGGATGCTGAAAAACATAAACAGGGATCTTTCTTTATCCTATGCAATGAATCTGCTATTCTCACCTTATCGAACAAACAGCCATAGTAGGGAGTGTACAATGCGCCACTTTCTTTGTCGATCTCAAACCTTGGTACAAAAGCCTCAAGGGCCACTGGCTACACTATTTAATGGAGGACACTCACCCCTTTTCAATATTTTCCAGCCACTTAGACCCCTCAGCATGAGCTCGCCAGAATCTCAAAAGAAATTCGTGTACACGAAACGCGAGACTCCTTTTTTTGTTCTTGATCTGGAGTATTACAAGGAGGATGGGGACTTCACCATCCTCGTCGAAAGCACTCTGTTCAAAGTAGGTCATTCACCATTGGCAATACAAGCGGGCTCATGATAACCCCAAGGTGCACCGATTTCTATTGTCGCGTGACTCTTCAGCATTTGCCGACATGTTCAAGGATGCAGTGGCACCTCGAGTATCTGGTCGCGACGCGACTGACGAAGGCCCTCTTCTACTGGCTGACTCTTGTGAAGAACTAAGTGCGCTTTGTTGGGCTTTGTACGCACTGTACGTTTCAAAGTTAGCCCAAGTTATCAAACGTCTAACCGCCATATAGCCCGACGGAAGTCATCTTGCAAGAGGATGATTCCACCATCAACATCCCCAGGTTAGCTAACCTCGCAATCATTGCGAACAAGTACCATTTTGTTTCCTACGAAAGATGGTCGATTGCCGCTCTGGTGAAATGTGCTCAGCGGCAAAGCTTTCGTTTCCTGGAGGCCTCGACGGTCACCCTTCTGCGACAAGTTCTCACCGCTGCAATCTTATGCAACGAACCCGCCCTCCAAGAACAGGTAGAATCCGCATGGATCTCTCGTCTTCAATGGGATGAAACTATGTCTACTGCAGACGCTCTCGCATTTGGAGAGCGGCATGGTTTGCGAAGATTCCAAGGGAAGGTTTATTACGAGGCATTACTGAAGATGAAACCTATCCCTGCGGAAAATTCCACAGCCTTCGCACGACCAGAAATTTCTTTGACCTCGTCACAGGCCGAATGTTTACAACAGGGCTACTTCTCGCTCTCGAACTACCTCAAAAGGCTTCTTTTTGTCAATCCCCCGCAGATTGTCAAGTGCCCGGCTTGTCCTGACATACACCACGCCTCGATCTGCAAATTCGAGTGGGATCATCAATGGAGCACTATAGTCTACCTTTTCATGCAGAAAGAAGAGACAGTGAACCCTCGGTCGGCTATCTTAGAAATGCGAACTAGAACCAATCAATGCCCTAGCACCCATCCAGGTTGCATACAAGCGTCAGCGGCTGGACTTTCCACGATTCTCGCTCATTTGGACGCAACACTACCTGACCATTTCCTTAGGCCTATTCCAACATCGAGAGGGTCAGTTCCGGTGCATTCTTGAACGCCCTCTTTCCGCTCCATTCCCAGTATCTATACCCTCAATCTCAAGTATCGAGTTGTGGTTACCTTGACATATTATCGTACATTACTAGTCTGCATAATAACATGTCAGTTTAGAGCTTTGTTTGTTCTGGAAGTCAACCTTTTTCCAGAAGTCGTCATCCTTGCACAAATCACCAGCGCTTCCGCCAATTGTGTACACACCCGCAAAGAACAATTGGCAATTCGAAGGTGGCCCGATCGTGTCATGGGTTCTGGAAGCTTATCTCGTTGCTAGCATCCCGACCAGAGGTTTGAGGTATTGTCTTCTTACACTGGCCACCGCCGGGGCCACAGTGCCACATTCAATCCCCCTTAATTATTCTATCGGTGGCGATGGCGTCTTATTATAAGGACGACCTTCTGTTGTCTTTTTGATCATGGTTATGTATAGACAATCCACCGTGGACCACCGACTTACGGTCACAACGAAATTTTCTCGACGCGGACACTGTCGACCTTCGCCACTGCGGAATGAAATGAAAGAGGTGGATGAAAGGGATGTTCGTGTCGTGCGAGTGCAGAAGAATCTCTTCGAGGTCAGTTCTTTCATCTTCCTGTACCCATCCCACTAAGATGCTTTCTAGGCGCCCCTTGAGTTTTTTGCTCAGATGCCTCCGGAGTTCCTCGAGATCATCGCCTTTACCTCGGGAAAAGGCATGTCGGCTGCCGATCCCATCGTTTTGTCAGGCCATACAGCTCCCCAGTTTAGATTGCTATTATCGGCCTTCGCCGCCTAGTGTGTAGTCTGCCTTTTCCCGTCTGTTCAACCCATCTAAACGCGTCCACTTAGCCCTCAACTAGATTTTCGCAAGTTCTCGCTATTTCAGCTGCTTTCACTTTCCGAACTATCCTGCCACTATGGCCTCCAAAACCTCAGGAGTTGGTGCTTGGGGGCCTTCTTTACTGTCGTGAATTGCCAAGAATCACCTTTGCGAACCGCATCGCATTTGGTCGTATTTCGAATGATGAAGTTGGCGTTGACCTTTCGACATCGACCGTCGGTCTTGTGCATCCAGGATCAGTGGGTACGGCGGTTGCTTTTGCACGAACTGCCTGCCCTTCCTGCGCTTCTGCTGGCAGAGCAGTATGGACTTCGACATCTCCTTGGTCATGCGTACTATGCGTATCTCATTCACGTCGGACCTCGTATGCTTGAGGTCTGTGACCCCAGTTTCGAGCACCTTTCGATGAAGCAAAAGATGCACCTCCTGGAAGGATATCATTCCCTGTTTGTATATTCAAAGCACCTATACGCAACTGCGCCGATCCTGGAGCAGGCAAAGGGATGCAAATTTCACTCGCGATGTATTAGCGCGTGGAAGATTCGGTGGGGCTCCGCGGCTGAGCATCCATCCACGGCGTCTGATAATGATGTCGTCAGTCGGCTCTCGCACATACGAAAGATCTTAGAAGATGACTTCCCCTTGAGCGTATGCTTGACACCGGAGTGTAGGATTCTTGCTTTGGAGTCGGTGTCGAAGAAACTGACGGAATTCACGAGTAATCTACATCACCACTTTGACCTCGCGTGAACGGTCGGTAGTTGGTTAATTCTATATCATCGCCCCATTATAATTATAACATAGTGCTTTGCATCATCCTCTTCCGTCATGGGTCGTCGTCAGCGTCCAGCATACCGCTATAACCTGCACTCCAAGGATCCAAAAAATGTTTTATGTTTCACGTAGTGGGGCTAGAGCCACGTGAAGCCAGAAAGTGGAACCTTCATGAATGAGATAGTCGTCGTAAGACCAATCTATTCTTACTATATTCTCCACCCAACTAATGAGGCAGAAGCGTCCCGCCCGCGCGCAGACGTGGAGCTAGCGAATCTACTCCTAGAAACGTGTATCGTATAGAGGTTGAGGCACCACTCCGGATCCGCGACTCAACATTTGTTTGACATTTCATGGTTTCAAGCCTTTCGACGTCATGACAGGACTTCTAGCTACTAACTGCATTAGTATCGTCGACCACTCCAAAGTCTCTTTCTGCTCGGAGCAAACCCTACAGGACCATATTAGGACTAGAAAGCTTCGGGTGTCTGTCTATTGCCCCACTTTCCTCCGCAAGGATTGCTCGAACTCAGAATGTATAGCGAACTTTCAGGAAGCTACTCCATCGTCACTTGGTGACGTCATGCAAGTGGGGCTAAATTTAAGATTTCGATCATGATCGTTATGAAGTTACATAATCACGAAGCCAACGTGAAATGCCTCCGTGCCGCAACGAATCAACTGCAACAGATCGCAGCACCGAGGAGAGGTGAATATTTGCCCAATAGGCACCCGATTAGACGTACGTTGATTGGCGGCATTTTTTCTCAATAATATACTATGTACTAGTAAATGTATTCAGAATATGCCCAATATTTCGAGATTACTCACAACTCATTTAAATTGCAACCACTAGGCATATTTTATGTGTAACTAACATCCTCAATATGTTTTCATCTGAGCTTGATTAATGAATTCATTTCGAAACTATTTACTTTACAGATGTGAAGGAGTCCATTGAATACTCAATGCCTGCAATCAACTCATGTCCGATTACTTACTTGCTAGGAAAATTACCGCTTCTCCTCGGTGCAACCACATTAACCTTGCGCACACATTCCATGCGCACGTCCTCCCCGTCATGGCCGCTTCATCTTTCTTAGGTTAAATCAGAGCTGGCCATTTTTTAAGAGAGCTTGAGCGGTCATGCAGCGCAGATCTTCGGGCTTCGGCTGATAATTGTCCCTGAAACTCGAACAAATGTTCCAAAATCAGTTGCGGCCACCGGCCCCTTCCAGTTGAATATTGGCAAGACGATGCGTCAGTGGGCGTCACAACACTCGAGCGCAACGCTTGTGTTTAAAATACACTTTCTCTTTTTCCTTCCTATACGTCCATCCTGGGTGAAGTATGTAACTTTCTGCATCCTCTATATTTTTCGTTTAGGGTTTCGATTTCTCGTGGATTAATTCTGTAACTTACAAGCCGCCAAGAATCAAGATCTGTGCGTGTGTTTTTCTTTCTTTTCAATTTGCTTGAATTTGCCTTTCATGATGCATGCGTTCTAGGCCCAGGGCCCAGGTTCGAGGCCTGTGCCTAAGCCTCTCCACATTTTCAATTTTCAAACCCAATCAAATGCAAAAAAAGTGGATGATGCTCGGGAAGAAGTGGAAAAAGGACTTTGGGCTTGCAAAGTGCTTTTTGTAGTATTTTGAACCTTAGTTTGAGCTACCTACATTCTCATTTACGTCACATCTTCCTGGTTAAAATGGAAAACCACTTAGCCTAGATGAACCGAGCAATTGGGTTGGTGGAGTATTTGATGCAAATTTGAGGGAGATTCACGGTTGAATTTCCCCACCTTCTTGATCTCTGCCCGACTCTTATCATTCTCTTCGTCTGAGTGGTGAAATTCAGCCTGCTTGAACCTCATACACTCATCTTTCCCTATTGGAAACTATCGCATGATCCGGTCAAGACACAGAGAACTGTCCACACACCGCCTGGCGACAACGATGCCATGCCTTCGGCCTTCCAGACAACTTTGCCCCTTTCATGATATCGAGCCTTGTTCTAGTCTCAAGCTCACGAACTTCTGAGCAATGGGCTCGATTGGCAAGGCTCGGGGGCTAAATCTCGGAGGGTGCCAAACACTATGGCTAGGCTTTTGACCTGACATACCAAACTCTTCTGTTGCCTATCACATCAATTCGCCCCTTGCGAGGCAATGCGTCCGACTACATGGTTAATGTTCTACTGTTACAACCCTGGCTATGGGCGTAATCTGACGTACTGAAGAATCTTGACTTGTTGGAGGCGTTCTTGCACACAGCCTTGATACAACGCTTTTTGCGGCGATCACAATCGTCATGACGGGATAACGTCATTGTTCTCACGACTTCCAAGTTATAGAAACTCACTTGTCTTACACAACTCACATTGAAAGAAACTCAGGGAGACCTTACACGAGGTACCTCCAAATCATCATCACCCTGTTTTTCTCGCGTCAGGCAGTTTCACGAACTTTCTCGCACCCAAGCGATTTACAAAAAAAGGCCGTTTAAAATGCCAACAAGTGAAGACGTCGACTCTCGATTCCCCACTCCTCCCAGTCCCCCAACTCCTGGCCCTAACTCAAAAAGCAGCATGGCGAAGACTGGACAAGGTGAGTCACGTGCTACGTTTCCACGTGGACTTGAAGCCACGAACGAAAAAACATTTCAAGTCAACTTTGTGTTCAACTCCATCATAGAACAGCAGGGGATCGCACCTCCTGTTACGTATTCTTCTGTCCTCTTTTCCTTTCTTCTGCTTTAATTTTTTACGTCCGTTTCTTATTTAACTTTAGAGCAACTCTTTGATTCGGTTCCAACAACTCAAGGGATTTCTAGCAAGTCGCGTTTCTAGCACCTTCTAAGTGTGTGACTAATTTCTTCCACTAACCGCAGGTTTTTATGATTCTGCCGCCACAAACACTTCGCCTATTTTAAAACCAACTGACGGTGAAAGTGGTTTGGGTACCTCGTGTGATTCCATGTATGGTGGCGAAAGTAGAGCCTCGGCAGATTCTTCGATGTCTGGTCCCGCTCGGGCTGGATCCAATCGACGTCGCCGTCCCCACGCGACGTCGAGTAGCAGACCTCCCGGAATTCAACCTTCCCACTCCCCAACCACTCAAAACTACGGTTTGCCACCCCCGTTTGGCCCTCATGAAAACACCCAACCTCCTACGAGTTTTTTGGGACCCCCTCTCCATTATCATCAACCCTCCGGAGTGCCTTTCAATCAAGGGAGTGGTTTTGTTGGACAATATCCGATGTCGCCACACCCACCTCCCGTGACGATGGGCCATCCACAGCCGTCCTTCACATACCCACACGCATTTCACCATCCAACAGTGCCAGACAACAACATGGCGGCGTCGACAAATATACTTGGTAGCCACCAGAACGTGCTACACCATCCTCCTCCTGTTTATCCGTATTCGAATGTTCTAGATGGTTCTTCCCAACACGCCTCGTTCACAGGAGCCGCAAATTCCCCAGTTTACTCGCCGCACCAGGGTCATGCCTTAAATTCTCCCTTGTCACCATCCGCTGCTGGTCCAGGCAGTCCACTGTCGCCTTACATCGGCACGACTCCATTCCGATACTCTGCTCCACACTTTACATACTCCCAATCGTTTCCTACGGCAACCAACGCGTACCGGGGTTCTTATGGGCCAGCGGCGTATGGCCAACACCAGCACTTTCCCCCTTCATCACCAGAAGCCGATCCAACAGGTGCGTGGTGGTATCCTCCTCATGCCATGACGCCCCAGGGCTATGAAAGCACGCCACCATCGTATGGGCCCCGTTACCCTTTCCAATATTTCCAGACGGGCCATCGTGATTTAGACGGACCGTATAATTCTGCGTCTCCGTCGTCTGGAAACCCATTCCCTATGTCACCCAATCGTCCCCCCTCCGAAGAAGCACCATCCCATAATTCCCCTTACATCGGTCCCTCATCCGATCCTGATTCAGCCGCGAGCGGACAATCTCAGGTTCCCGATAAACCTGTCATCCGTCGTTCCTACCACCCTAATCCACCCGCCCACCGTTCTGAATGGGTTATGTGGGTAGGGAATGTACCTTCTGATTCTGTTCATGACGGATTGTGGCGCTTCTTCAACCAGCCTCCAGAAGGTTACTCCCCTAACAACGACGCCTGGGCCTCAGGAGTGCTGTCCATCTTCTTAATTTCACGCTCCAGCTGCGCTTTTGTCAACTTTGATAGCGAACAGTCTTTGCACGCTGCAATTGAACGTTTTAACGGCAAGCAGCTGCGACCACAAGAAGCCCGGTGTCCCAAGCTCGTTTGCAGGGTCCGAAGAAAGGACGACGATTTGAAGGCAGGCGTTGGCGGGCAACGTGGGGTGGGATTGCACGTACAGTGGATAAAAGATCAGAAGGGTAAGGCTAAAGAAGCGATGAAAGGTGCCCCTATGATAGCCTCTGATCGTCCCACGCCAACCATGGGTAACCCAGACCCTCTCTCCCGCCCCTTGGCGTCTGTGTCCTTATCTAGCGACCACGAGAGTCTGAAGCGCGCTCATTCCAAACATTCTAGCAGTTCCGGATCATATGCGTCAACTGACTCTAGCGTCCTCACCCGTTATTTTCCAAAGCGATACTTCATTCTTAAGTCGCTTACTAGGGTAAGTGATGCCTTCTCTACGTAATTTTCATAGCCCAACTTATATTTTTCTAGTACGACCTGGACCTTAGCGTGGAAAGCGGGCTATGGGCAACGCAGAAGCACAATGAGGGTATATTGGATCAAGCTTTCCGCACAAGCAAAGACGTGTATCTCATTTTTGGGGTGAACAAGAGCGGAGAATTCTACGGCTATGCAAGGTGAGGTATTTCAATCCTGGAGGGCTGCTTTTGTTAAACTGTTTCGCACCATCAGGATGGCTGGTCCTGTCCGTCGCAGCGAAGCTCATGTTTCTTGGGCATCACGCAATGATTCTGGAAGCCGTTCATCACGATCACCCGACGCAGCTCAGGCAACGATGCAAATGATGACACCCACCAGCCCATTCCGCCAATCGGCCGCAAAGTCGTTGTCAAACGCCTACTTCCCCCCTTCCTCCGGCAAGTTTGTGGGGAATTCACCTATGCCTGTAGATGGCAGTCCCGCTTTGAACTTGGAAGGAACGGAGGAGCCAGGTGATGCAACGACTCCAGGTTTACATCATAGGCAGCAAGCCCGGTCTGCACCGGCCATTTTGGGCAAGCCCCAATCGCCGCTCACTCTTCGCACACCATATCAAAAGCAGAGTTTGCCTACCATGAACGCGTTGACACCGACTCCTGCAGACAGCTTTGAGCTTGATGCATCAGCGCCTGTGCGAGCCATGAGGGGGAATCACGGCACTACCTCAGAGTCCTCTTCTAAGGTTGTCCCGCCTTTAGAAGTTGTAACGGAAGCTGAAGAGGAGAAGGCTGAAGATCAAGAGGACGACGGCGGATTGGAGAGGGCTGAAGACAAGGTTGCAGAAGGAGGTGACGAGCCGGAGGGAGGAGCTGGTGGCCGTGAGGATGCATGGGGGGATTGCTTCAAAATCGAATGGCTCTGCACGGAGAAGCTGCCATTCTACCGTATTCGACATCTACGGAACCCTTGGAATCACGAACGAGAGGTGAAAGTGTCGAGAGATGGTACTGAGCTGGAGCCCATTGTTGGGCAACGGTTGTTGGACGAGTGGCAAAACCTTGCTGAACCACCTGCGGTGGGGCCTGGGAAACCATCTGGCTCCACGAGACGTTCGGCTCCAAAATCTAGCGCTGGGGGGAGTACAAAACGGTAAGGTTTAGAAGGGGATGGAAAATATTCACGACAACTGAATCCCACAACTCAAAATTTCGTGCATGTTTAAACACGCTTGCGCTTTGCTATCGTTTATCCCACAATCGTGTTGGTCTCCTCCCATTTTTCTTCCGCCTACAGCGATGCTGATGATTTTTTTCTTTTAAGATCTATGACATAACAGGACCATCTTGCACATTCACGAAACAAGACTGTCACTCTTTTATCATCTCTGGAGATATTTTACTCATGGACTCGGGCCAACATCATCTATCTGGTTGCACTCTTCGCATGTCGCTTTCATCCTCGGGGTGTATGATTCACTGCATTTTCTTTGGCTGTAGCTATAGGTTAGAATCGTCTTTATGTAATACCTCGTATAGTACCATAGCAATATACACGTAGCACAGCGGTTCCCTTGTAACTCCCGCGTGACTGGCTAAAATTAGCAAAGTATATATCTAAGATGTTTAACTTGCAAGCTCCATCCAACATTACACTCATGGCCGACATTCTCCCTCCTTTCTGTGCAGACACAGCTCATAAGAAAGTCAAAGCAGCACAGGCTTTGTGGAACACGCGGTAATAGATTATTAGATATGGATGGTACGCGATGCTCAAGAATCCTTCAGTGATCCTCAGAAAGTATCGCTCGCCTACACACCCAACAGCATCTGGCGAAATCGTGATGTCTTCATCCGAGGAACGGATGAGATCGTGAAGTTCCTAACAGAGAAATGGGGCGTGGAGAACGGATACCGCCTGCGCAAGGAGTTGTTCTCGTTCACAGATAACAAGATTGCGGTCCAATTCTGGTACGAGTTTCATGACGAGTTGGGTCAGTGGTGGCGATGCTATGGGCTGGAGGATTGGACCTTCGCGGAGGATGGGAAGATGGAGAAGAGGATGATGAGTGGGAACGACGTGAAGATCAGTGACAAGGATCGTTGGTTCAAGGGGAGCGTAGATGTCGACAGCGTGAAGATAGGGGAAGAACATTGGTAAGAGTTTTCTGAAACGTTGACATCTCATGCGAAGCGCTCGTCTGTATATCTATGTCAATTTGCAAGTAAACCGGGGTCGTGGTCTTGCTTCCGTGGCTAGTGATGTGGAAGGAAGGAAGTGCGCTACGCCGCTATCCAGTCCCAGGAATGTCATACTTTCGATTTACCTTTTTTAAGCTGGAATCCAGAAATAATGCATCTAATCTTGCTACACCTTGAATACTAGTAAATGTGAGCGTGGTGCATCATAACAAGTTGAGAAAAACATACAGGGTGGATGCCGCCGTCGGGCGATAGCTCCTGGTGAATCCAAAGAGGTGAGCTGGGTAATATGTATTCACAATACTCAAGCAAGGGGGACGGTGAAGTAGTGCGCCGTCTTCGAGCAAGCTATTGACCTGTCAAAGGCACGGCCAGTCGTGGACATCTCATCACTCTTTCTGGCGTGCAAGAATGATTTCATCCATGCACCGCGCTATCGCAGTCGAGTCAAATGTGGTGGCAGGGTATGATGGTTGTCGCGTCGGTACCGACGCATTCAAGTTGAGCACATGGATTGGCTCCGCGTAAAACTGCCAGTGATCCGATGAAGTTGTTGAAGTCCACTGATTGCAATTGCATGAAGTCAGTTGATAGACATCCGACTTTTTGACGTTCAATGTTTGAAAATATCAATGTTCATTACGTTCAACGTTCATCCCAGACACTGTATAAGTATCGTTAACGACGTTTAATTCTGTGGGTTGGGTTGCTCACCAACTCTCTTCACATCAATCACAGTTCACTGGGTCCAATCTCCCCTGGCTTCCTCCCCCAGATCTATATCAAATTGAGGTTCTGCTGATAAATGCCTATAGATATCGTCTAGTGGCCGCCCTCTGCGGACTTCTGCGAGGGAACTTCATGTATGTATCAGACGCCCACGCGGTGTAATGAGTCATGCGTTTTCGCCGCGTTATCAAAATTCTTAACTTAAACTTGCGCGTTCTACAACATTTTACCCTTGGTCCATGTCTGCTGGCTCGTTAGCAGCGATGGACGCCTCTTTATACCAGACGAGCCTCCAGCATGTCATGTCTGCTTATACCTTCGACCATCCAAAAGACTTGTACGTTCGCATTTGGGGGAGCCACTGTGTAACTGACGTTGTCCAGGTTCAACGACACACTATTCATCCCTGTCACTGCGGCTTTAGTATCGGCTAGTGCATTATTCGTTCATGCCATTATACGGTTGCGCAAGCGAGAGGAACAACCGGAATTTGGACTCAACGGAGAGGACGACGAGACGCGTCGACAGCCGTTTTCCACCAAGATTAAGGAGCATGCTTGTGCACATGGAGGGGCTGTCATCTACCTGTTCAAATTCCTGCGGTTGTTTGGATGCTTGGACTTAGTGGCGCTATCAGTGGCAACCTTCGTTCTCCGTCATAAGGGAATACACCACATACAATGGCTAGAAGTCGCTCGGGAGGAATGGCCGGACGTTGCAATGATCGCGACATATGTAAGTCTTCTTAACGTTGGCACTGAAATACCCAATTCTCACTCTATATTAGATATACACATCTATTCTCGCACTCGTTTCCTTGACAAGCAAAAAATGGAACACACTCTTTACAAGACATAACATCGGCATCTTGCTTATGGCTCTCGCCGTTTACTTATACAGAGACGTGTGGCCCCTGGCGACCTATACCCTCACTCCAATCGACGCGTCGGAAGGGTCACTACTCTGGGCCAAGCTCGGAGTTTTGAGCTTCACGGCTGCGTTCATCCCGCTCTTTATTCCTCGCGCGTACGAACCGGTGGATCCCCGCGTAAGTTTTTTTTGCGTGTGACGGGAATTGTGTAGATAACATTCGAATCTTCAGGATCCTATGCAAGTCCCAAATGTAGAGCAGACAGCGTGTCTATTTTCAACCCTCGTGTATACGTTCCTGGATACTACTATTTTCAAGGCGTATAGCGTGGCTCATCTGCCGTATGATGAACTCCCTCCGTTGTGTGATTATGACCGCTCCAAAGTCTTGACTGACAAGGCGTTCGTGGTACGTGCTCATAGGGCTTATTGATACGTTACAGTCTAATGATCATTGTAGCATCTTGACACCTTCAAAGGTGCGAAGAAACAACATCTCTTCTTCAATCTTATGCGTGTCTTTGGTAAACAGTCTTTATTCCCGCCTTTGCTTGATTTCTCATGCCTTTCGCTAGGGAAGGATTACTTCTTCGCAACATGCGGTATCACTGGCCAAGCTGTATTCGGATTCGCCTCTCCTCTCGCCATTAACCGAATCTTGAAGTAATTACATATCCCTCAGCTCTTCCAACTTCACAAAACCTCATTCATTGTTTAGTTATCTAGAAACCCGTGGTGCGGACTCCTTCGTTCGCCCATGGTTCTGGATAATGTGGCTCTTCCTCGGCCCTATGCTGATGTCGATCAGCTTCCAATCCTACATCTTCACCATGACTCGAACCCTCGTGCGCTGCGAAGCTCTGCTCGTCCAGCTTGTTTTCGACCACAGTCTCCGCATTCGTTTCAAGGCAGAGGCAGAGGAGTCAGACGAAAAGGAGAAGAAGAAGCCGGCTGAACCTACCTCGTCTTCTACCAGCTCGGTCACGGATGATTCTACGGAGCGAGAAGGGTCTACTGATTCTGCTACTGTGCTGGGCACGGAAGAAGCACCGTCTGTTACTAAAAAAGATTCTCCAGCTGAGGCGACAGCGCCAAAGAAAGCAGATAATCTTGTCGGGAAGCTGAACAACCTCATCACTAACGATCTGAATAATATCACTGGAGCTAGAGATTTCTTAATGATTAGTGCGTTTTCTGCTGTTCATCGCACGAAAGAAACTGTTGACCCTATGTCAAGTATACCTGGTCCCACTCGAGGTTACCCTCGCGATGGTGTTCCTGTACAAAGTACTTGGATGGAGTGCCTTTGTTGGGTTTGGTAGCATTATCGCCCTCATTCCTCTGCCTGGCTATATTGCAAGTCTTATACAAAGTGTCCAGAAGAAGAAGATGGCAATGGTAATTACCCTTTTGTCTCATTTTCACCTCGTGATAGAGATTGATGATACTTTTGATAGATCGATGCTAGAGTCCAGACAGTGACCGAGAGTACGTTACTCTACAACCTATTACATTGGTAACCTGACTGGTCTGTTCAGCGGTGGGCGTTCTCCGGATGATCAAGCTGTTTGGATGGGAGGGCAAGATGAACAAGAAGATCCAAGAGCGCCGAGAAGAGGAGTTGAACTGGATGTGGAAGGACAAGGTGCATCACTCGGATCCGTTCCTTGTTGTCGGGCTTACAGTTTGCCCTTGCTAGGTTTTGGATTTGTGCAATGATATGATCAAGTACGTGGCTTTCATGAAAAGAATGCATTGCCACATTCAAACCTCATATTCAGCTTCATCATTCCGACAATCACCATGCTTATCACCTACGCGATATACACCCTCGTCATGAAGGAACAGCTAACAGCCTCGAAAGTCTTCTCAAGCATGTCCGTCTTCGACATCCTGCGCAACCAGCTCCATCGAGTTTCCTGGATGGTCACCCAGTCCATTCGTGGCAAAGTCTCATTGGACCGAATTGACAAGTTTTTGGGCGAGACCGAACTTTTGGACTCGTTCGCGAAGGATGCATCGAAGACTGTCATCGACCTTTCCCAAGGTGACCACGAAGACGTTATTGGATTCAACAATGCGGAATTCACTTGGTCGGCATCGATGCCCGATGATGGTTCATTGACACCTTCGTCTCGTGCTTACAAGCTCCGCATTGAGGGTGAACTGTTCTTTGAACGTGGGTCTATCAATCTTATCATTGGACCTACGTAAGTTCGCCCTCTTCAATTTTTGTTTTCTTTGCTCACCTTTCCTTTCTTACCAGGGGCTCCGGAAAGACGTCCATACTCATGGCATTACTTGGTGAAATGCACTTTACGCCACCAACTGGGGACTCTTGGTTCAACCTCCCTCGTGCTGGCGGGATCGCCTACGCAGCGCAGGAGTCTTGGGTCCAGAATGAGACTATAAGGGATAACATTGTGTTCGGTGCTCCTTTCGACGAGAAGAGGTATAAGAAAGGTGAGTTACGTCTTCGCGGATTAGAGATTGGGCTTACCCTAACGCTCTTTAGTTCTTCAACAATGTGCACTGGAGCGCGATCTTGAACTCTTTGAGGCTGGAGATCGTACAGAGGTTGGCGAAAAGGGTCTTACTCTCAGTGGTGGACAGAAGGCTCGAGTCACACTTGCCCGGGCTATCTATTCGAGCGCTGAGATTATCCTCCTGGATGACATCTTGGCTGCCCTTGACGTCCATACGTGAGTTTCTAACACCGTGATTTCGTATCCCTCCTGACTGGCCGAACAGATCCAAACATATCATCGACCAATGCTTCAAAGGGGACCTTGTTCAAGACAGGACTATCCTCCTCGTGGTATGTTCCCAGCGATGATTCTGTAGGGTCTATTGATAAACCATTTGTATAGACCCATAATGTCGCACTTGCTAGCCCTATCGCAAACTTTGTCGTTTCGATTGGCGCCGATGGTAAAGTTCAGAGCTACGGTAACGATATCTCGGCTGCCCTGGCTGTTGATCCCACCCTGGGTCGTGAACTGGAACGCGAAGAACAAGAGCTTGAGCTAGCCGCTACAATTGAAGAACAAAAAGTAACCAAGTCGGACGGAAAGCTCGTGGTTGCGGAAGAAATCCAGGAAGGACGTGTCAGCCGGAAATCTATGACGTTGTTCTTCAATGCCCTTAGTGGAAACCATATTTTCTTCTTCTTCTTTGTTTGGATGTCGGCAAATGTCCTCAAGGATATCGCTCTGACCTTCTCGGTTTGGTTCCTTGGTCATTGGGGCTCTCAGTATGAAACTCATCATCCAAGCGAAGTTCCTGTCTTCCGGTACGTCTTCTCGCAATCCTCCAAATGATCGGTGTCTGACACCACTTTCTATGTTAGATACATGTGGCAATATTCGTCCATCCTTGTCGCAAACATCATGGTCTACAGCTTTGCCAATATTTACTACATCATCGCAACTTTGAGAGCATCAAGAACCATCAACAGGGTGCTGGTCACCTCCGTCCTTGGAAGCACACTTCGGTAAGTGGCTTGAAACCTTCCACGTTGTGAAAATCAAATTTTCTCTCTAGGTGGCTGGATGAAACTCCGACCTCTCGTATCATTACTCGATGCACACAGGATATCGGTGTTGTTGACAGCACATTGTCTCAATACTTCTCATGGGTTATGGAACTTGGCCTCTCCATGATTGCCAGGCTCATCGCATCTGTTTTGTTCACGCCTATCTTCATCTGGCCAGGGTTGTTCATTGGAGTTGTCGGAGTTTACCTGGGCAACATCTACATTAAAGCACAGCTTTCTACGAAGCGAGAGATGAGGCGAGTACCTCGACTTCGTTTCAGCACAACGTCAACTGACTTTCTCCTTTTTTTTTTTTTTTTTTTTTTTGACAGCAATGCCAAGTCGCCTTTGTTAGGCCATTTTGCGGCTGCCATTGCGGGACTGAGTAAGCAGCCTATTAGATATTCAAATTTCATCTGTTCATGCCTTCTCAGCATCTCTACGAGCTTATGGCGTTGAAAATACCTTCAGGAACGAGTCGCTCAAACGCATTGATTACTATACCAGAGCTGCGAGGACGTCATACAACCTGAACCGCTGGATTTGTGTTCGCATGGACTTGTTAGGTGCCATGTTCACCACTGCCCTCGCCACGTACCTTGTCTACGGGAAAAGCATTAACGCCGCTAACACTGGTTTCTCGTTGAACATGGCCGTCGAGTTCACGACGATGATTCTATACCTCGTGCGAATTTTCAATGAGTTCGAAGTACAGGCCAACAGGTGTGTGTGAACCTCTTCTTGTGAGCTGGCTCATATAGTCGTGACCATAGTTTGGAGCGTATTCAAGGCTACATCGATATTGAACACGAACCGAAACCAACGGAAGCTGGAACCCCCCCTGCGTCGTGGCCAACGAGTGGTGAACTGCGTGTTGAGAAGTTGTCTGCTCGTTACTCTAAGGTAAATGACCAAGCTTCGCCTATCCGCGCCGTCTGACATTTGGTAACAGACTGGACCAAAAGTACTCCATGATCTATCATTCAACATCAGCTCTGGCGAAAGGATTGGTGTAGTTGGCAGGACTGGCAGTGGAAAGGTATACTTCTCGATACCTTTCTTAATTGATACTTACTTGGCTTGGCAGAGCTCACTGACACTTTCTTTGCTGCGGTGTATCTTGACGGAGGGCGAGGTGTACTACGACGGCCTCCTCACAAGCAATGTGAACTTGGATGCGCTTCGCTCAAATATCACGATCATCCCTCAAATGGTGAGTATGCGCCTGGCCTTCAAGCTGACCTCACTCAACTATCGCTATAGCCTGAGCTTCTTAGTGGAAGTCTGAGACGCAATTTGGATCCCTTTGAGCAACATGACGATGCAACTCTAAACGCTGCTTTACAAGCTGCCGGCTTGTTCTCGCTTCAAGACCAAACGGATGAGGCTCGAATCACGCTTGATAGCAGCATTGCAAGTGGCGGAGGGAATCTTTCTGTCGGACAAAGACAAATCATTGCTTTGGCTAGAGCTATTGTGAGGGGAAGCAAACTTTTGATCTTGGATGAAGGTAAGCGACGCACTTTCCGAAGTCAAGACATGGCTAATATTCCACCCTCTCCTCGATAGCCACTTCTGCTATAGGTGGGTTTGGCTTACTGTCAACGACGACAATTGCTCATCTTCCCCACTAGACCACAAAACTGATTCTATCATTCAAACTACTCTACGACACGAAGTCGGTGCTGATGTTACGGTCCTCACGATTGCACATCGTCTACAGACCATCATGGATGCTGACAAAATTGTGAGTTTCCGGTCCATCACCAATAGTCACTCTGAAATTAATGTTCCATAGCTTGTTCTTGATAGTGGAAAAATTGTAAGCGGCTTTGCGAGCTCTTTCTGGCTCTGGCGCAATTACTAATTGCTCTCTCTAGGTTGAGTTTGATACTCCTAGTGCACTCCTTAAACAGGATGGTGGAATGTTCAAATCTATGGTGGATGGGAGTGGGGACAAGGCCGCCCTTTACGCGATGGCTGAGGACAAGGCATCCTCGAGTTGATTTATGCATAAGAAAAGGACAACAAAGTAACTAGAAAGTTGCTATGGATCTATTTTATTCATGGTTTATTTTTGTATATGGAATGAATATTGTTCTCACGGTTTGCTCTCATGTCCGTTCTCTTTGAAACGTCTTTGGGCGACATAGTCATCGATCTCGAGGTTGAGGCCTGCCCCAGGACATGCGAGAATTTCCTGAAACTCTGTAAAGTGTACTACTACAACCTGAATGCTTTCTTCAATGGTTTGTAACTTGCCTGTTTTACCACTGGTTTGGCCTTATAGTTTCGTCATACAGTATCAAAAGACTTCCTCGCACAAGCTGGTGACCCAACCGCAACCGGAACGGGCGGTGAATCCATTTTCTCGCTCTTAGCCTCCAAATCTTCCTCCGATGTTCCGATACCACGATACTTCCCTCCAGAGATCCTCCCAAAGCTGAAGCATACGCATAAAGGCACAGTCTCCATGGCTGTAGCTCCAGCCTTGGAGGGCAACAAAGGAGGCTGCGGAAGTCAGTTTTTTATCACTCTCGGGGACCAGATTGACTACCTGGACGGCAAACACGCCGTTTTCGGACATGTAGTTGAGGGATTGGACACGCTTGACAAGATGAATGAAATCTTTGTGGATCAAGATGGACGCCCATTGAAGGACCTTCGGATAAGGCATGTTGTTATTCTTGGTACGTCTTTTATTAAAGCTCATCACTTCCAAAGTCTCAGTGGATTTCGAATGTAGATGACCCCTTCCCCGATCCGCCAGGTTTGGTTCAACCACCTTCCTCTCCGACACGGCCTCCAGACAACTCCACTCGTATTGCTGAAGATGAAGACCCGCTGGCGACTCTTCCTGAAGAGGAAGAAGAACGGATTAGGCGCGAGAAAGCGGCGGCCGCCTCGGCGCTAACTCTCGAGATGGTGGGAGACCTTCCATTCGCTAATGTCCGCCCCCCTGAGAACGTCTTGTTCGTGTGCAAACTCAACGCCGTAACGAGAGACGAGGATCTGGAGCTTATCTTTTCGCGTTTTGGCACTATCATGAGTTGCCAAGTCATTCGCGATAAAAAGACTGGTGATTCCCTACAGTACGCGTTTATCGAGTTTGATAAGCGTGAGGACGCTGAACAGGTAAGTTCCTCACAAATATATGCCGGGAGATGCTGTGGCTGATAGTTATCGCAGGCCTATTTCAAAATGCAAAACGTACTCGTTGATGACCGCCGTATCTGGGTTGACTTGTGCGTTAAACCCGCTAGACCATGTACTTCGTTTCGCCTAACGTAATTTTCTCCTAGCTCGCAATCCGTTGCGAAAAGCAATACTTTTTGGTCAAACAACATCGTCAGAGGCCCCAAGCGGACCAAAACTAGTGGGTATGGCGGCCGAGATGACCTAGAAGAAACTCGTCGATATAGGGGCGACGATGGGCGCCCCAGTAGCCACGAGCACCATCACCATCGAGGTTATGGAATGGTTTTTGACGTTCCCGATCACTCCGAGCGCCGAAGAAAACGCAGTCGGAGTGGCGACAGGGACGAAGTAGACAAATCTAGGGATACACGCCGACGACACTCAAGAACTCCACCTCCCAGAGAATCTAGCGGAAGAAATGGGCATCGAGAGCACGAAAGACGTAGGTCCCGCAGTAGGAGCAGAGAAAGACATACTGGCCGAGAGCGAAGACGGTAGCACGGTCCCGTTGATCTGTATTTTTTTGAGCGGATAAGCCCTACCTCCTTCCAGATGGTGAGCGTTGCGCATTCTGTTAACTTGTCCCAAATTTGCTCATTCTTTCCCACTTGCCTCAGATCACTGATACTTGTACATCTTTCTGCCACGTAAAATGAATTGTCTATGGCTGTGCCTGAAAGTGAAAATTATGAGCATGATTGCTGACTCTCTTTGAAGCGAATGGAGATTCAATGCCTTTTGGACCGTCTGGGGAAAAGTAGGCGACGCCAAAGATGAAGAATTCAAGTAACAAGGAAACAGAATATTTGGCCCCACCACACTCAAAATGCGAAGGTCGAGGGCTAATGAGCTGTCAAACTCGACCTCATTTCTGCCGTCATGGCTCACGTCAAACCCGCTCTGTGACTTGACTATGAATATCGGTGGAGATTTAACACTTCTCCTTGAAAATGCATCGTGGCCTTCACGTTTTTTGCAGCTACTTACTTCGGCAATATCTCGGCGTAAAGTTGAACAACAAGATGGCGGGAAGGTAAGGAGGTTACATCAATAAAACCTATTCCTCGGGATCCAAATCGCCCTTTAGGTTTCCCACCGAGATGATATGCATCCTCTCCTTTTAGCACAGTGAGTTTTGCCGTCTTCATCTCCGCTCAGTGCTCATCGTACCTTTTGGATTGTGACTGTGACTATCCGTGACATACTGACAATCGTGATACTTTTCGCAAGGTGGGAAGTAGGAAGGTGTGTTGATCAACATAATCCAATCCTCCGATCGGATAGTATCTGAATTTGACGTGTTCTTTCAAAGGTCGAGAAGCCTCCAAGAGACCATCAAGTGGTGCCACTGTGAGCCGCAAAACTCCGTCGTGGCAATGCTATCGGATATGCGGTTCCCGACACCGTCTCGTTCCGCAGGCTCGCCTAATAGTGTATCACGCTAAGTCCTCTAAAACATGGAGTTAAGAAAAGTTAGGCATGCGGCTCTTTGCCTCCAGAGCTTAAACCGCGCTTTGAGCGTGATGACATCTCCAACATCGAAATACATTGATGGCGTGTCAACGATCCGGCCCTGCTCCGTTTACGGGACTGCTGTCCGCCGCATAACACTGCCTAGGGAAAGCTCATCAGATAATCGGAACGACGGTGATACAATACATGCGTTCCTGAACGTCCCATATAACCAGGCCCAGCGAATCAGCGAAAGTCTTACCACCAATGGGACGGATGTCGCCCCGAGCTCTATCTTACCTCTGGCTCCTTGGAATTTTGGCATTTTCTACAGCGCAATCCCTCAACCAAACCCCTTTGCAGTCACCGCATGTCTCTCAGTCTGAATGGGATGACTTGAACTATCAGGTTGGGGGAAGGTTGTTCAGAAGCGCACCGTTCGCCAAGCCCTGCTTTACACGACCGTTTCCCTCTCCCTCATGTGTTCAGGTTCAAGATGGGTACGTGGACGAAGGTCAGCTTTTTTTTACAGCCGTTCCCTCATTGTGTGTTAAAAATTCCTAGAAACTCGTGCGAATACGTCATCGGCATACATCCAGAGCCAGTGGGAGACTTGTCAAGTAACGGGGGAGCAATGCCTACTCGATTATACCAATCCCAAGAATGAAGAGCCTACGACTCGCAAATGCCTTCCTGGCAGTATCCCAAGATATTTCGTAGATGTGCGATCACCGAAAGATATTGCGGCTGCCTTTCTCTTTTCGAAGAAAACAAGGGTCCCAATCGTGATAAAAAATACTGGGGTAGGTGCATTTTGTTGTCGACGACTGACTCTTAAGAAGAGGCATGTAGCACGATTATAAAGGCCGCAGTAGTGCTCCAGGGTCTCTTGCTCTTTGGGTACGTCCTCATCCAAATTTCTTTCGTAATGCACTGACCAATTTCTATCTTCAGACCCACAATCTTAAGAAGGTGCGTCCAACGAGGAATCATGTCCGACACATATTGAATCGGAATCTACTACTCAGTTGACCTATAACTCTGAATTTACCCCAGAAGGATGTTCACATTCCAGTCCTGGAGTAACAGCTGGCGTACGTAATGCGAAGCCCTATACTCTTTGGAAATGATTGACAATTTTTTACGATTTCAGGCTGGTGTACAATGGGGGGAGGCATACCCGTTTGCGGAGAAGAATAATATCACACTTGTCGGGGGTGCGCCCTTCAACTGTATCTATCTTTCACTAGCTGATCTGGAACATTAGGCAGCGATAAGACGGTGGGAGTGGTCGGCGGCTGGCTTCAAGTCCGTCCCTTACACATATGAATGTTCCATTTCTAAACGTTCTATCATTAGGGAGGGGGTCACGGTGCGCTGTCAAACACAATGGGTCTGGGCGTGGATCGTGTGGTAACCTACTCAATTTATTTGAACCTACGCATTTGAAGCTAACGTCTCTTTGACAGCTTCAGTTCAAAATAGTCACACCAGATGGACATCACAGAGTCGTAAATGAATGCCAGAACGAAGATCTCTTCTTCGCTCTCCGTGGCGGTACGTTCCATTCACCAGGACTATCCAACAAATAATGATCCCCGTTTTGAAGGTGGCGGGGGGACCTTTGGCGTTGTGACTGAAGCTACAATCCTGGCATCTCCTCCGGTTAAACTGCAATCATTAATTCTCACACTGAAATCCCCTTCTGCGACGAAGCGCATGTGGTCGATATTGGCGGATAACGCTCTCAAATGGGCAGATGAAGGATGGGGTGGATTTTCCACGTCCCAGGTCGTCATTCTTATCAACCCAAAATTAAGTAGTCAAGAAGCGAGAGAATCCTTGGCCCCTTTGATTGACTTCGGAAAATCGTTGCCAGCTGACGAGGTTGAGTTGGACATCATAGAGTTTCCTACTTGGGGTGCTTTCTTTGATGTCTTCACAAAAGATCACGTTGCGGTAAGTCTCCGACTAAAGTACCTTTCTTCATTCATGGAAACAAAAAATACCGTCTTTTCTAGGTAGTTGGCGTCAGTTTGGCTCTTAGCTCTCGCCTCATCAGCAAGGAAAACGTTAAAACCGCTTCACGTAGAGAAGAACTAGTATCAGCTCTTCTTGCCGCGAATACCGCCACCCCTGGTCTCATTATTCTCATCTCGGCTCCCTCCTCCTTTCCATCCTCTGGTAAAACTAGCGTAACGGAGGCGTGGAGATCGAGTTTGTATCACGTCACTGTGATTTCACCCTGGAACTGGAACGCTACAACCGAGGAAAAGAGGCAGAACTATAAACGTGCAAGCGATTCGATCGACAATTTGAGAAGAATCACGCCAGATGCTGCGTATCTGGTTGGTCTTTGTTATCTGCTGGAGTTTCTTACTGATGATGACTTGACGTCTAGAATGAAGCTGACGTTTACGAGCCCAATCATGAAGGTAAGAGAGCTTGACAGAGTTTTCTTTGGCGCCGGTATCTCAATTTTGGTACTTACATTTAGTCGCCTTCTGGGGAGAACACTATCCGAAGCTGCTGCGCTTGAAAGAAAAGTAGTACGTCACTTGGCAAACGATGACTGTATGAAGTTAGTGCTTATCGATTGCAGTGACCCAAACCATCTACTTGATTGCTGGCATTGCGGTAAGCCACTCCTTTTTTCCTCATTTTCGAAGTTCTTATAAATCTGGTCATGACAGTCGGTTGGAAACGGAACTCTGCACGCTTCTCTTGTTATCTTTGAGATGCAGGGCTCATGTTTTGGATGGGAAAGCAGTTGAAGGGACTATGACTCGTAGCCACTATACCTATGGACGTTACAGTTAGTATGCAACCTTACTAGCTATCAATATTTCGAGATAACGTTGGGTGGGTTGAGTCTAACACTGGTGTATCCGTAGTCCGTTCATATGTCCACGACTGGGAGGGTACGGACAGATGCTTCAGATAGTTCGTTCATACATATTAATTACAACACCACCAACCGCAATCACAGCCAGGAGGAGTTAACTCTTCGAACCACTTATATTGATAGAGCCCCGATGCATGTGGCCGCCTCATCGGGTCCACCCTTAGACAGTCTCTGATGAACTCGGCCGCCCAAACCGCATCGTCTCCGTGCAAAACTTCTGAGAGACTTTTCTCAATGGTATCTTCAGAAACGACGGCATGGTAGTCCTCAGAAACGACGGCATGGTAGTCCGCCATGTTTTCGTCTTCAAGCCATTCAATCGGAATGGAGTCAGGACATTTTCCATGTCGAAGTACGCCGCTTATGTGTGCGACCGTTTCGGAGACGGTGGGTTTAGTAACAAAGGGAGATGTGCCGGTTAAAAGATAGAATGTCTAGAAGAGATTCAAAAAAGAGCGCAGACAGCAATTGGCTTGACTTGCCATATAACCCAACATCCAGATATCAGTTTTATCTGAGCAGTATGCCGAATGCAAGAGCGTTTCGGGCGCGAAAGAGTAGTCAACGTTTGTCTGCGTCGATTTCAATCGATCCTGTGGATTTGATTGGTGTGCTGACAGAGGAAGGAACATTTAGAAAAAATAAAACCAACGAGTAGGAGAGGGCATACCATGTCCGAAACCACAGAGATAAAGGCTCCAATTTGCAATCTTTTTCTTTTTATCGTCCCAGCTGCACCCATGACCGAGAGGCTGTGATATCACAACCGGGTATATCTTGTTTTTTCTAATAGTTGGTCGTGGCTCCGAAGCGAGAACGGATTTGATATCTTCAGTCCCACTTGCCAAGCGGCGAAAGTAAACATTTTCAGGACTGACAGCTGGACATAACCGTTGTCAAGACCTTGTAAAATCATCGTACATGACAAGAATTTCGTACCTCCGTGCATGATACCAACGTCATGCAAGGAACTTAGTGCATTGGCGACGGTTAGGACGATGCGCTGAACGGCATGGATAGGCAGACGCTCGTGATCCGCCTCATGCATAAATGCTTGGACAGTGGTGCTCATCGGATCTAGGACAAGACAGAGATGTGAGCCAGCGCGGGTTTGCTCCCAGAAGTCGCCACGGCATGCTGGAAGTCCGTCATTGCGCTCAAGGCCGTGAACGACCTTGAGGATGGGAACTTCCACGGTCCTCGCATACTCTGAGGCGGCGATAGTGTAAATCTTGATCGCGAAGTAGTTTTCTTGGCCCCGGGCAAGCCATGTAGATGATCGAGGGCCATACCCCAGCTTACGGACGATTTGGAACCTCCCACCGTTGAGTTTTTGACCCATTGTGGCAGAAAAGTAGCCTCCGCCTTGGGAAGGGGAGAGATCGAAGGGCTCTTCAGGGAAATACATAGGTTATGATTGATATGTGATAGAGCATGAACGTTGCACGAACAGTGAAACCCATTACTAGGAGTTTGACTCGCACTTGAAAGCTCCTAAAAACTCGTGTGAATACGTCATCGGCATACATACAGGAGCCAACCAGGAGCAATACCTTATACCAATCCCAAGATTGAAGAGTCCGATTCTCGCCAATGTCTTCCTGGCAGCAAGTTGTATTATTGATGTGCATACACCGGAAGATATTGCAGCTGCTTTCGCCTTCTCAAAGAAAACAATAGTCCCAATCGTGACAAAATGATCAAGGGGTAGGTGCATTTTGTTGTGGACGACTGATTCTTGATAACGGGTATCTAGCACTGATCTTTGAGAATGGGTGACCTGCAGGAAGCTACAGAGCAGTGTCGGTAGCATAACATAACATACTTAGACAATAAGTATACCCAGTCCACTACTACTGTCACATCATGGGCCATTCTGTGAAAGCACCCTGGCTGAATCGGAAGAAGCTAATGCTTCCAGAATCAACAACAGCGATGACGACCATTTTCTTCCCAGCTTTCAACGCCATGAATGGATTGGGTCTTCGTACTGGAATCAGTGGTTGAGCTACGGCCGGACGTGGGAACGCCCAAGGGAAGAGGCGGCGGAAAAGAGAAGGTGGGAGTTGATTTGCATTGTTGAGGGTTTGAGTGGGGGCTGCATTCTCGCTGACTGCAGGACCAGGGATAGCCGGATTCGTGGTTCCCGGAATGGGTCTGCGTTGGCGCGGCAAAGGTGTTGGAAGCTCAGGGAGGACGTCAAAGAGGTCTGTAAGCTCTTGCAGAGTTGGCATTGGGGTTGTCCGGGCACTATCATATGATGAGCTGAGTCTCGTCTAGTGACTCCAATGTCACTCACTTGATAACAACTATTTGGAAATCAGGAGGCGGAGGCGCCGTTTTCTTGAATGGCGTTGAAGGTTTGTAGAGGTTGTAAAAGATTTGGTAGGGTGATTCTACCTCAACACTTTTCGATTGTCGTAGAGGGACTCCATGCCCCGAGGGAATGAAGCGCAAGGAACGGAAAAGTGAGCCTGGGTAGCTTGTTGGTGTACCATTCATGTATTTTGCGAAGCAACTCACCGTAGTTTTTGTCGTGGTGAAGCCAGCGGCTGATACGCATTGGCCTCCACCAGTCAAAGCTCCCACATAAACGAGATAGCCAAGAAGCCCAAGTAGGAAAGAGAGAGCTGATTCGTTGGAAGATGGAAGGTGCAGAGTTCACGATGACAGTATTGGGTGGTGTTGGGTAGTACGAAGTTGGCGGCTTCGTTCTAGTAACGACATAACCGAGCCGTTTCAAATATGAAAAGACCTAAAAAGTATGATAAGGGAGCTCGCTTAGCGGAAAGGAAAAGAGCATACCTGGAATCTATCTAAAGTGAGATCTTCCGTCCCTATCATCTCACTGTACCCTTGCTGCACACTCATCGGCGCCCCTAAAACTTCAAAAGCCCCCGAAACTTCTGTAAGATTCAAATCGGTTTCCTTCCAGCAAAACATAGACCCTCTTTCGATGAGATAAATGGCTTCTTCAGGCAACAATTCCAGTCGTTTTTGAATTTTCTCGACGCCATTCTCCCCAAGCAATGAACGAGGCGCTGAATGGCCCATAGAGGAAAAATGAATTCCTCGGGCAACCGTAACATGGGTACGAGCGAGACTTGGCTGCCACACCCCATAGCTGATAGCTTTGCTACAGAATGTGATCAGCACAAGGTTCAAAGAGTGAAAAATTAAGATGGGCTTACCTAGATGTCGTACGTGTTGCCCGCAAGGCCTCCAACATGGCTGATCTCGCCCGATCCAAGACGTGTAATTGCAAGTTCGATCCACCGCCAGCTTTAGGTTCAAATTCCTTTTCACCGCGTTTTGGAATCACAGGACGCACTGCTTCTGGACTTTGTGATTTGAAGGGTCAATCGAATACTCCTTGCGTACTCGCAAAAGCTCACATAAGTTTTGTCCAGTCCAGTCCGCCATCTTCTCCGTCCGACGATTGCTCATCCTCCTCCTGTATGGCATCGGCAAGGGATACTTTGGGTGCAATTGCATTTGGTAGTTCCAACGTATCGTCCATTTGTTCAGATTGTCAACTCGTCAAGATTCGGGACGCGGCTGTGGAAAACAATGAAATTCACGTGTTGAGTTGAGGCTCAGTTATGATTGAAATTCTGAAGGACAAGCTCAAGCCCGTTGTGAGAGCTTGGCTAATCCTTCGGGCGCAAACATACCACGACAAGCCAGTTAATTCGCAACGCTTGAATCAGGCTTGGACTCATCAACGCATCAACATCCACGACTTGAAAAACACGTTCTTTCCAATTCCTTTACTCAGATTTGAGAAATGAAGGAATTTCGATGACTAAACTAGCGGTCCCGGATAAATCGGAGGAACTTTTGAAGGGTTTCCTGGTACTCGTCTCCTTGAAATATATCAAGCATGCGCTGCACCTCCATCCACATTTCGTCCACAATTTCATCCTCACTGCCAGTGTCAACTGAATCGATGATGGGAAAAATACTGGAAAGAAAAGCAGCAACCGAGTTAGGGTCGTCGATCGGAGAGTTCCCGACAGATAGGGAGGTCAAATTATTGCTGAAGGGACCGCTATCTGGCTCCAGCGATCCACTCCGAGCATCAAAAACTATGCCTAGGCACTGCAAGTTCGGGCAATATCTCGCAAAGGGGATAAGATCCCTCGCTGTTATGATCGTTTTTGACGGTGGGTATTCAGTGCCAAGTTGAAGTTCCTCTATATGGGGCCAGGCAACAGCCAACCTGTTCGCAGTGTCGCTGGTAAGTGGGATCCCGAAACTAGGCTGAACATGGACCATTCGAACGTTTGAAAAGACAGTCAAAGCACCAAGCTCAATTCCAGAATGAACTGATTGCGAGTCACCCAAATTGTCCCCTGTTTCCTCTAAAATGAGCCGTTTCAATGAGGTACTGTTCAGGTGGCGACTGATGGTCCTAAAGAGCTCCTCCCAGGCGGAAGGATAACGGCAATTCTCCACTTGGATATTAAGTTCCTCGATGGGACTAGAGGATAAGAGTTGTACAAAGGCGATAGCCATTTCCATGGTCCTGCATGAAATGGATAAGAATTGAAGGGCGGGGTACCCCCGAGCGCAATTGCGGATAGCGATTGAATGATCTTCATCGTAAGTGCGCGTCGCACCGCTAAGAGAGTGGAAAGAAAGTTTTTGGAGAGATGGAATTGTTGCGAGATGTTCTAGCGCTTCTTCCGTTAAATCGGTGACCATGACGGACTGAAGATCTTTCCATTGACAGATGGCAGAAGAAATTGTCCGTCGCTGTTCTTCATTGAAGTTCTCGTCATTAATAGGAATTTTTAATTCTTTCAGGGCTGGACAAAAGTTGACAAGGCTGGAGAAAATGGAGAGGGTAATGGTGTCAGGGACACTGTCAAGGGCAATAGATAACGAGACGAGTTTGGGCGCGAGGAAGAGGGGGATGCAGTGTAACATCAACCTTTTCACTTCTATTGAGGTGAGCTCATCAGACCATAACAGGTGTCTGATGTTCGGAAGAAGGGGCTTCATATGCAACGTTGCCAGGCTCAGAGCTTGCACAACCCCAACATCAACAGGAGAAATTGAAGCCATCCAGAGTTTGCGTATCCGTGTCGCATACGATGGAGTCTTTTCTAAATCAGATGGCAAGATTGCCCTGCGTAAACACTTTGGGTTGAAAAAAAAATTAGACCGCTTTCACAGGAATATTTTGCAACGTACCAGCATGTTTTCCTTTTTCTTCATCTCGAACAAGTCAGATGGCATAGTGCAGAGAAGCGGGCGCAGGCCGCTAACCTCACGCCAAAGGACGTCAAGAGCTGGCCCTTCGAAATCACGACACGTGCGAGCGAGGACTGCTAAAGTCGGCGACCGATTATAAGGTTCTTTTGACAGGGCCCAGTCTTGCTGCAAGGCCTCGCAAATCAAGCCAAAGACCTCGGGAACACGAAGGCACTCATGAATCATTGCTGCAGGAGTTCAACAGGAGTTGGTAAGTTGATATTCAACTTGAAGTTCAAGTTTACATATATGTCACACAAAGTTACACAACACGTGGACGTTATTGACGCGTTGGTCACAATGTTCCCAAGAAGAGTCAAGACCCTTTGAATGAGGTCGCCAGAATTCGATTAGTACTACAGCATTTTTTAGAGTGAAGTAACAATTGAGAGGAAAAACTTACAGATTTACTTACAGCTTAATGCAAAACCGTAGACACCTCCCAAAAATTTATGCACTCCGCCTCGCTTTGTGCAAACAACCCTTTGAGGAAGGAAGCGGGTGGCACGGATGACGCAAGTTCCCCACTGCCCACTCAAGGCATATGTAACAAAGTGGAGTGCTCCACTGTCCACGCTCCAATTAAGGTTGTAATCATACGGAATTGCACCAAATGCGGTTGTTTGTGCAAAGCGAGCCGGAGCCCAGAAATTTTGGCGAGGTGTCTAAGTAGTAGGGTTTCTGCATCAAGCTGTAATTCACTGAATGTATGCTTGCGCATTGGTTGCGCAACGCTACGAAAGATAAGAAGCTACATACAATCATGTCATACTAGTACGATGCAGCTTAGGCTCTTTCATCTCCTTGTGTCAGAGATATAAGTACACTGGAGTCTGGCACAAACCATCATTGATCATCGTTCAGTCACACCCATTCCCATACCACTCCTTTCCTGTCATCGCACCTTGCTAAACCAGAGAGTCGGGGATTATATTAGGGGTATTTCGGAGACTGCATCTCCAAACGAGGTATGGAGAGGTTAACATCGTCAAGTTGTATCAGGGGGCTTCGGGCCCAACCTCAAGATAACGCGTGGTAGCTTGTTTGTCCGAGTAGCATCACCTTCTGTTGAACCGGCCTCAAAACCTGATGTACCACTAGCATTTGGAGCAGAAGCTGAGGCAGGCACAGTGGACTTCGCCGGCGTCGTGCTGGGGCGAGAAGGGGATCCTGCTGCAGACGTTGTCTTGACCTTTGTCCTATCGCGTAGGGTCATCGATGTGGGAGGTGTGGATGCGATGGGACGTCGAGAGGACGACACTGACAATGTTTCTAAGGGCTCAAGTATCGCAATTGTCCGCTCCAGCCAGGGCTCAGCAGAACCAGAGGCACCGAGGGAAGGTCTGCCGCCTCGGCGTCTTTTGGTTAATTTCTCGAGCTGAACAACAACACATTGAACCATGCATCAAAGTGGATATGATAAGAAGAAAGGTACTGACCTTGATCAAGTTTTCTACGCTCCACCAATCCTCCTCTATTTTTAGAGAGGATGGTAGATCTACTAATCCACACATGTGTGCCATCGCGCCGCTAATCAGTGCACGGTCGCTATACCCGCCTTCTAGGACGCTAACGACACGTCCTCGCGCGTACTTTTCGCTTAACGCGCAAGCATCTTGCGCGAAGCGATAGTAAAAGGACGAAGGAACTTTACGGTTGTGGCGCGACATCGACTCGTATTCGTGCTCACAAGCGTCCATTCCACAACTAACAGAGTTGGTGTGAACATTGTGAACGGCGTGTGCAACCAAGGTGCTGACCTGATGAATACCATGACATCATCGCCAGGGCCGCCTGTACCATCCAGAAATTCTTCTGCCCTTCGCAAGACTTTGCTATATTCATGCTTGTACAGGGCGTCCCAGAAATGTTCTTCTGAAGTATATTCTTGCAGATGAACATTCTCAATGTATTGTCCATGAGATTTGTGGATGGAGACCGAAGCCGCCTGGATAAGATTGAGTTTCCCATCCTGAAACATCATGAGTAACTTCATCATTGCTTGTGCTAGAAGAAATTACTTCGCACGGGTACGAAAGAATGTCGTGCGTGGATCCGTAGTAAATTTGAGGCCCAGGTGAGGAGGGTGGTCCACCCCCTTTTTGCTCAAGAACCTTGCGATAGGTCTCCTCGTTGATTTGCCATACGATAGACTGAGTGCCGTTGCCTGCGCCGCAGTTGATCAGGAGGGCATTTATTTTCAACGAAAACCATTAAAAACCAACCATGGTGGAGATCAATATCAACTATAACGATGCGATTGATTCCATGTTGAAGGTGAGCTACCGATCGTTAAATAAACAGACAGCCGTTCATCGTGCGTGACCCATACCATGAGCGGCACCTACGGCAACATTGTTTATAAAACAAAAGCCAGAGGGCGTATCTTCACCACAGTGGTGTCCCGGCGGTCGGATTGCGACAAATGCTCGACGAGACGTTGAGGAGGCCCCAGATGCTCCGGACGCCCCGCGAGAAGATGCGACCACCATATCTACGGCTTGGCAAACGGTACCAACGGCACCTTGTATCGCGTCGATCGATTCGGGACAGACTAAGAAGAGAATGAGTCGTTTCGGCCGAGTCACACAAATTGCGAAGAGCCTACGATACAAGTCTCCCTGCGAAAGGTGTTCGGGAATTTCACATTCGTTATTGAGGACCTTATCTGAGCTGCCCTTGACCCATGCCTTGAGATTTTCGAGATACACATCTCCCTCGATATCGCCGTGGACGAATTTAACCGCAGGGTTGTTCAAAATGTCGACGGTGGCTTGGCTTTGAACGACTGAAACCGGTGATCTAACAAATAAAGGAGAATCGTGCTCTAGCTTCATTCGACCCATGACTTCAGCCAAGTCATTTGGATCGGGTTGCTTTGCTGTGCTGCTGGAGGTTGTTTGATTTGGTGCGCCACTAGATACAACCTCTTCTAGACGAGCGATTGCCGCAGCCAGCCCAATGCTGACAGCTCTGAGACGCTCTGGTCGTTCTACAATATTTGATGTGTCCTTGGATCGAATGAAGCGGTGTTGAAGACACGCATTCTGAAAGAATGCGAAGGCTTTCTTGGTTACAAGCAAATCAGAAGGCATTGTAGCCATGAACTTGATGAAGTTACGAGAGGCAAGCAAAAAAAAAAAGGATGTTACACTTTCTCTGGACCTGTAGTCTGTAGATCCTGATTTTTGATCCGTGTGGAGAGTCGAATAGAGTTGGAATAGAGTGGCAAGTTTGAAGGGTGGAGTCAATGTTCGCGGCACATGACACTGATGCTATAATTTAGGGCAAGGTTGATCGTGTTGCTTTGATTTCAAATTTCAGCAACAGCGTGAACTTGGCGTGAACTCAACATCGAACGTTGAACTTGAACGTGGTCAAGCAGCAGGTAAGCAGCATCAAGTGCCGTCATTCAGAATGGTCACTGGTCTATTGAACTTGTATCAAACAGCTTGCTTCTGCCTTTCCTTTGCCTTGGTCAATCTTCGCGCATTTCGCTACCGAAAACTTGTCTCAAGATTAGTTGAACGCGAGCTCGACGAATGTAGGGCCGCTGTAAAGTAAAGTCTATCAATCTAGGTAAAAAATTGACCCCTGTGAGGCCACTCTGCCCACCCTCCGTCTAGAGCGATAACAAGCGATCGACTAAAATCGCCCATTCCATGACAGTAACTCCAAGTCTCAAAGCCTCATCCTTGACTTCTCGATCTCGTGTATCTGGGCTCAGTCTTGCTATCGCTGCGAGATGCTCCTCGCTTGTAATTCCGAGACTCGCCAGCATGGGCGCAATGTGTACGATAGAGGGTCTGCAAGACTCCAATATTCTTTCGAAAGCAAGGGAATCGGATGACGAGGATTTGATGCTGGTGATCGTGGACCCAGATGCCGTAGGGTGGAATGGTCCTTTCGGCATCCGACCTGTAATGGGAGTCGACTCGTGCGGTACATTGCCGTGGCTCGACGACAATGGACTGTTTTGGACTGGGGTGGACGTTCGTGGCGGACTTGGCGGCGTCATACCATACGACATGGCCGGTTGTTTCCCTATTGGAGATCTGACAGAAGATGTCGTTCCAGATTGCGATCGTCTGTCCGGAGTCAAGGCACGTGGAGGAATACGGTTTCCTCGCTGAGGGAGTGCGGTGCCATCTCTAGTGTGCGAATGCTCTGTATACATTGGCCTGCGCCAGTCTTTCTGAGGAGGCGTCGGAGGCCTTTCTTCATGCTGAAAATGGGACGTCAACAAATCGTTGTCTTCTCGCTCCGAGAGCTCTTGCGACGAACCTGATTGGGCGACAGGACTGGCCTCAGTGGCACCTGCTCCAACGCATTTCTGTCATCCGGACGAGACGGAGCCCGGGAGCCTTCTTCCAGTTCCAATACCTCCTTGCCACTCAATGACTTCGTAACATGAGTCTCCACTTCTGTTTCCATCCCGTCAACATATTCGTTCACGTCATCTCGAGCATAGTCCTCCGCGCTCACGTAATAAACACTCATGGTGTCGATTTCTGGGTTAGCTTCTCTCGCGACCTGCTCTCGCCACGTTGCGATTGTGACAGTTCTATCGGGACCATCTTCAACAACTTGGCGGTTGACGACCTCGTAAGTCTGGCCAGCCTTTGGGCCATGATCCTCCACGCTATCGGATGGTTCGGCATGAGGCCCCTTGGGACTTACTATCGCCCTTCTCGATCTCGCCGTACCACCACTCTTCACCCTCCCTAATTGGTAGCTCTCACGATTTGGTTCCACTCCAAGCAACTTGACGCTCAAATCCAAGTCTCCGCGCCCGCCGAACATCCTCTCCATCTCAGTCATATAATTCTCGTATCCTCCATATCGTTCAAAGCCCTCATCTCTGGCTTTTCCTTTCCGTCGTTGAGGCATATTGGGTGTATTCTCAACAAACGACTGCGCAGGACTGGATGGCCTCCAGTTGAATTCGCGTTTTCTGACTGCATCTGGTTCCGGCGAAGACACGCTGCGCTTGTGACCATCGTTATTGTCAATAGGCGGTGAGGTTGCCCTGGTCTGCTCTGACCGCTGAGGGTGGGAGAACAACTCGGTTTCGGGAGCTTTTGCTGTCGTTCCTGCGTGTGTCATTGCATCAAATTCATCGTCCAATGGCGGCGATGTAGGCGGAGGACGAGGCCGTTTGACTATCTTCTTCCCAGGTCCATTTCGATTCGGCACCAAATAGAATATTCCGGATTCTGTGCATGTCGGTTCGGATACCCCGAATTCAAATAATCCGAAAGCATCGTGTGCTCACCACTGGCATCGTCGGTCGGATGCCGTCTTGGATACATCCTTTCAGAATCTGCAATAATTGGAGCAGAAATTTTGAGCGGTGGGGGGGAGGTCTTCTTCAAAAAGGTCGGGGTTGGAAGACACCAGAGCATTCGAAAAAAATCAGTGGAGTTCAATGATATTTGAGTAGTTCTCGGCGACGATTGTCAGGTGTAGGGGCACGAGGCAGCATCGTGTTTGCCTTACATGATTATTCGAACACACGTGTACTCGGTGCGTAAGGATGGTTGGTACCTGGGCGCGATCGACAATCGTCAACGGGTTTCACAAAATGCTGCACCAAGTCCCCCGTATGGCGCGATCTATTTCTCTTTATATCACAGAAAAGGTTCATCGGCAAATACATTATGAGTTGGTTATCGATTTAACTTTTTGCTGAAATATGTTGGTGTGGGTCCATGTAGCCGCCGATCCCGTTTCCTGGCGGGTGTCAAACGTCAGACTATTCAGGGACTGAGAGCCTCACGTCACAGTGTGGGGAACTCCCGGAAAGTTCTGTTCTCAAGCTGTCAAGTTTATGCATTGGAAGAACGCAGAAAACAGCCTGAACGTAAGAGTCTTCGACAGATTTAATCAAGGCGTATGTGTTTTGAGATTGAAACAAATCGAGCCATGATCTTTAGCCACGCAGACTAGGGAGGACTGCGATTTCTGGAGCTATGTAAGTACAACATTCTTGACGCCACAAAGAGAATAAATCAAGTCCCAGAAACGATAATGATGTCATGTTCATTGACTTATTCTAAAAGAGAGAAAAGGATAAATCTAATCAGAAACCCCCTTTCCGCCAGAAACCCAGGGGTCTCTCGTCGTCGGTTTGAAACCCCCCCTCCATCCTCTGTCAAATGTTGTTTGGCTATGTTTTTAGAAACCTACGTCGGAGATTGTTTGAGTACTTGCCGAGCACCTGCCGTCTGCACAACAGTAATTGCCTCATATCACCCCTCAACGTTCAACGCTTCAAGTCAATCCTTCCGTTGTGTACCCAATGACCATGTAACCTCAATTATAATACCCACCACTGGGGTCCTCTCCACTGACAGCCTTGTGTGGCCTCGTAGAGGACGCAGGCCATCGCTCGACGCTTGCCATGCACATCAGAGTCATGGTGCAGCCTGAACACAGAAGGCCGTGCCTCTTGCCTGTGTAGTCAGTGCATTCCAACTAAGACCACAGAGGGTGACAGCCACCCTACGTGGAGGACGAAATGCGGGTATGTTGCCAGGAAGGCCACACACGCTCAGCGGCCAGCCTGCCCGCTAGTCCCTCGCTCTTGGCATTTCAGAGTACAGCACATACCTGTAATTATAATTATCATAGGCAAATAATACACGCTCTCAGCTTGAGCACCAGTCGGGTGATGTGCTGCTACTACAAATTCAGTCCCGTTTCGGCAGTGAGTGAGCCGCGCGTCGGACATCAAATATCTTGATTGTTGGCTATTGACAACACCCCAGGTTTCTGCCCAACCAATTCAGAAACCACAGGGTTTCACGTGGAAAGGAGGGTTTCTGGATAGATTTATCCAGAGAAAAGGGACGCACAAGGTCGTAAAATACCCATCCTTTCCAGCAAAGGCATGATTATTTTGATATCTTCACAACGCTCCCCATCGCCCCCAGATAGAACAGTTAGGCTTGAAATCCTCTCTTGTTAAGCAAGCATAGAGTCTATCTCGGAGAAACACCATGATTCCAATATCATCAGAGGGACGCTTGGTGTAGCAAATACTTCTGTAACAATTTCCTCGAGCGAGAGCATTTTGGAAGGATTTTGGCGAAGATAAACCATGTATGACAACTTGGAAGCCCTTCTCGTATTTAAGACAAAAACGAGCCTTGCGCAGTTTGAGGTGACTTAGATCGATGTCATCATGATTTAAAGTCGAGTATCAACTATGAAAGAATTTGTGTTAGCCAAAGTCAATGTAAGGACGACCGGTGAAGATGGTACAACCCGAAGCTTCGTAATTTTGGAGCAAGATTCGGAAGAATGTCGTCAGGACGGGTAATTTGTCTTCGATCCAAACCACATGCTTGACTAAATATCCAGGTGCACGACGCACATAGTCGAGCAGGTGGAGGCCGTTATTACGCGACAGAGAGCTTCAATAGTATTATAGATGAATCGGCGAGGTTCCAGACCAAGCAGTCCCAATCGTCTCCGTTGGACTCTGGCGACTTAAGCTAAATGGTGGATAAGGGGCGAGATTGAAGGGCCACCGCTGCAAAGGAGAGGCAGAGGAGTGAGGCCGCTTTTAAGCTTGGATCATTCCAGATATTGGCGGTGATAGCATCGACGAGTTCGGCTGAAAGCAAAGTGAAAGAGTGTCGAAGCGCATTACGTTATCAGCACATCCTTTGCTCTCGACTTCATGCTCTTTTTGAGCTATGTATACCCTTGCCTTGCTGCTCTGTGTAAATCTCCCCCTCCCCCCCTATGCTTGGTATGATTGTTTCCAGTGAAGATATATCCGATTTTTTTCTGCGAGAATGAAGTATTTACGATCGATTTGCAATGATCGCGAGAACACAGAAACGAAGCAATTCAAACCGGTTTCCCTCATCTTTCGAATGGGTTCTCCACGCTTCTGTCAAGCTATCCAAATCTCATAACGCGAGGAGATTGGGTCGATCGAGTCACCGAATCGGTCAAACGAGTGCACCTTCTCACATGGCTGACAACGAAATAATTAGTCTGGTGGTAAACGATCGTCAGCCTCATTCAAGTTGAGCGCTGAGGAATTAGTCTGTGCACTCCTATCTTCTTACTACCGCTGTGGACACCTTGAATTGCCTGCCACCTTGCTATCTACGACACTTATGATTATCCCTCACCCTTTTCCTCGTACGCCCCACTCGCCGCATAGAAGATGTAATCCAGGTATATCGTTTGGAACGTGGTGCGCCGTCGACTTTGCCTTGTGGAGTAGGCCATATACTTGCCCCCTGCATAATGTTGCGACTGAACATCTTCTCAGCGCTCATTCTTTCCGCGGTCGCACTTCTCGGTTGGCGGATTTTCGGGACGCCGAGAAGGACTCTCAAGCTCTCAGGTTTATTCCGCCGAAAAACTCCAAGAGCGAGGAAAAACCCCAGACTCGCCAAGCTCGCCTCCCTTCCCTTTCCCCAAGCAGCTGACAGCAGCTTTGACGAGGATGACCTGGAAAAGTCGGAGGGCACTCTAGTTTCGGGTAAGCGATCCTCTCCTCTGTTGGTGATTAATCTTACTATCTTCTATTGTGGCGGGAATGATAGACTCGCTTGATCCATATCACGTCGTTAGCAAAACGTTCGACGCATCCCTGATCGCGCGGGCCAACTCGTTCGAACCCACTCCCGTCCCCGAACCCATCTTTAAACGAGAAGAATTCGACGAAAAGGCGCCCATTGCAGCTCCTGTAGTGTTCTCGCCAAAACTTTCTGACAGTTCGCCATGGGTGTTCCCTCGCGAAACAAAAGGCAGGTTTTCATCGACCACCTCAACCGATTTGACACAACTTAACCTTCTCTTCATCTACTGTAGAAGAAACATCTCCTCCGGCATTATTGCCACACGCCAGCCTGCGGCAGCATCGAAGAATTCTCTAGCATATATATATATATACTCCCCTCCCCCTTAATCCGTCATTGCTTGCTTGGTAGTTTACATGTATGATCTTTATGAATCTCAAGATGCTCTGAACGAATGGGATTAGCCAGCGTACAAGGATACCACTAGAACAACATCGTAAACGTAAGAATTAGAAGACCATGAAGATACCCGAATAAATAAACCAGTGAGGGGTATACTTAATAAATTACTCAAGTGTTGGCAAGACCTGCTCCCAACCCCAACCTCCCAAATCACGATACATCTCCATTCCACCTCCTGTCTCTTGAAGGTAGCGGCGGAGCATCACTAGGCGCACTGAAAAACCCTTCCGCAGTTACGCCGAGTGCCTCAACGCCAGCCCCACTTGACTTCCTGGTCGTTCCCCGACCAACAGATATTGACCCTTTCCGCCCTCCACCCACCGTCCCAGCCTTCTCAATGCTGATCATCGACTTGGCCTTTCCATTGGTTGGAAACTGGTAGCTAGCGTTCAAGCCGCTGTGCCCATTTTCGCCCCGGATGGTGTGCATGGATCGCGGGGTCGACGTGCCAGAGACGCCATTGCTGGAGGTCCACGCACTTGGCGGAGAATGGGTGTGTTGCACAGAGCCGTTGCTGGAGTGGCTTGGACCAAGAGGCATGACCAACATCGCGTCATCGATGTCATCGTCTTCGTCATGGAATATATGACTGGGTGATGCTGAGCCCGACGACCTAGATGAGGAGGCTTCGTTTTCGTCCGGTATCCGACGTTGAGGCAGGATAGCCTCAGTTCGGTCGGGGGTTTCGTCAAACACCTCATAGTAACGCCTGATACAGAGAACAATGACCATGCCCAATGTTGTCCTGCCCTCGGAAATGGGATCTGAATTCATACCGGTGGATTTTGACTCAAACAATGAAGGAAGACCAGAGACGGCACACATCATCACGTCCCGGGCAGGGTTCGCGCCTTTGACGAGATTGGGGCAGATAACGACGACAAGGTTGTGCTCGTCCATGCGATTTGACGCACTACGCACGGAAACGTCGTGCATCAGATCTGTATAATATGATCTTTGTTAGCGGAGTGCGAGGTACTTGAAAATGTTTACTCACGCAGAACATGACTGAGAAGAATGTATACGCAAGGTGGTAGTTCTGGAAACAACACCTCACGTATGTATGTTACGCTGGTCATGTCTGAGGGGTCATTCGTCGGTGACGGACACCGGCGTATTAGTGGGTAGAGACGTTCAGGAAATACTGGTTCCGGTAAATCGCGGAGATACTTTTTCAAGAGCACCGCGGCCAGATGAGGGTCACCAAAGTTTTCTAAAGAGACAACATTTCCTAGGAGGTCGTCGGTGAGAGTGCACGTGGAGCGGCCAGAGCACTACCTACCACGGTCATAAGCGTCTTGCGCAGCTCTTAACATCACTGAAGAAGGTGATCGTCGGAACAATCCTTCTTCCGCCAGTCCTGAGAAGAGTCAGCGTTGCCGCAAGATAAGAAGGATGTGCATACCCCTTTCCCGCAAAAATAAAATCGAGTCCCTCACGACCCTTGGAATGCCATTCTTCTCGCCATAAAAACCCATCAATTCCTCTAAAGGTACCCCAAAGATACTGGACCGGTTTGGGACAGGGAGGGTTATCTTGCGTTCATACTTGAGATTTTCCCTTTCGGAGAATCAGTACGACATGAAAATTATGTTAGCGGCAGCACTCACTGGTATACCGTTGGTGGGATATCAATCTGCGTAAGAGGTACGCGTTGGGCAAGTTCCGATAACGTTGCGATGTAGCTGAGTTTCCGGAAGAATTTCGGGCTGCGAACATGATTGAACCATCTGATTATCATCGAAGGTGATATCGTACCTTATTATCGCGCCAGCCAGAGAGAAGAGCACTATGTTAACACTATTGAGGAAAGATGGCTTCTCGAATCTTTTTTAAAACGCACTTTTCGAAAAAAATGAGGAATGCACGATGTACTACAATCGGGTCAGAAGGTGTGGGTATTTGAGACAGATAGAACTTACCAGCTGCTTCAGATTTTTGCGGTACTTGCGACTCAGGCTGCGATAAGCTTTCCAGACCCAATTCCATCCTGGCGTATGTCTTCCTCCTGCTGCAAAGAAGATCACAGTGTAGTCGGCCTCGACTATAATGAAAAGAAGTTCAATAACAATGTTTTGAGCTGAGAAGTCGAGCGCACCATATAGGTTCAAGTAGGAGAGGATTCGGCTACAAGGAGATCAGGGGTGCACACTCGAAGAATTTGAGCCACGCACGAGAGTAAAAGGTCATAAGAGACCGCTTGTGGGTCAGGGAGAACAGAAGCATTGAGGACAACCCTTTGTCATGAATTACCGTCTGGACTCAAGGGCGTCTTGAGAGAAAGACGTACATGGGTCGCGTCCTTCAAGCACGAGACAAAGGATATCAGTGAACGTTGGCGGAAGGCAGTGCGAAAGACTCACTCAAAGTCAACACCGGCCTGAAATATCATCTTAGACAACACTTCCTGCACCATCTCAGACTCTCCATAACCACCGTTAGAGGTTGATTCCTGGGCCCGTTTCACCCACGGCGGATTAAAATTGAATGGCTTTCTCCTGAATGTCGGTGAACGAGGGGAGTCGGGCATGTTGGGTGATGTCGGCGACGAAGCAGCCAAGGATAGGGCTGTTAGCCGCTGCTTGAGGCTCAGATTGGGCGCCATGGTGAACGGTGGAGAAGAGTGCGGTTGTGAAGAATAAAACACTTTCCCGAGTTGGCCGTTTCGGTGATCGGCCCTGATTTTCTCGATCACGTGGCTAGTTCGCTTCCCTTGGACAAACAAAAGTAAACGGCGCGAACTTATCCTCCAGCGTCAATCACTCCGATCGCTTCCTTCCTGATGGACCACAATAAAACTATCCAACGAATTAGCCGGAATCCAGCAAGCAAAGGTGAGGACTACTCTCTTTGCGCTTTCAATAGACTTGACCATGGCGGTGTATTTCTAGGTTCTTGACAATGCTCGTCGTGGAGTGATGGCAGATTTGACCGACCTGGCCAATTTCTAGCAACTGGTGAGGTTACATACTTGCAATTCGACCACAACTGCTTACCTTTCTGTCAATTAAGATGGGTCCTCAATTCTTATCAATGGGTGTTGTCAGTGTCTTTTTTAACCACCTCGATGGTAGCAAGGTGCCCACAGATGTATCACCAAACGGTCGTTCACAACTCGCGGATCGTGCATGGCTTTCTCTGTTCGCTCTCGCAAAACTTGGAAATTTCTTGCAAGAAAGTGATGATTACGGTCCGGATATCATCAAAGCCTGGCCAAGTGTCTTTAAGTGGAGCGGATATTTTTTCGCCATATACATCCAGCCCAAAAACTCAGACCCTCAAAGAAAGAAGGGTGCCATCGACGCTATCAGCGCGTCATGGTACTCACTCGTTCGGTCGGAGAGCGCGCGCAAAGTCATGACAACCACGCCGGGCAGCATCGAAATGGCGACCCTGTTATGGGTCTTCGAGGATGCTAGCCCTATATCATCTATAGTCGACATCCCGAGCGCCTCAGCAGCGCTAGATGGACTCCTGCGGGAGTACCATCCAGGTAACCTCGATCGGGTCGTTAAAGCGGCTGGAGGCAAGGCCGAGAATGTCGCACAAACGGCATTGCTGCGTTTGCGATCTGCCTTCAAGAACATCACTCGGCTCCATGAGCCTCGCACGGCGATTTACCTTGACCTCATCTGCAAGCTTTCGAGAGATCCTAATCACAAGCTTCGATATGCATTCCTTAGCTCAAACATCATCACCCTGTGCACGACCATCGCACTGACCGTTACGAATATGATCAATGATGGTGGGCATCCGGGCCTTTTGGATGTTTTGGTGGCCTCGTTTGGCTACCTCTCCAATTGTCTCGAGTCTACTGACGGCTTTTCCTGGGTTATTCAATCGGTCAAGGCGGGGCTCTTGACCGCCTTCGTCGATGCAAGCCCACATTTCTTTAAATTAGATCCCGATGACCGTGATATGATTCTTCATATCGTTCGGGATATTCTCCCGGATTATCTGGTGTATCGGTCAGTTGTTGAAGCCGTTGATGGCACGATGAGGAAGTTGTCTGATTCCCCACATCGCGAACGGATCCTGAGTAGTACGGCCTCCGGTGTCTGGACGAAATTCCACAAGCTTGCCTTGGAGCGATTGTTTATAACTATGCAAGCAACAGCAGTTAAAGGTAAAGCTATGACGTGCGACAATGTAAAGGTAGCTATTGATGCTCAATCCGCAAAGTCGTAGTGCTCACAAATCCGACCTTAGTGCCAGAAGATTGATGAGAAGAACAATTTCCGTAGGTGTGGAGCATGCTCTACAACGCTGTACTGTTCGAAGGAGTGTCAAACCGTCTCATGGAAAGAGGGAGGACATAAAACGATGTGTGCACTCAAGCAACAAGAACGCCTTGGTACATTCTCTCCTTTCTTTTCTTACCTATGAGCTGACAATGGTGATCAGAGGGCAAGAAGTAGTCTATCTCTAAAGGGGATGCTGCATTTTTCCACCATCTTGCAACCCGCGATGCATGGCGAGAATTACCAACGCTTCGCGAGATGGCCACCAAAGAATATCCGCAGACAGTTAACACTGACCTTGTCGTCTGTATTGACTACCTAGTCAATCCTCCGAAGTTTTCGGTCGTTCCTATCGTAGAGTACGACAAACATCAGCCAGAGACCGACGGTACAGTAAACGCCGAAGCGAGAAACGAAGCACTAATCGAGCGAGCGAGGGAGAATCCTGGAAAATTTACGGTCATTCAGAGCAAGATCGCGAACGGGCAAAGTAAGCAGCTAGTGCTGACTATCGTGACCGGTGGCTTCTGGCAGGCACGACAGGAAGCTTGGGTCGAAGATGATGCCGAGGATGACGATGACGACCTTCCACCTGTTAGAAAAAATCTGGATGGGGTGGATATGGCCATGGCACGCCTGACTCTGGATGGATTCCTCGCGTCGCGTGGATTTCCACCATTACCGCGTCCGAAACGTGTCTAGTCATCGCAAGCAGTAATACGATTTAATTGGTCGGTGGCTAATATGTTTTCTGAATCTTTGGTGATCTTGGCAACCGGTATCCGGGTATGGAAATGATTATAACCGGTCACCGGATTCATAGTTGCCGGATACCTGCTAACTCTTCATTGGTAGAAAACCACAAGGATGCAGGCGTCACGAAACCCCAACTTCTCCTTTCCCATCTGTTGATCATTTTTATCATTTGGTTACTCCGTTCAGGGTCAGTAGTATGTATAAATCCCCGTATTCAGACCCGCCTCCGCTCCCCGACGTCAACGCGCACTATCTCCTCTTGAAGCGTCCGGATCAGGCAGAATGGAACGATTACACTTTCCATGTCGATCCTCAGACAGGACGCAAGAGAACATACCGACAATTCCTTGCTCGGATACAAGATTTGGCCACTGCCATGGGTGCTCCGGTCGCTCAAGGCGGTCTGGGTATGCGAACTGAGGACGGGGAAATCGTTGGTATCATGAGCGAAAACTGTTCTGTAAGCATACGTTCTTCACTTCTATCGATTCGTTCTTCTGATGTATTAACAGGACTACATCGCGTTGGTGCACTCTTGTCTTATGATCACTACGCCGTTCGCTTTGATCTCGTCATATTCCACTCCTTTTGAGCTAAAGCACGCCCTTACGCTTTCCAAGGCTACTTCGCTTTTTGTCGACGCGAAGTTCTTGCCTGCGGTGCTACCTGTGGCCAAGGAGGTCGGCCTCCCCCTGAACAAGATCTTTGTTCTGACTGGACGCGCGAAAGGCCGCAAGAGTCTGTCAGACTTGGTGAAAGATGTAAGGGCCAAGTCGATACCCACCGTTGCTGTTCGTCAAGCAAACAAAGACACCCTCGCCTACCTCGTTTTTTCCAGTGGTACTAGCGGCCTCCCGAAAGGTAAGGTTCATGGTCGACCCACGATTGACGCTGACATTCGTCTGCTCAGCTGTGATGATATCTCATGGGAACCTTACCTACTCGTTGGGTCAGGCGATAGTAGTCCAGCAAGCCGTGGCCGAAGTCTATACCGTCTGTTACATTCCCGTCGCCACTTTCCGCTTTACTAAGTCATTCCATAGCCCCCCACACCAGCGACCCCAGAAGGAATTCTAGTAACGCTTGCATTCCTTCCCCTGCATCATACTTATGGTCTGCATGCGTACTGCTTCCGCGCCTGCCTCGTCCCGAACACCCTCGTTATCATGTCGAAATGGGATATCGAGCTTGCTTTCAAAGCGATACCCAAGTAAGCGCCACTCCATGGTCGGAGAAATTTTTGTAACGTCCTCGTTTAGGTACAAAGTTTCCATCCTGACGCTTATCCCATCCGTTGTTCATCAAATCGTCAAGCACCCGAAGAGCAAGCATGTGGATTGGAGTTCCGTGATCAGTTCAAACAGCGGGGCTGCCTATCTTCCGCCTGAGCTAGCCGAGAAGATGGCCACGCTGGTGCCGAAAGACTCCAACTTTTCGGAAGGTGCGTCTTACCCGCGCTCGAAATTTCTATATTTGATCTGGTATCGCAGGCTACGGCATGTCAGAAGGTGTAAGTAACATTTGGTCTGAATCTTTGAAAATCAGGGGACCAACATGAGTGTAGACTATTGCAACGATTGTGAAGCCTTTCCCAGGCGTGCTTGGCGGCCGTCTAAAACCAGTACGTGGGTGTACTGGTGTTCTCCTACCGGGGATAGAAGCTCGTCTGCTTCGGGATGATGGTTCACCCGTTGAACTAAACGAAGCAGGAGAACTTTGGATTCGAGGCGGAAACGTAGCTCTAGGGTACTGGAATAATGAGAAGGCCAATAAAGAGACCTTCATCGATGGCTGGCTGCGGACGGGAGACCAATTTAGGGTCGACGAGGAGGGCAATTTTTGGTAAAATTTCAATTCTTTTGCAAACATCTTTTCTGAGTTTTGCTTTCTTCGTTTTCAGGTTTGCCGATCGAACAAAGGTTCCTCCCCTTCTCCTTAGCTGGCAATAATCTGACCACTGTGCTTCATAGGATACGTTGAAGGTCTCGGGATCGCAGGTTTCTCCGAACGAGATCGAGGATGTTCTCCTGGCTCACCCTCAGAAGCTCATTTCCGACGCTACCGTTGCTGGCGTCAGTGGAGGTCGCACACAAGACGAGAAAGTCCCCAGAGCGTGGGTGATTCTCAGCCCAGCCGGCAAGAAGCTCGGTGCCGCAGCAGTGGTCAAAGAGCTCGAGACATGGCACCAGCAAAACTTGAGCAAGTACAAGTGGTTGCGCGGTGGCATAGAAGTGGTCAAGCAGGTACATTTTTTGTAGTGATTTCGTTCCGTAAGGAGACTGATCCGCCTTGTAGATTCCGAAATCGCCGACTGGAAAGACATTGCGTAGGGTCCTGCAGGACAAATACGAGCGGCACATGGCGAAGAAGGTTCAGGCGAAGCTGTAATTTATTATGCGTCATGTGTAATGAATATAACTTTTTTACTCACAGCTCTCAGTGTAGTAGTACCTCTCAGCACGGAGGATTTGAGGGTGTCAAATGCAGGCCAACGAAAAGGTGGGGGGGTGACACTATGAGTGTTCCCCGCCCACATATGAGAGTGGGCTATTATTGTGCTGTTTCCATGTGGCCCCACGTCGCTCAGGAACATGGCAAACAAGACCGCCTTCTTTCTTTGGGACTTCACGGACCTCCAGGCTCCAGCTCGACCGATCGTTAACTTCGGGCTTTTCTCGTTCATTACTTGAACTTTCTATAATTCATGCCTGCGTCAACTACCAGTTCTTCGCGTACCAAAGTTACCCTATACAACGGTAGCCTGAAGCACGCATAAATGCATATTCAGCCTAGGAAACTAAGACTCTGGCAATAATCCCCACGATAGCCTAGCGTCTTTGTTGCTAACACCGTCGGGTTTTTCGATCGAGTTTCAAAATCTCGCCTTGTTTTCTAAAACATTGCTCGGACCTCGATGCCTGGCATATCTTCTCGCCTTTCTTTCTTCCGGAGAGGATTATCATACCCTTTCTTCTTGAGCTCACATCGTCCACAATATGACGACGGCGTCCTCTTCGTTCCTCTTCGTCCTCGTATTTTCTGGTTTCTTGACCTCTGTAAACGCCCACGTCGGAGCTTGGCATAAAGGTACGATACCTCACTTCCTCCCCGTGGTATTCCAGGATTGTTTTAACATCTCGGATTGCAGGAATGTACTGCCTCAAGGGTAACGTCCAAGGTGTTGATGATCGACAGACCAACGCTGCTTTTCAACCAATGTACAAGGTTGGTAAAGTCCCCTAAGGATTCCACCCCGCGAATGACCTTTGTTCGGGCTGTAGTTAACCAAGCGGGAGTGGTGGTTTCATCACATCAACAATGTGCGTTGCCTGTAATAAATTTCCTTGTTCCAAATTGATGGTTGGTGACTCTTCAGTGCGACGAATTCCCTCCTGCGCCGGGCGATTTTCTCGAACTGTAATAACTCCCGTTTTTTCCCATCTCGTTCACCCTCACACTCATAATAGACCCGCAAACGGCACTGTCACCATCGAGCACGCCGTCAACCGCGTCTTCACCACAGTGGCCCCCGACCCAGTGCTTGGAACCTTCGTTGACGGGAAGGAGCACCCAGGTCTAGGCTTTACGGACGAGGGAAAAGACGGAGGTTGTATTGTCGAACCTAATAGTGCGAACATTCATATTCCAAGCATGCCTGTGGCGCTTTCCTGACTCCTGGTGTTTTTCAAGTCCACACACAGAACGAAACCATGGCGGCCGGAACTGCTTTGGCGATATCCTATACTTCTGACTTGACCAAGGTCACTCCCGAGAACCTCGTCGTCTTCAGCGTGCTCTACAAGTGAATATCCTTTTTTATTCCTTATAATTATGTTCCAGAGATCTGATTATTGGCGCCATTAAGCACGCCTTGGCGCCGGATCGCCAATTTCGCTGTTCCGGACCTGCCTGCTTGTCCGCCTGAGGGATGTATGTGTGCCGTGAGTTCCTCATGCTTGTGTTCATCGCCGTCTGACTGACATCATGGTTCAGTGGGGTTGGGTGCGATATGAAATTTTCTTCGGTGTATTTCGCTTTCTAACCTGGCCCCGCGAGCGATTTAGATACCTAACGGGTAAGTCAACTCTTCCGCATTTTCTTACGTTTGATACGAGCAAAGGGTCCGTTGCAGATGCGGAGAACCTAACATGTACATGCAAGGTTTCAAATGTCGCGTAACAAACGCGTCGCCTGTTGCTAGTCGCATGGTCGGCCGTGCTAAGCCACCTGTGTGGTGTGCAGGCGACCCTTCGAAATGTGTAAAAGGGCCTAAACAGGTACGTGATCTTGGCCGCATGCCTTCATCCCAGTGTTCGACCGGTATCCAGATGCTTTACTGGAACCAACTTGAAGGAAACAATATTGAGGTCACGGGATACAACGCAGCAGGGCAGCCAAACTTTCCGGGGTATAATATGAAGTGTGGATTTGAGAATGGTATCTTGCTTTTCGCCTTGTTCTAGCATATTTCTGATACTCGACATTCCAGGTGCCCAGAACGACATCTTTTTATAATCCGCGGGTTGTGGACCTGCTGGACATGCGGGAATGGCTTGTAGGTGTAATACAGTCTACTGCCTAAGTGATTGACGGATGCACGGTTCTCGTAGATTGACCTCGTCTTGGACAAACAGAATACTTTCGTTTCCTAAACGCCCAAAGTAATTTGCGGTGTTGCCTCTCCCTACAGTATACCTTCATATCTTGTATTCGAATCACAGATACGCTCATTGATTCCATGCGTTTGGTTCCCAATTCGTCCACCGAAGTGTCGTCACAGAATGAAAGGCACCACGGCTTTCCTCTCCTTTGGATATCGGTCCCCAAACTTCTGCTTGTACCATAAATGTCCTTTATACGCACGCGGAAGCATAAGGAGAACTTCAGAAAGAAGAAAAATGTAAGGCGGTAAGAGATTAGGAGCAAAGATGTGACTTGGTTCTTGTACAATCGATACCCACGTTTCCCAAGAGAAAAGCGAGACAAGTGTCGAGAATGTGAACTCAACTGGGAAGGGCGCGGCGGCAAGGGCGAATCCGAGCCATTCGAGCCATTCACAAAGGTAGTTCGGGTATGAAACAAAACGATATAGGAGTCCTTGTGGAATCGCGTAGTATTCCTCAATGCGACCGGGTTTTCCGTCAACTGTGGGCTGTGGCTCTTTTCCCTTTCCTTTCGCGTTTGCTTTGCGACGAATGTCAAGAAGTATTTCGTCATGCGCGATGTTCCCAGCGAATCCAATAGCCCAGAGTGCGAGCCCAATATAGAAGGACGGGCGTTCGTATGTGGCGGATGAGTTGAGGAAGATGCGAGCGTACGGGGAGGAGAGGAATGAGCCCATCAACGAGCCGTTGATAAGGTTGTAAAAAATTGCACACAGCGGGACAATCAAGTGGGATTTGGACCTCGAAGGAGTGCGCAAGGGGGATATGAGCGCGCGGTTCGCATAGTGGATAAGAAAGAGGGCAGCTAGGAGAGTTTGCGGGGTTGCCAACTCTGGTAGGTCAGGGCGGTAGTAGGAAACCGGAGAAGAAAAGAAGCATGTAAGGAATGCGATGGGAGAGACGAGTTCCATGATGATCCAAGATGTAATTCCGTCAACGAGAAATATGCTGTCTGATTTTGGTGAAAAACGTCCGAACGGGGCGTTGATGAGGAGCAACACAGGACCGATAAGGACAGAGCCGAGAGTAAACCATTTTCTGGCCACTAATGCGATCTTATATTAGCAAAAGATGGCTCTTGAGCGGTATACACGTACCATTGTACAGGAACATCCCCTGTCCTTGCCCAAAGGTCAGCATTGGGTCACGAGGCATGGTTTCTTCATAATGTGAGCCATTCTATCTGGGAGGAGTGATACTTTAGACTCACCAGCGTCAATTTGTGCAGTCGGCGAGGTGTTGGCGAGGTGCTGAGAGTCGACGTGGACGCGGATCACGCGGCGTATTTGGCCTTAATTATAAGTATGTACATAATTGTTTGCATCTTCCGACGAGCCTTCTTATTTCTTTACCACAACATTCTTTCTAACTTATGGCGACCCGTCGTGGGGCTCCTAGCAAGAAAAAAACGCGTGAAGTTTCGGAAGAGATCGATGAAGTCGACTTTCTCGCATCACAACAGTCAAGCGACGACCCATCGTAAGTGCGCATATATGCACCTCTGGTCGTGACATGGACCATGATGGATTAGCTTTCAAAAACTTGCTGAGCAATTTGCTGGTTTGATAATTTGTTTTCGCGACGCTGGATGTTTTTTATGAATGTCGGACGCCAGCTGCTCAGGAAAAGAAGAAACAGGATCGAGAGAAGAAATTCTTACAGGCCGCGGCGAAACAGTTGGAAAAAGATGTATGACATTCCTTCCTTTCTTTTTGTCTATCTCACACAAACTTCGTTCTAGTTTGCCCATTCAACAGATGAAGTCCAAGCGTGTGTGGAAGCCGTGTATTGCAGCTTCCACCTTCTATGAAGCTGGCTTTCGTTGACACGCAATGTCGGCTTGCTGACATTTCTAGGCAGTCGGCATATACGAAGTTTCTATTGGATTACGCTGCCTCCGAAGACAGAATTCACGGTCTATGGTGTGAGATTCTCAAGGAAGAGGAGAAACTACTCGTATGTCGTGTTTGTTCAACCATACCCGCACTTCTCTCAACCAATGTTTAGACTGCTGCGAAGGAAGGGCACACAGCTGGAATGTCATCGGCAAAAAAAGGCGAGAAAGCCCACAGCGCGGGCCTTCACAAAGCAAAATCAGCCTGTGATGGTCTGTTTTTTTTCTAATTCTGCAGGGTTGTCATGTTGATTCGCTCTTTGGACAGAATTTCTGAAAGTTATCGGGCAAGTTAATCCGCAATATTAGTACCAATGATATGCTTGTTCAACACGTTCAATCATCGGACCCTGACATGAATCGGATCCTAGTAACGTGTCAAAGTCGTGTTAACCTTGGGTTGCATCACAAAACTCTCCAGGTTAACGGCAGTTCGTCAATTTCATCTTAGAGCCTATGATTTCACATCTTGTAAGTGGCGTTGAGCACATCTTGACTTCTCGGATAACTCGGGAGGGGAAATGGCCGCTTGGTGTGGCCAAAGGTTGGTGTAGAAAACCCTGAAGATTACCCATTCGTAGATTTCCTTTCGGCGGGCGAAGATATCCTTCACCAGCTGGGTAGACGCCAATCTGGACAGGAATGCGGCTAACCCTGACAGGCCACTTTCCTGTAACTTGGTTTTGCCGTCTTTCTCCGTGCTCCAAGTCACTGTACCTGAAATGCCACGTTGAGGTAATGCAGCCCGACATATCTGTCGGAGTGGGACTCAGTGAGCTGCCACCGGGTATAGAGGCTGCAATCAACAAACACTAGCGTCAACGGCGATGATGAGGAAGGAATTGATATATACAAAGAAGGTGAAAACAAAAGGAAGGACGACGGGAGAGAGAAAGCACTAGATCATTCCTTGCTCTTCTTCTTCTCTTTCTTTTCCTTTTTCTCTTTCTTCTCCTTTTTCTTCGCTGGTTCGCCGTCCTGGAGATACAAAACGGTAAATCATAGTACTGGACTCAGATGAACAAAACGCACCTCTCCGGCCAAAGCTGCCTCACTCTTGGCCTTCTCCTTTTTAGCCTTCTTCAAGGCTTTCTTTTCCTCCTTCAATAGCTTCACCTTCTTGACTGAATGTTCATCCTCCTCGTCTGCATCCACATCCATATCATCGCTCTTCCTTTTCTTCTTCTTATCCTTCTTTGGTGTTGGGGCAGTGGCTTCCAAAGTTGTCAAGGCAGGACCATCCATGTCAACGTCATCATCATCCCCTTCTTCAAGAGCGAGGTCGTCCAAAACTTTGCGAATGACGTCGGCATTTTTGGTAGGTGGTTCTCCGTTTTCGAAGAATTGCAAACGTTCTTCCACTTGTGCGCGGAGAGCTTCGCCGAATTTGGATGTGGGGTTATCTATCCGAAAAGAGTGAGTGGTATGTCCGTGATATGGGATGAGAGGCGTAGAGTACCAGAATAACAATCTATCCTTGACGCTATTGAGCATTTGTTGGCCAGGAATCGGGAAATTCGACCCTTGTGCTTTGGCCCGGCTCGGCCTATGAAGGAAGAGTGGTAGAGGAGACCGTACTGCGCAACGTCAGTTGAGGTCAGATAGAACAGAGGGAGCACACCTTAGGAGTATTCCCTTTTGTCTTAAGTGCTCTGAACAGCGCCTTCTCCGCTCCAAGAATTTGCACAGTACTCGCAGGGTATTTGCTCAAGTTTGTTAAGCTTCCCGCGTGGCTAATTAGACGTGCACCAATCCTCTCTCCAAGAAGCGCTGTTAAACTAGGTGCGACAAGGTTCATCTTCTCTGCAAGATATGACACGAGTGATTTACGGTAGTCCGAGATGGAAACCACACGATTGGCGAAGGAATGGATGTTAAGCATGTCGATTTCGGATAGTGACGATCCCATGGAACCACGGGCAGCGTCAAGAATGTTTTGAGCTAGTGTTGAATCGTCGTCCAGAATGGCAGCGAGGTCTGGAAGTTTGTCCTCGTCCAGCTTATCTTTATCTCCAATAAAATGCGCAACGCGAGCATACTGATGGTTGTCTGGCACAAGGCGGACGAGCTCTGGGAAATGATAGCCGTACCACTCCCGAATGCGCATCGAGAACAAGTTGACGTCCTTGTCGAGTTGGTCCAGCAACGCAATAGCCTGAATGATCATGTTGTCTATCCGGTTCACGTTAAACTTTAGCTTTGCGCGCGAGTAGGAGTGACCCAGGCCGAGTTGGGCCTTTTTGAGGTCATCTGTCTGAAGACCCTTCAGCAGCTTATCGGCGTGGAGTCGGATTCCACGAATAAGGTCTTGAGCTTTTTCCGAGGTGTCAATGTTGAAGCCGAGAACTTCCTTGATGCTCTTTCCGAGCAGCGAGTCTGCGACGGCCAACGTCACGCGCGACTTCTTCGAGGTTTTAGAGAGGTTCAACTCGAGCAAATTTTTGAGGTAGTCGTTCATGATACCTGATCATTTTTTTCAAATCAGTGCATTGACAAGCTATCATGTGGTGCTGTACGCACCCTCAGAAACGTCGTTGATATTCTCCAATGCTTGGGCAGCGCTTTTGAACGGCGAAAAGCTCATCAACGACACCATTTTCCCAAACTTTGCCAAATCCTTTATCGACTCTTGGACCGCTGAGGACCTGGAGCCAATGTCCTCCGTAAGCTTGGCCTCAAAGATGGCATACCCAGAGGACGACTCGAAGAGTACGTGTGTGACCATCTTAAAGGTCTTTTCGTCGTCGAAGACGGCGAGGGAAAGTTTTTGATGTTATGTGACGAAGTGCGTGACATCGCATGAGTCACACCATTCCTCCCTACTTCAAGCCAACTAGTTATGTAGGGCACCCCTCGATTCTAAATGCTGAAAAACTGAACAATATAGACTTGCGACCGTCGTTTTCAAGCCACCCAAACCAGAGAATAGGTCATAAATTGTTATCCGCCGTACAACTTTGGGAACAATTTCTACGAGATCACCTTGCGGTGGCACTTGCCTGAAGGCTAAGCCTCTTGCCGCAGGTAGACGTCAACCTGAACCTGGGGGAGTCTCTTTGGCGTTCCACAGGAGGCCGCCCGATCTTCTACGCGTTTTAAAGGCACCAAAGAATGGGAAAGGCAAATTGGACGAACCCCCACTGGTCATGTGTACATTGGTGTACCTGCGTCATCTCTTGCAAAAATTTGTGCTTGATGATGCCTCGTGCTTGAAAACAGACTAAATCAGCTCCAGGCCTGGAATGCGAATTGAAAATCTCCTTTGTTCCTGGGTTGACGAAGTACGGAACAACGCTCTTGTTCTCCTTTGTCGCTCTGATTTGGCACACGTACGCGTCCAAGAGGACACTGAAAACGATCCGAAATACGAATTGCCCTTCAGCTGACACTGCCTGACAGCCTTGCTTGAATCACTTCGCAAGCTAAGGGAAAGGGATTTTCCAACACGGCAATTCCCTTCACGTTAAAAAGCAGGTGGCGACGATGCGTGTATGATCGACAATCCCCGGCAGTCTATCGCCCTAGATGTCGAACCGATCAGTGCATGATCAGCTACGCTGGAAGCTGTGATACTATCCCATTGATTTCTGTTCGATTTCAAGTCCCTCTTTTCTTCCCTGACGTCCCGTTTGTCTGCTCATTGGCGCTCGCACGTATCATCATGCCTCATGCGGCAAATGAGTTTACTTTTTCGATTGTTCTGCCATTTTCGTCGCAATTTCCGATATCATCGAACAAACACGATTTGCGGGGCAGTCGAACCGAAGAAAACGGTTATGAACCTCCGCAAACGAGGGGAAGTGAAACGAAACATCTGTTAACCTTACTAGCTTTCTCCGGCGGTTCGTAAATCTTCGGACTAAGCATTAAATAAGGCTTGATCAACAGTGCGCCAAGAAGACGGAGAAGACGTCGGGGGATGCATGCATCCCACATACGATGCTCGACATAAGAAACGGTACGAGGCCGAACACGTGTAATATCCACCACTTCTAGTTGTAAACCTCTGATGTCGATTGCGAAACGAGACCTCGTTTCTTGAAAAAATACTCACGCGGTAAGTGAGGCGTTTGTTATCGGATCTATGTGCCCGTGCACAACACACACCCCATGAGCTGGTCTGAGCGTTGGAACCGTGATCGATGTGTTGTACCTTTATCAGAGACACATGCCTGCGTTATAGATAGCGAGTAGAGTTGGTTCGTTAGCGATCTTGTTATTCATAAAATGAGCCATTGCAGTTGGGGTGTCTCCCTGCTACCGATACGTGGGTCTCTGGGGCACTGGCGCCAAGAAGCGCTTTGTTTTGACGGCAGAATCAAGGTGCGATAATATTAAGCGGCTAGAATCCTCGTGTTGGTTTAGTGAGTTCACTGAGCTGGTCTGTGGAGAAACAAGCACGTGATGGGCAAAGAGCAATCAATGGCTCGAAGTTCGGAAGCTGACCCTGCAATTGCTTAGATTTAGGACCTCGCCAACGCCTCGTGTTGAAGGCTCTTGCTACTCTCTCGGGGTCTCTCCTCAGCACATAAAGCTGCTCGGAGTTCCACTGCAGGGTGAGGGTCTTCACTAAGGCTTGAACGTCTAAAATCGACAGGTATGTGATCACTCCTTCATCGCCCAAGCAGAGTTCGGCGGTGCTCACCTGCGTCGTTTCACTTGCAGCAAGTCGCCCTCCATCCTCGTGGTCACGCTGAGGACCACGCTTTAACGACCTTTAACGCCATCATATCCCACGATTTTCCCCCTTCCGCAGACGTTCACTTTGTTCACTATTCGCAATGTTCAAGTGGAGCAAGCGTGATACTGGCAGACCAACGACCCCGAAGATGGTCAGCGTATCGTTGCCAGATTCTCCTAGCCCCTGGGGATCGACTCCGATGCAGCCATCTATTTCTGAAAAGCCAGTGAAGAGCTCCTTTTTAAGAAGGCTCTCGACGGATAGGCAATCGATGACTCCTCAGCCGGTTAAAACTGTACGTGAATCGATTGCTGACGGGAGGGCTTCAAGATTAAGATCCTTCTCGCTGTCGAAGGGGTACGATTCTGATGGTATGTTTTCATGGATCAACACTCATTGCCTAGAGAATAATACTAATCGACATTACCTTACTTCCTCAGCACCTATCAAAGTGGAGAGGGCGCCGGATCGGGTACGTCCACTAAAACCGGGCGTAACTTTGGGTGGGTAATTTCAATCAATGAAATAAACGTCATCTGACAAATTCATCTCAGTCAAATCGAAGGCCTGGATGGAGGATCAGATGGAACGTGAGGAGGCTCAGCGAGCAGAAACACAGCGTGCAGGTATGATAACTCACTCACTTTTGTAAATCTTTCAACTCCGACATCGATTAGGTCCACCGCTGAAATCATGCTTGAAGAATGGATCCTCTCAACCCTCTTATCACTCGGGCGGTGACCAGCAAGCTTTTCGTACGTGGTCGGAATTTGCCCGCAACATCATCTAAACCCATCTGTTAGCATCATCATATGGAGATCGGTCGTCTTCCAGAAGACGGGAGTCCCCACCTGAGAGCGACTACGGCAAGCCTTCTATCTGAAGGGGACAGCACTTTGTTAACTCTTCGTGTCTTTAGATGCTTATCGGCCACATCGATCAAGGCAAAATAGCTTGTCAAACCAATACGCGCAGCAGACGCGCCGTCCATCTCGCTCCCCCTCCGAATCGCGTCATACACCCCAAACACCCTACACACCCACTTCGGGGACGTCGTCAAGATACATGAGGGCCTACATCAAAGAAGGTAGTATCCGTTGATTGAATTTCTCCGTGCCTTTGAGTATTGATCCTTCTTCACAGTGCCTTTAAAGGACGCAGCAGTAGCCCTCAGCTGGCCGCTAGCTTTTCGCTCTGAAAGTCTTGCTGCGAAGCATCCGCCCTTGTACTTTGATGCCGCGTTTGACCCCCGTGTCCCAAAATTTGCCATTAACGTGTATCGAGGCGGACACCCGACACCACTGGCGCACGAAGAGTATTCACTGCATGTTTCGCCCCACTGTTTTATGCCAGAAATGGTCATCGTGAACGACGTTTTGAAGCGCTGGCAGGTGGTCGTCCGTAACTCGCGTGGTGTTCGGTGTATCGACGTCTTCAACGCCGTTTACGAAACTTATTCTGAGCTGTTGACACCAAGGGAGCTGGCTCACATTGGTGAACGCTACATCCAGCGGTGCGAGCGATCTTTCCGACAGCGCTGCGCAGATAGCCCAGGACTCACAGAATACAACTTGAAACTTGGAATGCGTCGAATTGATTTGTTGCGAGGACGACGAACCTTCAAAGGGTTGACGCCTCTCCCCGGGCACGGCAATGTTTGGGAATTACACTTCGATATGGACAGATCGCAATTTCCCCCCAGCTTATTTTGACGACTTTTTCACGATTGCATTATCCGGATGTTAAAACTATGATATTTCGTAAGTTGTCCTTTGTCTCGACGGCGCGGACGTTAACTGATTCCGCTCACCATAGACCTGCCATCTAACACGATCCTTACACACTCGACATCTACTCCTCATGCTTTTTGTTTGGCCGGACCTCGCTATGTTTTATATGACCTCACCTCACTCGTTCGCATTGACTAGCAACAGCCTTATTCTGTAGTTGTTGGGCCTAGGTAATATTATTTCCTGTCCATCAGCGTTGTTTACCACCACCACACCCCATGAATATATATTCATTCACTAACCTTTCCTGAATGGCCTGGCTGAGGGGGAATATGTGGGCTGGCCAATAAATTCAATTGTACCTCGAGTCTCGCCCTTGATCCGTCATGGAACCATGCGCTGTGCTCGGCAAAGAAAAGAATACGGAAGCTCGCAAACTCGCGTTGGCAAGAGAATGTGATTTTGGGTAACGAAAATGCTGAGCCACTTGATGATCGAGGTAGATGCTGGAGACAGTTGTGCAAAGGGGACCCTGCAGAAAATAGCATCCACTATCAAATCGATTGGACATCTCTTGACATCCGTTGGTCCAAGAGGTTGTCTTCGGTCCGATATGGAACGGTTCACAAGTCAGAAATGGTGCGGCAGGGGATCCCGTTGCAAAAGCGAGGTGATGGTGGAGGTCGCATGACATAGGACGAAAGCCGCATGTCGAGACTGTCGGCTATTCCAAACCAATGTCATGACCAACGTTTTGGGGAGTTGATATTCATGAGGATGGATAAAATATGGGCCGCTGCTGATCTTGCACTCCCTTGAGTATGAGGGCATGGTACAAGCTGTTTTGGCCACGAAGATGTTGCATTTTTGCTCCAGAGTTTCAATCGCAACATTTTGAACCTCAAAAGGCCGATGCCAATGTTCAGTGTCAAGTTAATAGAATTCGAATCTCGGTGTAGCGAAGCCTTCTCGCCGCTCGGACTCTTTCTTTCAAGTAAGCCATGACGTCGCCGATGCAAAGAGAGGTTTTTCCGACTCCAAACCGTCCTTGGTCCAAGAAATTGAGTGAAAAATCATGGGAGGGGGGCCTAAAATTCGAGGAAGAGGTGCCAGCGGCCTGTGCCCTTGACCCATTGTGCACAGGATGTGAGTCATGACGCAGATAGGTGACTCGGGCATGCAAATCACGTGATCGCGACGCGACCTGCAGGAAGCACTTAGCACAAACACTCTTCTTCCTCAACCAAATTGGGGTCCCCACGAATTACCCTGATGGAATAGAACGAAAAAGGGAATTTTTTGTTGCAGAAGGACTCCCTCCCCAGGTTGTCTGATTGTCTTGGTAACTTCTCTCCCCTTCCCCCGGACTGCAAGCGCAAAAATACCAGGAAGTAAGTCGAGGTAACTCGTGACTTCTCTTCCTTTTGAACACTAAGAAATTTGAAACGAGAGGCCTACAATGGTATAGCTGATTGAGTGATGATATCACCCGGCACCGCTCTTAAAATTTGCGAAAATGGCTTTATGATTCAAATTTTCTATTTCTTAAATCTTTTTCTTTTGGGTCAAATTTAAGTCTATTGAGGTAAAGCCACCTCTTAAATCTTTACCCGGATACAACCCGGACATACAGGAGCAATAACGTCACGCTTTTTGAAGTTTGGAGCCTGAATACGCCGTGGATGTTCAACGTTCAGCGCTCAGCGCTGCAGCCTCAATTTCTGGTCCATCCCTTCCCCTCTATGCTACGCATATATAGAAGTACGTGGTGTGATTCACAAGCGAGATGAAATATATTTCAAGTCTGCCTAGAGCATCATACCATTTGTTAATTTCCTATGAAAAAGCATGAAGTAGAATCAAGGGTGCCAATGCCTCTGCACAAAAATGAGAGGTAGAGCAGCATACCACCCTTCATGATCTCGGACGTGTGGGACCACATACTATTTAAATTTATAAAAAGGCTTTATGGAGGGCAAGCCTGGCCCAACGTAACTTCAAAATTCATAACGTCTTCAGGTTTCGAGTACCTACTAATTTCACAGTATTTGGTTTCCCACAGCGGGCTTTTAACCCGCAGCAGGGGCCTGTGCATTGGGATCAACTAAGATCAACTACTCCAACGCAAAGTGCTAATTTGGTATTCATTGTGGCGACCAGCCTGAGGTTTCGCCTAACAAACGATTATCGGAATCCGTTCCGACCATCTTTGAGGTAAGGGTGAAAAGTGATCTGTTAGTGTCTAGATGGAACTCTTTAAGCGAAAGTGGCGCGAATATCTGTTTTGAAACAGTCGATTGCACAAAAACGCGCTCTTGAGAAGATGTATCTTGTGGCGACCGATTTATTTTCGTAGCGGTAGCGGACTGCCGGAAAGCAGCATGTTTTGTATTCTTGTAGCTTCCGTTGTCAGACAATGATGACCTTCTCCATAAAATATTTTTCTTCAGTTTTGTTAGAACGAGGTTGTAGTCACCGGAGTTTATTTGATCCCGCAATGATTTCTGATGCTTGAACTCATATCTTGAAGCTTCAACACAATCGTCATCAAAGCCGAAAACGCCGTGCCTTCTTCAAAGGTATCTTTGCGAACGCATCGAAATGCCTTCTCCGACGATCAACAGACGCCCACAGTGAGCTGTCTTATAACTTCGGACCGCAATTATACATCGGGAAATCTCCACATAGTCCGAAAAGTAATTTCCAAAGTGATATTTGTTTCAGTCATGATAAGTTATACTTCACCCCACGCAAAAGTAACTGCTGCATTCCCAATATTGTCAGGTTGCCTTGTACCTCCCTTTTTTCTGTTTCCTGATATACCTTCTGATGCTTGGAATTCCAAACTGCAACAAAAATTATTAGTGACCAATTTCTTTGAAGACTTTATACGAAAAAAGGGAAGTGCTAGAACACCTTGGGGCGGAGTATAACCATATCTCACCTGGACAACGGGATAAAGGACCAAGAGAGTCACACCGATAGCCCAACCCCATCTCACTTTGGTCGGCAAAGGTTCAGTGAATTGGCCTTGGCTCCATTTCGTAATAACCAGGAGTTCAGTTATAACTGTCGCGAGGAGGAGCCAGACATGTTGGCCCATTCTCACGGCGCGCCTTGAATATGAAAAAATAAGACTATTCAGACAGAGCGCTATTGTGAAGGGAACCGGCGTTACCTCGGGTCATTAATGTACTGGAAAAGCTCTCGGACGGCAGGCAAGGCACACAGAAAAACCCCCGCAAGGCGCATGATAACGATGGGATGGTCAGGTTCCATCCATAATAGGCTCTGCTCAAACAGATGAGATGCCAAATGATACCGGTGGCGGAAACAACATTCAAACCTTGAAGTAAAAAGGAGTGAGTTCTGCGGCAAGGAACATAGCCAACAGCATAATAACTGTCGAGTAGTGCAAAAAATCCGTAGCTGTTCCCCACTTGAACGCAGTAAAGTCATGAGGGGAGAATTGACTGAGGACGCGTTTGGCTTTGGACTTGATTCCACGCGTTTGACGAAAACCTCGCCATTCGTAAGGCTATACGACGTGGATTAGACCAGGTATAATGGGGGGGAGATGAGGCTGCACCTTGACTTCGAAATATTGGCACACTTTCATCCCTATGACGTCTCGTCGTTCAGAATTGATCTGTTGAGGTCGATTATACATACCTAAATAAGTTCCTAGCCAGTTGCAAACAAGCACGTCAAGAATCCACTTGAAAGTGTGTTAAGTAGGTTCCAAGTGCCATGTTGCACTGGATACGCACATGATCCCACCAGCACTGGAGGGGACCATGAGGTAAAGAGGGTAGATAGCAAATGTATCATACCTCCGCAAAATTCGGTAATTGATGCTGCAAGCTGTATTCTGCAAGCTCGAAAGCAATACTGAGGATCTAAAAAAGTTATCAGAGTACACGTCATGATCACAATCGTTGGACTGACCCAACAAAACCAGTAGTCCCGCAATATCATAGCCTTTCCAAACCAGCCCAGGGCATGAGCGAGACAGAAGATGTCAATTGCGTTCTGTGATTAGATCGTGTCATCAGGTCAGCGGATTGCGGCGGTGATACTAAACCGCACCCATAGATTTTTGGCGGTCAGTGCACAATCCTCCGCGTAGCTTTTTTCAGGGAGCGGGACCCCCAGATTCGAATCGATATATGTCATCATTGTGCGTGCAGTGCCAAGATCTTGGAAGAGGAGGAACACGAGCGCCAACTCATACAAAAGATTGATTCCTAATACTATTCGCCAGAACGCAGGATGGGGCCGAATAAAAGGTCCGTCACGGAACTGTATCATGGAAAACGTCAGGAAAGCAGCTATTGCTGCGTAGACCCCCCTGACCAGCAGATAAGATGCCTATGCATAAAATTAACAGACAAACATACACGCGTCTTTTGTCCTGACCCTCCTCCAAAACGTCTTGGGTTGTCGCGACATATGCAAGAATTAAGAGCCCACAGGCAAGGGAGGAGAGAGTTAACGGATTATAGAAGAACCTTCGAAGTACCAGATGAGCTCAAAGTCAGAGACGAGTGCATTGACTCACTCTACACTTGTGTCGTGTTTTTCCTGGAAGGGCGTTATTCGCGTGTAGGACTCGGTTCGGTCCGCCTACAGCCGATGACATGTATCAATTAAACATGGAGAAAAAAACGCCACCTACATCGTACCCTAAGCAAGTTCGTTGTGTTAAGACACTCAAAGTTCATTTCGTGTGCTGAATGGCGTTTTGTCACGTACATCTAACCGGAACCCCATTTAGCCCTGGTATTGGCTCAACCTCTTGCTGAGGTGACAAAATGGCGTCCGATTCTTCCCCTAGAGAGGTAAGAGACAGGTCCGGGTTGTCGTCGTGGGTGGAAGCCATGATGGCCGAGAACTTTGATGTTCTAAGCGTAGAGTGCTGTCTTGAGAGGTTCATTAAGATAACACACACAAATTCCATACGCACAAGTTGTGATAGAAGAGTCGTGAGCAATGACAGGCTTCGAACTCTAGAAAGGGTTGAAGAACAACGAGGAAAACGCGAGTATAGCAGTACTAACAGACGTCACTTCTGCTTGGCTCTATTTGTTTCATGGCCGCGTGACCCCACGTTCGTTCTGCGAACTTTTACCAAGTTTTAGTCCAACGTTCAACTTGCTTTAGATTTATTCACCTTAACAAGACTCAAGTGCGTTCACATTTTTTCACCTAAAACTAGCTATCTAGTTGTTGTGGCCTTAGCATCTTCAAAGTCTAACTCACACAGCGGCATCCCACATCTAGCACATATTACTATGTGCTGATTTACATTCAATCAATGTTGAATGACACAGAGATCAAACATCTTCCAACGACATCTCTCGGAATTCATCCGCTTTCAGGGGTATTCCTCGCTGCCTATCCTCGACTATAACCTCCGGTTGCTCTCCACGAGTCTCCACGCAGATAAACTTAGATTTGACCGAACAATAATCGCTCCGCGTACCGGTGTGATGGCTGCGAGAACGTCTACACACATACCATTTGATGGCATCATACATGAAACGGAAAGAGCCCAGTCGAGTCAATTCAGACGAAAGCCTAGGGAACCTCCGAGAACCGTTCTGAACACCGGTTACAAGTGCAAAAGGCGCATGGCTCTCAATCTTGTTCTCGTGATGTTCTGAACTTGACGGCCGTATCTCGCCTGACATCGTGCTTGTTCAAGAATAGAATCCCACATTCGCAAATCCTCCTACATTCCAACCCCAAATCTGTTATATCCATTCCTATGCTCAAGGCGCGCTGCAGGTATCTCGACCGAATGGCGGTCACGGAAGCGATCCCGTCAATTGGAGTCGCACTTTTCCTGCTAGGACCTGGACAAATGGTGCGTGCTCAACCCTCAAAATCGCATGCGAGCGCCCAATTCAACAACCCAAGATACGACCATCTACGATCCCTGATTCTATATGAAGATAATTACCACAATCGCACAGGCCTTGACACGCCGAAACCATTCTCTCTTGTGTTACGGACGGCACTTGTGCATAGTGCTCAGAATCGCTTCCCACAGGAGACGTGCTCTGACGTGGATAACTGATCTCAGCTCGATACCTCTCGGCGTCAACCGGCGCCAAAGATCGTCACAAGGCCTGATCAGGGGGTTCTTTAACCTTGACCTTTCCCATCAGCCAAGGACTTCTTCCATTGTTGATTGTGCTCTTTTAGTAAGTAAGTACCCACTGTTTAGCGCATAATTTTTCTAGACTTCACTGATTGTGGCACTCAGCTGGCGCTCGCATTTCAACATTCGCGTTTCGTCGGGACGTGACTCGGAGCGAGTGACATTGATAAGTCTCCCACTGTCAACTGGACAACACCCGACCCTTTATTGTGGTAACCGATTTTATCTCAGCCTGCAAGTAAACTTGTCACTTATTATCTGATGTCAGGACTGGCGAGCTCTCCGAGTTAGAAGGATCGAGATAAACTCACAGATGAACCGAAAGTTTGGAAGGTTTGGTATGGGAGGTTTGCACTGGATTTGTATGGCCCGCCTTCCGCGGATGATTGCGCAATAGTGAGGTTCGCATCGACAACTTCATTTCAGCTAACTCCTCAACAGTCGATACCTCCTGGCTCATTTTTCGTATACACACGCGGATGGCCAGTAGCTTTTTCCATTACGTGCAACGCCACATATCTGGAGTCTTCCTTCAATTTCAATTTCTCCAAAAGTTGGTGCGACACCTGTTCTGGGCTAAGTGTTTAAGCTGGATGCCTGCTAAATTCTCGCCTTCAGGTTCAATCTTCCGAGCGGTCTGCTTTTGGGAACTAGTCTCCCTCACAGTGTCACACGATCATCCACTCTCAGCGTTATAATTTCTTAGTCCGAACGTAATTTCATTGATAATCCCAGAATCCCAAAAAAAGTCCTATTTGGCCCAAAAAACGTCTATTTCTTTCATGTTTTTCTCTAATGTTTTTGGTACGTACGTCAAGCATTCAAGGGCATAAAACCCCATTACGGACGTAACACTTTACTTCATCATTGATCGCGCCTACGTTCGGGCTGTGAAGATGCCGAGATGCTCTGTCTATTGTAATTTGTTGGGCTTCTTGCACTCGGGCTTCTTGTCATCGGGGGAACCTACATGGAGATGTTGACGCTCAATGCCGACAGATACGTCCATTTTTGAACCAAGTTCTTGTCATTTTCACGAAGACCAAGATATCCATGTTGAGTGGTTCTTGGCAGAGGACGACCCTGACCGAGATCTTCAAAATGTTCGCGGACTTATTATAGACGCGGAGGTAGTTCCGCAAGTTCGGGACCTCCAGACAACTGGGACTTCAAGGCTGGTAGGTGTTTCCGATAGGGAAAGCTTGTTCACCAAAGTCCAGTTGATATCTACATGTTTCGTGGATAATAATCCGTCCATTGTCTGGTGCGAACCTGATCCTCAGGGCGATAAGCCCATTCTTGGGAAGATTGTGATCCAGAACATCGTCACACGAAGTTGAGGCAAACGAAGGCTTTTCTACCAATTTCTACCTCCCAGGAGACTCCATCCCAGGCATCCGCCAGGCGGAAGCATCTTCTAATCAACACCCGAATCGGGAGATGCTTCATCTGCCAACGCCGGCACCTACGATCTGGAAGCTGGATCTCTATTTGTTACTTAATGACCCCGGCTGCACTTAAGGGCAAGGACCAATTCCTTAAGCTTGTTCCTTTCCGCTCCTTACCATGATGTCCTCAGAGGTCTTCCAACCAATGCAACTCAAGGGAGAGATAATGGACCTCGAGTTCACTCTCGACACCGACCACAGGTTAGTACACTTTCGTGCGCTCGGGCGCCTTCAATTCAACTAGCCGAACTAATTAACCGTTGACCCCCCTCTACCCCCGAATTATAACCCAAAAATAGGAAAAGGAGGAGAAATCGCACTACGCAAAGTTGCCTCAATTGTCATACCTCCAAACGCAAGGTGCGCTCATTCCTATCCCAAAAAATAAGCAATAGTGCTCATTGTGCATACAGTGCGATCGCAAACGCCCTTGCCAGAGATGTATTCAGCTTGGCCTGGAAAGTCCACCTTTACCTCTACGTCTTCACCTTTCATTTATAGGAATCATGGTGGTTTTTAGACTGGTCTTTGTGTCTATGAGATCGATGACCCCGCTCTAAGGTGAGTCACTCTCGCATACTATCGACGAAAACGATGATGACACTGTGACAGGGACGATCCTTCCGTCGACGAAAATACCCGTCTGAGAAACCGAATCGCCGAATTGGAGTCTCTTGTTCGCGAGCTCAGAGGTATGATTTTCGTGACAGTTGCACAGTACTTCGGCTAATTAACGTCTAGGCAAACCACACCCCAGGTGGGCGGAAAGTAATTTTCGAGACGGAGATCCAAACGAAAAATGGCATTCTAGAGCCACAAAATGTGTTTCCCTTTCAAAACGAAATACCCAGCTTCCGGATGAGCTCTCAAGAAATGGTCGCGCACTACCCTCTCTTCTCAGCCCTATCAAAACAGAGCCATCTACTGACGTCAGTCCTCACCTCTATCGTTTTTCACCTTCCCCTGCACCGTCGATGCGATACCATCATACATTCCAGGCTCCTCGAAGCAATTCATCATCGTCATTTGAAAACGACCAGCGCCAATCGTACACATCATCAAATGGCACTGCAATCCCCTATCATCACCACCCTCCCGCCAACCCACAATATAACGGAACACATAATCCTGGGTCAGCGCCTTCGTCGTATTCAGAGGGCGGCGTCGGCAATTATTCACTGTCGGGCAGTGATGAAGGTCACAATTATGGAGAGAACTTTCCTGGGAATACAGCAACGCCCCAGGCCTTTTGTCCTTGCCGAACCAACCCAGCAACGGGTGTCGCGTATATCTCGCTCTCGCAACAGCTTCAAGATTGCTTAAACTCCTTGCGTCAATTTAGCCATCACCCACCGAATACCCCTTGTCTATTGTATCGCCGCATCGCCGAGCTGAACAGTCTTTTGCAGTGCGTTATAGTTTACTTACATCCCTGAAGCTGATTTGATTTTTATTTAATTAATAGAAGTAACAACAATTCCGACGCTAGTGCGCCATCATACGACAGCGGCACCCCTTCGGATGAACTTTTGACACCCTTGTCGGCTTCCAGTGGGCCAGGTTCATTCCATCCTACGGGGTCTCCCGATGTTTCGCCTCAAGAGTGGAACAACATGGCAACAGCTGGCTATAATCCTTATTTTCCTTTGCCTCCAGGAGACCATCACACCGTATATACCCACGTTATGAGTTGAACGCCCCGTCTTGACATATCTTGCTGTATCGCTGCTTTCTCATCTTGTTTTGTCGCTTTGATATTAGAGCATTGAGCCACATGCACACCTTTGTATGCCTAGGATGTATTTTATTGTGACAGTGTAATCCATGCGCACGTCTAAACGTTGATATTAAAGCGGAACCTCCGCTCGGTGGGCGGTTCTAGCTTGACCGCTTTTCCATCTACAAGTTTCCATACATCCCTCTCGATGAAAAGGACCACTCCATCTCTACGCACCAAAAGAACTGTCGATGAGCGCGTTCCGTAGAATGCTGGTTTCACATATTCGGTCGAGCCTTCAATCGTAATCGGAATAGCCGCGACGTGGACAGTATTTCGCAGTTGAGAGCGGTCTGTGATAGGTTCTGGCGAGCGCCATCTTTCGAAGAAACCTTGATGTGTCAAAAAATTCGCAACGATAGAAACGGACGTACTCACGCAAGGACTTCGAATAGATGGTCCGTGATGTTCGTCTCAGTCCATTCCTTTGTTGAAGAAGGACGCAGAATAGCGCCCAGGTCGTGACTGGCGTGATTTATTTTGGGCCAGTCGTTACCTCCGGCGCCATCAACGCCATTTGAGACACCCCCACAGGAACGCTCTTGCGTGGAGAGGAAGCGGGACGTGATTGTTCCACCCGAGCCATGATTTGTGACCAACAGAGAGTCATAACTTAATTTTCCGTCGGGTCGCAATGCAGGAGATAAAAGAAGTAAATTGAACCCAGCAAACACTGCGTTTGGCGAAACAATCTTTCCTACCTCGTCCTGCAAGGGATGGGCGGAATCCGACAAGAGAAAAGATGAGGTCAGCTCCCCCCTCGAAGAATCAAATTTCTTCGCAGGTTCGGTTATGTTCGTCCTTTAAAGTTATGAGCAATCATCGATCTGTCATGCCTCTGAATTAGTAGCCACGTAAACCTGCTTACAGTAGCGCAACCCTCCCAGCTCGGTTAATGCCTAACCAAGTTCCTCCAGCCTTTTCGTCCCGACCGGATAGGATGTTGCCTGGGCTCTCTGGATTGGGAGCATGATTCTCAAAGGAGTGAAAATGAGCTTCCTGTGTGGGTCTGTCTAAAAATTCATCCCGATTGCTGGCAAGGATACTACATGTGTTCCAATAATGGCTCATCGTCAGCCCGTCAGAGGTATATTTGTGGAGGGACGAGACCACGAGCAACAGATTGCTGGATCGCTTCAACACTCACAGCGAGTAATCTGGGTGCTCAAAGGTCCATACGCCTATGCACATTTTCAACCCAAATCAGGGCTAGACACGCCACCAACTAGAAAGTAGTAAGGATGAGATTCGGTGAGGTTATTCTACTCCGAGGGTAGGGTTAGACTGACCTCAAGAATTTAACGCAAAATCCGTGGGTTTACTGGCGTTATAATATCAAAGTCAGAAGGAATCAAACTCGTCATATAGAATGTAGGACTAACGCAGAGTAGTTAGATCTCTCGGGAAGTCCAAGAGCCTGCAGATGGGTTGAGAGTTTGCCCAATTTTACCAGGCACGAGAAGCAACGGTAGATCTATGAATTGAGGTTAGGTGATCCTGCTTGCGTACGTATACGTCTGTTACCGTGAAATCGATTTGAACTGACTTCAAGAAGGTTTGAACTTACAGGAGTCAAGGTAATTCCAATTTCTTGCAAACCTAAGAATTCCCACGCTGTTCACTGCTCTTCCTTCAGTCACCATTGACATACTTACAAGGTTTGATGAGAAAACCCGTTGTAGTTCTTGATAATGGCGCGTCCACTATCAAGGCGGGCATAGTCGATGAACATGTAGGACTGGCTCCGAGGTGTGCTCTCTTATTCTCTTTACTGTGACCGCTCGGACGTTACAATACCTACAGAATCATTTCAAACGCAGTTGTTCGCTCGAAAGGGGACAAAATGACATACTTTGGCCATGAAACCGAAAAATGCAAGGACTACTCATCGTTGCATTATCGGTTACCATTTGAGAAGGTTTCTATTTCTTCCCACACTTGTGAAGCTATAGTACCTCACAGAACAGAAGGGGTATCTTGTGGATTGGGATGCGCAAAAGGCAGTGTGGGACGGGATTTTCTCGGATGAAGTATTTGGGGTAGGAGAATACAGCTCTGAGAAAATGACTCACGCACGTTGACATTCTTTAAGAATAGGTGAACACATCAGAAGCATCTCTTTTGATAACAGAGCCCTACTTCAATCTACCAAATATCCAAGAGGTTTATGATCAATTCGTTTTTGAGGAATACGAGTTTGATTCTTATTATCGTTGCGCGCGTATGTTTCGTTAATGGCCTCCTCAACTATTTTTAATAAAGCGACAATTTCTGGACTAGCTGCATCTTTAATTCCATATGGAGATCTTTTCGCAAAACCGATGTCTCCCCAACCAGAATGCATCCTGGTTGTAGACTCTGGCTTCAGCTTCACGCATGTCGTACCGATTAGTAATGAGAAGGTAGTTTGGACGGCGGTCAGTCGGTGAGGATAGTTTCCCTGAGTTTTGCAATCCCTCTTACCCTGGATACCAAGGCTGGACGTCGGAGGTAAGTTGTTGACGAATCAATTGAAGGAACTCGTGTCATTTCGGCAATGGAACATGATGGACGAGACCTACATTATGAATCATGTCAAAGAGTCTTGTTGCTACGTATCCACCAACTTCAAAGAGGACTTGGAAGTATGTCGGTAAGAAGATTACGTTCTTTTGTGGGGTTATAGCTAAAGTGCCCAGCCAGAACAGACCTAAAACGAAATTCCATTGTCCAAGAATATATCCTTCCGGACCTCTCAACACATCGTAAAGGCCGTGTACGGCAACTCGACGACATTGTGACTGACACCGATCAGATTCTCGTCATGAATAATGAGAGATTCACAGTCCCCGAACTTGTTTTTCGCCCAGATGACATTGGTCAGTCCTTTCTTGATCTACTTCCGGCCGCGCTAATATTATTTCATCAGGACTTGATCAAGGCGGTCTTGCTGAAATGATAGTTTTTTCCATTTCAAAGCTACCCAGCGATCTTCAGGGAATGTTCTGGTCTAATATCGGCTTGATAGGAGGCAACACCAAATTCAAGGGTTTTCGTGAGAGATTGTGTGTTTTAACGAGGGTCATTTGGACACGAACCCCGAATTGACCATGAAAAAACAGGACATCCGAATTACAAACTCTGGCGCCCGTTGACTGCGAGGTCGTTATCTACGAAGCTGAAGAGTACGTGCACTGATAATTGAATTAACTAGACACCCCAAAAGCTGCGTACTCATTCCACCTACTCAGCCCCATCACAGAAGCATACCAAGCAGCATACAACTTTGCGAGCATGCCTACGTTCGCTCAGTATGTCGTCACGCGGGCAGAGTATGCTGAAAGTGGAAGCAATGCTTCTCGAAGGAAGTTTCGTGACTGGAAAACTCAAGAACCTGAGAAAGAGAAGCCCAAAGATAACTCGAAGCTGAAAGGGAAACAACGGGATGACGATCGTATCCAACCTTCTGGCAAGTTGACAAGAACTAGAAGCAAAAGACGGTGAATTTCGAATTCCGCCGTGTATGAAGTTTGCAAACGTGTATGGTCTGAACCTTTACACGATCCTGTATTGTTGTCTGCCCTAGGCAATCCAATTTCTTTGGAGATCAAGCTGTCCATCTTACAACTCAGGTGACCGACGCACTCGCAACGCCTCCGCCATCCACATGAGAGGCTACAGATGTTATCTTTCAGGAGCTATCGCCCGCGGCGCAGGGTCCATATCGGACAACGAGCAAGGACTACCAAATAATGATAATGATTCACCTGGCACCTGGAACATGAACACGAGTTTAAACGCGATAACGCCAGAAAGGAAAGTCAGAATCCAACCTTGGGATGCTAACCAAGCCTGATTGGTTAAGAAGAGCTTCAGCATCCCATTGTATCAGTGCGGTATTCAACAGAATTGATGTGCCCTCGTACTACCATCGAGTAACAATACACCTTGCGGGTTCGCTTACACCTCTGCGCTCGAGAAGAAGCCCCGCATCATTCAGCCCTCACGCCCAAAGCTATCGAGGTCCCGATTCTATCCGCGACGAAGCAACAGGCCCCGCCTGCCACGTTCTACTTACCCCAGGTCAATGACTTTCCAAATATGCTTGTGGGTTTTGGCGCTGGGCCCTTCATTTACCATTTTTTAATATGGAAATCGACTGTCAACTGGATAAAGCTGTTGTTACCCATGCCAAGGTAGGTTTACTTGGTATTAACGCTGTTCCCGGGCCCATGGTTATGGAAGGGAACAACATTTTGAAGGTTAGTGTGAGAAGTAATTGGTGCCTGAGATTGTCGAGATGCCACGCTTCGTAAGAAGTACTTATCTAGCGTCCAGGTTTAGATTTTGAGGCGCATGTGCTTGAGCAATGAGCGATAAGCGCCGTGCGTACAACCATGAAGCTTGAGGAGCGTTAGTTGAAATCAAACAACATCTATTTGGCACCAATGACAGAGGTAGGTATAGAGGTAGAGGCTGTTCATATCGCAAACCCTCAAACTCAAGACCAATCGCGATCGATAACAGAATAACTAAGCGCTATCATAATGCGTTTTGTATAGTTGAAATCCTTGAGAAATTGTCATTGAAGAGTACATAAATGCAAAAAAAGAAAAAACTAAGATCATAAGAGGGGTCGTGAATGAGAATTCAATTTATGAAAGAAATCCTCAGCCTCTACGCCTGAGGAGCTGATTGCTGCTCGGCTATTCGCATGACCTCCATAAGTAGAGTCTGTTGTTCAATGTCAAGAGCAGTGGTAGCAGCCTGGTAACCTGCAGCATTCTGCATCTGGAAGGCTAGAGAAAAGCGTGTGTGAGTGGGTGTGTCTTGCTAAAGAATGAACGACCACATACTCGTCAAGGCTTGTTTGAAAGAGACATAAGGATCGACGTTGTCCAGCGGAGTGAGATATCCAAGGTCCTCCTCAAGATCATCATCGTCATCCGAATCATCCTCATCGTCGTCAACTGCTTGGCCAGTCCCCGTGCGAAGACGTTCTCCCTGGTGTAAAACGGTCAGAGCCCAAGATCGATTTTGAAACGCACAAACACATACTTCACGTGCGAGCATCTCCAGGTAGACCGAGTCCTGATCCCAAATATCATCTATGGGAAGGTGTTCAAGATACGACCGACATAAGAAAGATCCAACAAGGCGCACCTTCATCATCAGTCAAGTTGAGGACCTTCTCGTCAATAATATCGTCATCATCAGACTCTTCCTGAGCAGCGAGCTCAATGGCTTTACGATCTGTTCAAAAAGAAAAAGAAAAACGTAAGAAAAAAAGGGATACAAAACTTATGAAATGAAAGCAACACGAACGTTCAACAGCCTTGGGCAAATCTTTAAACACCTTCAAAATACCACCAACAATCCCATGCCATCCATCGCGGAGCGTATCAGGAACCGAAGCAGGCGGCAGCTCCAAAAGGGCACACATCGCCAAGATGCTCAGTTTCTTATCGTGCACACGCGGGAGACGATTTTCCCCATTGACAACGACGAACCACTTGTCAAAGAAGACGCGAGCCGAGCCCGGGTGAGAGCTCTCCATGAGGTGAAGAGCGGCAGTGGGGTTGTAAAGGACCGCGTTGATAAGAACTTCGAGGTTGGCTAGGCGGAGAGAACCTGTATGAGCCTTGTCCGCTAGGCCGAGCGCAGTGTTGATGATGATTTGCAGGTACTACATACAAGAGTTTCGCCGAGTCAGCCATATAACGGGATGAAAGGAGATGGAAACTCACGTCATCAACGCTCCCGCGCAAATTGAGAAGTATCGACTCGGCGAGCTGGGATCCATTCACTCTATCGTTCTCTCCGAGCTGTTCAGCGTTGACGGAAGTCGTGTAAATGTCGACAAGCATCTGCCTATAGTCCGGACGGGCTTTTATAACCTCACTTCCAAAGGAAACGAAGTTGTCGAGGGAAGGCAGCATTTCTAGCCAAGAGTCAGTCCAAACCTAGGGCGAAGTTGTGGAGCCAACGTACCTTCAAGGAAATCCACAGCTTCGCTCTTGAACAACTTGTAAGTGAGTTCAAAGACGGGCCACATCGATGGCGAAATGGTGCGAAGTTTATAGGTCAGGTTATCAACCAACTCATAAACGTTATCGAACAGGTCTATTCATTGCATCTCCGTGAGTTTGCGGAAAAGAATCGAAATAAGGGGTACTAACCAAGCAAGGTGTGTTCGAGGGTGAACACAATGATGGGAATAATCACTTCTTGGACTTGAGCCAGGATCTCGGGTGAGCCTTCAATAGAGGACACAATCTATCATTCATATAGCATTCAGAAAAGACACTCAGTGTGCGAAGGCAATATCGCTTACCGTCGAAAGAGTCTTCGCAACTCCCATAGCCGCAAACGTCTTGTCATCATCTGCGTCAGACATGATAGTCTCCAGATCAACATTCTCATTCTCTTCTTGCGCAGCCGTCTCTCTCGCCAACCGGATGTACGAATCGCACTATAACACACACAAAAAAAAAAAAAAAGGGGAATCAACACCATTCCTCACCGAAAAAGATAATGTAACTTACCAAACGTGCAGCGAGCTGAGCAGCCACGGGCAACAGCTGAGTCTGGAATTGGTCAACCATAGCTTCCATGCAATGATTGAGGATATCCAAATCGGTCTCATCGGACAATTTGAGTAGATCTAATGATGAAGAATCAGGCGGCAGCTTCAGAAAGAGACATATACCGATGCGTACCTTGAATAACTTTGCCAACTTGAGGCGCCACAGCAGTTCTCACTACAGAAAAGAAAACATAAGAAAGGGTCAACGGGTGATACGAGAAACACACCATCTTCATGCAAGATAACCAACTCAGTCAATGCGAGCGCCGCTTGAACTCTGACCGGCAACTCAGGATCGTCCAAAGCAGCAGCAACGGCTCTAAAGTGGTTGTTCAAGTTCTACAACAATCAAAACCATGAGCCACCCCAAGAACCAAAACGAAAAAAAAAAAAGAAAAGCCTTACCTCAGGCGTAGACCAATGGAACCCATTCTTCGTAACGGTGCCAACGACTTCTAAAGCCTACAAATGGTAATGAGCAAAAAAGAGAACGGATAAGCCACCCAGAGAAAGGCTTACGATAGCTCTAAGATACGGCTCGGGGCTCGAAAGTTCAGGCGTAACAAACTGAAGCATGAATTGCTCCATGTTGCCCTTCACGTCCGGGTGACGCATGATGTACGGGCCCAACGCAGCGATCATGTTCAACGCTCCAAATTTCTGAGATGCCGCTGAATTTCTGAAAGACAAGTTATTTAGTTTCGTGAAGCCAAAGGAGGAGAAGCAAAAGACTCACGATCGCAGAATGGTATTAATGAACCCAAGGATAGGCATGAACGTCGCTTTCGTTCGACTCGCAATGAGTGAGAATAAAAAGGTAGTAGCTGCTGATACGGGAGTAGCGTAGACTTCGTATTCGTCTAATCGAAAGAGAAAAAAAAGAAAAACGTCATCTTCCAAATTCCAAACACACACATATATGAGAGTGATACGTACCAACTGAGACGCGGATATAATCCACAGGATCGTTCTCCCAAAGCTCCTTCTTCGTATCATTGAAACAAAGTTGAGCAAACACAAACGTCGAAACCAAGTTTTCGAAATGGGGTTTGAGAAGGGTCCATGTCGATTTGGGTTTCACGCTAACATTTGCCTGACGTCAGAAGCGACCTTCAGAGAGGAGGATACATACCATTCATTGAAAAACGTAAAAATCTGATACTGAGACTTCTTGGAAAGCCATGCCTGGTTCGACACATAAAGCTCCACCTGGCGAAGATAGATGTTCAGAATCTCCGGAGCGAACATCGTAACAAAATGTTCCGCGAACGCCCCATATTCCTCCTTCATCGTGCTAGGAAGTTGAGATGGGTTTCCGAAGCTGTCAAAGTCACGCTTAAACAACCCACGACCAAAAAACCGAAACGTGAACATACCGATGGAACAAACGCCCCAGGGTACTATACGCCCACTTCTTAGCCTTCCACCACTCGCTGTTCTCGCGCTCCTCTTCATCTTCCGGTATGGCCTCTACAGGTATCTGGAGGTTCACAACGGTGAAGAGAAGTTGACCCCACGGAACGAGACTCTCAGGGCTCTGTTGGTGTTGGCTGAGGTTAACGACGATGCTGGTCTTGTACGTCTTGAGAATGAGATGCAACATCGTCGGGATCTCTTGTGCGGTGCTTGGAGGGGTTTGGATCATCTGAGAAGCAATGCCGACGAGGGTGGGGAAGATATCCGTCACGATTTGTGTCAACGCTTCACTCTTTTGTCGGAACCTGCGAGACAGTGTGCCTCAACAAACATTAACGTTGACACGAAAGAACAAACCTAAACGCTCGAACCGCCTCGAGAGCAGCATTACATCCTGCATGAACCTGGTTGATATCGGTGCTGCTGAGCAAATGCTTGATATCTCCAAGCAAGCTAGGCCAATTATGCGGGAAATCATGTGCGACGATAGACTTGAAGGCAGTGGCCAGCTGGAGTGTGATGCTCCTGGAAGGCGAAGCAGCGAGGAGGGGGAGGATATTTATCTTTAGCGCGTCGCGATCGGACTGGGCGATGAGAACTTGATCTGGGCGTCTGCTCGTTTCGATTGAATAGGCGTTGCGAACGCGATTTTTGAGCCAGACGGCGCAGGCTTGACGTGTCGCGCTGTGTGGAGAGTGTTTGGGATGGGTTGAAGGATGAGATGACGCGCAGAAAACACGTACATGTCGATGTTGGTGGCTGCGATGATTTGGAGGAGGGCGGCGATCATGCCCTCTTCATTGCCAATCTAAAGCCGTGGTAAGCCACTGTGTGATTGATATGACCCCCAACCCAAAAGCAACTGACCTTGCGAATCTGAAGCTCAGCAGCCTTGCGTACATTGGGGTCGGGGTTAAAGGTGGTGGCAAAGAGATTTGATAAAGTTTGGAGGTCCATCTGGGCAAGGGTAAAGCGTCAAAAACAAAAGTAGGGTCCTTGACAAGAAGAAAATGGGGTTGCTTCGAATGATGAAGGTTACTGACCTCGCTGGGGACAGGGTATATAGGCAAATCGATGGCTCAGAGTGGCAAGGGCAAGGGTGAAAAGGCAAAGAGACAAAAAAGTTGGAAAAAGTAATTTTTCGTTCACGTGCCTTCGCGTTTGATACGCGCGACTTGCCCGAAATTGACAGCTCTTTATCGAACAAGGCTGATACAAGAACGAAATTAAAACGGCGAGGAGTGTCGTAATTTCAAAGTTCATGCATGATTGAACGGTAAGGAAATTCATAGTCTTTATCTCAGCGTGAAAGACCCGTCTATCGACTGAATATTCAAAGATGAGTGCTATCACAATGAAGTTTCAACCAGTCCTTCAAGAGAATTCCGCCGAGGCTTCATATCTTTATCTAGAGAGTCACGTCAAGCGCCGCCACGTTTAAAATGTGTGTTCGTTGTGTGTACAATTCGCATTATCGAGAAGCACATCATGAAATCAGATAACAGCGCCTGGCAAATGTCAAAAATTGTAGATCGTCGTAGAGATTTTCTGGTAAATTTCCAGAGATGTCGTGAAGCCAACGTGAAGCTTGAAGTTGTGGCACTGGGAAACGCGGTGTGTGGATGGTTGTTTACATCTGCTAACGACGTCACACAAGACCAAATCCTCTCCTCGATGAGCAAGCCCAAGGTTCGAGCAGTTCAAGGCGCACAGACTGGCGTATACAAGCCAGAGGCTATAAAGGTATCTCACATTCTATTCTATTTAATTTATATACCAACTACATTCTCAGGACATCGCTGATTCTTTCCCAATAACAATCCCTGACGCCGTAGCCTCAGCACTAGCAAGCGATGTCGAGTACCGAATACACCAAGTCATCGAGGTATTTTCCCCCTATCTTCCCATTCCCCACATTAACTCTATACATTCCAGGAAGCAGCCCGCTTCATGCGTCACGGCCGACGCACAACGATGTCCACATCCGACATCGACCAAGCCTTCCGCGTCCTCAACATCGAGCCTCTCTACGGACACACACCCCACAACCCACACACCTTCCGCCGCGCCCTCCCCTTCCCCCAAGTCCCCGCAGCAGGCCCAGTCTACTTCGTCGAAGACGAAGAAATCGATTTCGACCGCGTCCTCAAGGAGGAAAAAATAGCACTGCCGAAAGGGGTCAGTTGGACGGCGCATTGGCTTGCGGTGGAGGGCGTGCAGCCGCTTATACCCGAGAACCCACCCGCGATACCGAGAGAGACTGTGGATGCTGATGGAACAAAGGGGGAGAGCCTGACCAAGTTGAATGGGACGGGGTTGTTGCCTACACCGACGACGGCTCCGCAGCAGGGCGCCAAGGCGGCTCCTGGGCAGCAGCAGCAGCTCGTGAAGCAGGTGTTGTCGCGCGAACTCCAGCTCTACTACGCCCGCCTCACTTCGTCGCTCCTCCCTCCGTCTTTGGATCTCACGAAACGGACGGCAGCGCTGGCCAGTCTGCGGCACGATGCGGGGTTACAGGCACTGTTACCTTACCTCGTGAGGTGGGTTGGAGAAGGCGTCGTCGGCACTTTAAAAGAAGGCTCGCAAAGCGAGACTGACGGGCGCGTCTTGGAAGTTCTATTAGACGTGACAAGCGCATTGATAGAGAACAACACCCTCTTCATCGAACCATACGTGAGTTCCCTTTTCCTACCCGTCTAACACCAACCAACCAACCAACAGCTACACCAAATCTTCCCCCCAACCCTCTCCATCCTCCTGCACTCCTCCCTCCCCCTCAGCCACGCAACCCTCCTCAGAACCTCCGCCTCCCAAACCCTCTCCCGCCTCCTAACCCAACACTCAACAACCTACCCCTCCCTCTCCCCCCGCATAATGAAAACCCTCCTCCTCGCACTCATCTCCCCGGGGAAAAGCAAAGGAACAAGGGAAGGCGCCATCCGTGGGCTCCTTGGCGTCGGGAAAGAAGCGGTGCGGAAGGGGTTGGTGGAAGGTGGTGGTGCGAAAGTCGTTGGTGCTGAATGTCAGGGGAATAATAGCGAGAGCGGGGCGCTTGTGGGTTCGGTTATGGATGCGTTGAGGGTGTTGCAGCCGCTTTCGGATATGTCGGATTCGTTGGACTTGGATGGGACGAATGAGGCGGATGTGGGTGTTATGGAGAAACTTACCGAGGTGCTGGGACCTTTCTTTGCGAAACGGGTTGCTGGGGATGCTGCGTGGGCACGGGAGATTGTGGGTATCACCAAGGCGTCGTGATTGTCCTCCACGTTGTAACTTGTATCAATAGTGTTTTTTTTTTTTGCTAATAATTACATTCTACGGCATCATCATGATCATCTAAAGCATTGCTTTTTTTCTCTCTACCACACTTCACTCCATATCGCATATAAAACGTACAACCCAAGCGTCCCAGCCACTACGCGCGTTATGAGAAGCGAGAGATGGTTCGTCGTCCACGTGTTGAACGTTGCTGTTGCTGCTTCTACGGAAGCAAACAGCTTTTCTCTGCTCTCCATGAAATGTTCGTGTAGGGAGTCGTATTGGTCCTCCACCGCGCCTACGTTCGTGGTTAGATGTGGCTGAGAGAAATGAAATTACTAGTCGCACCAGGAAGTAACCCATGCGAAACGAAACTAAGGTTAAACAGCAACAAAACCCCAATCTCGTATATCAGTAAAAGCGGGAGGAGCACGATGATGGGACCGAAGAATATGGAGAGGCTGATTAGGTATATGGAGTGTGGGTGCGCGTGTACTGTTCAACTTCAGAACGCAAGAGGGAGGGGAAGGAGGAAGGGAAGGGGACGAACGGAAATCACAAGCTGCGTAAAATGCTTTTACGGTCCATTCTGTTGGTTGTTCGAATATTCGGCCTTCGAGATGGAAGTAAGTTTATGAGGAGCAGCGAAGAGAAAGGAAACGCATGACGTACTCAATGTCGGCAGTATAACCACGATCCAACTCCATATCGTACTCAACACGCTAAATATCACATCTCCCGGCTCTAGGCCCATTCATCAGCTACCATCTTCGTTCGAGAAAGCAACGACGTACCGCTACCCCCTTGAACGAAAAAGTTTGAATTCAATTTCAATCCAGTGGTGAATAGACGGTCTGGTGGGATGTACATGATAACGAAAGCGTTTGTTCGAAGCAACGTTGAGCTTGCTCGGTGCTGTGAACTGCGAAGGTGACGTTTGCCACGGGGCGGAACACGATGATGATTTGACCCCGCGTCGACAGCGTGTACCGAATTTCAAAAAAAAAGTATCGCGATCGAAAGTGATGCGTCACGAGATTTGATCCGCCGGTTCTCTCTAATGCCCTCGTCTAGCTCAGTCTTTCTCAAGTCTTTCTGCAACTGACTTGGTTCGAGGAAACGAGCTTTCTTTTCTTTTTGCACTACTTTTGTTGAAACCCGTGATTGGCTGTTGCCTAACAAAATGGGCTCGGAGAACACGACACTAACTGTGGTGTTTTGACTGAGTTGACTACTACATAGTTGACTCTGGCGTCTTAACTGTGGTGTGAGTGTCTTGTCTCTGGTGTCTCAACTCTGGTGTCTTCCAATGTAGAAGGTTCTGGAAAAGGCCACGTACACGGCGGAGCTTTTGAATTCCCAAATTACTTTCACTCTACCTTGACTCTACCCAATAAAACCTGTCTCTGGACTCGAGTCTGGCTATTTGGGCTCTATTCCGCACTCCCGGTTCCACATACCCAGATGGAGTCTTTTTGACGCGCTCCAAATCTCACGCTCGCGACCAGTTTCCAACTTCCAACTTCCGATTCTGTTTTTGGTATTCGGAATGTACCGAGGAAAAATGGGGGCATTATGTACGTCCAGCAGTGTTGACGCTTGACAACGTTTTTCTAGAATAAACGTCCCGGAGTACTTGTTCCTTATTCGCAGGAATTTTTGGCCTTGTGGAAAGAGTTGTGCACTGTGATACAGGATCATTTCTTGCAATGTTCCGACTGTTTTACAGATCCAACCTCCATCAGACTCCATAGGACGCCCTTGAGAAACAACAAGACATGATCAGTGCGCCGCCGCCGGCGCGGATTTCCTATCAGTCCTGCAAAACACTGTCAGTTATACTTGCGCCATTACAAAGGTCCACAACAGGGCTTGAAGTTTCGTTAAGGAACCTTCGGACCTACCGGTCATCGAGTGAAAACCCCCGGATCCTTCTGCGTCAGATTTATCTTTCACTTTGAGGGTGACCGGCATCTCAGTTGTCATAACGGTTGGATGCCGAAAGTCGCAATTGGGTCCCCATAAGCAGTTTTTCAGAACGTTTCCTCATTCTTTTTCCACGTGCGTTCAATACATGTCTACTAATTAACCTCCCCGCTAACTTGTTAAAAGCGATGAAGCGGCGCAGAATCTTGCATCGTTGAAATTTTCGCAGTCTAATCGTGGGCCGGATCCCAGAGAACCTTCACGAGTTGTGACGACTACAACGACAACGACATTCTCAATGACCCGCGATATGGCAAAAGCGATGAGCCAACACTTCATGGATGCTCGTTTAATTGAAAACGCATCCGATCCCAACTCGAATCTGTTCAAAGATCGAGGCGTCTATCAACTGACACCAAAAGGCCTTCATGTCCTAGAACGATTCATTAGCAAAAACGGCATCAACTCTGACCACCTACAACAGGTTTTCAGCTCACAGCCTATTTGTATCAAGCTGCTGCACTTGGAGCGCCGGTCCGCCGACGACGAGATCATTGTTACACAGTCCGTTATCACGGCCTTGTTCCGGCGCTTTGTTGGACGACAACCCAACTACCCTCCACCAGCAGACAAGCTCCCCCTTGACGCTTTCCAGAGGTATAACGAGAGGTCGAAGGGCATTGCTTTGATGGATGTGACAGAGAGGGCACAACCTCTCTTGGGCAAAGGTCAACAAACCCACAAGTGTTGCTTTGCCGCCGTCAGCGCTCTAGAATGGCTTTGCGACTTTACCTCCGTGGTCGGTCGCGAGGAGGCTGCGGAAATGGCCGCTCAGTTTGTTCGCTTTGGGCTTATCACGTTGGTGAGCGATAAGCGCAAGAATAACGACTCTGCCATTATCTTCACTGTTCGGGGATCCGCCCCAGGAGGAAATTCGCCTGTTAGCGTGCGTGATTGTGTTCCCACCTACCCCAAGTGCTAACTGTTGATCACAGCAAGTGGGAGAGTTCCGATGTACTGCTAAGGCGATTTACAAAATAACCGACGAAGGGCGTCGGCTAGCGCACTGGGATGGCTCACGGCCTCTTGGAGTTCAAGATTCCCCCAACGCATCCTCTACCAATCTTGTGACCAAGCGTGCCTCCGTTGATGGTTCCGTTGATAGCCTTCCTGACAGTGGAAAGAAGCAAGGAGCAGATGCCAAAATTCATAGACGGATATCGCTAGCGGAGAAGATGAACGCGACTTACGATGCAGCTGAGAGGAAGAGCACGAAGGAAAGTAACACCGACCGCCTAAGATACATTCTCGAAGAACCAGGGCTCAGGTCCTTGTTTCGTGAATTTTTGCGCGGTAACTTCTCCGAAGAAAATCTTTCATTTTGGGTGGACGTGCAGGATTTCAAGCGAAAGTTCAACATCACTTCAAGTGCCATGGCGGTATCACCGGTCGCTCGCTCGGGCAGCAGAAACACGCCTGGTCAGGCTGCCATGGAAAGGCATCACGAGTCACTCATCAACACCGCATTTGTAATTTATAACACATACTTGGCTCCCTCAAGTCAGTGCGAGTTGAACATTGATCACGGCCTGCGGAACGAGCTGGTTAAGTACCTCGAGGATGTGGTTACAAACTTGACGGGCAAAGCATTCCAAGGACGAGTAGAGCCTGAGCAAGCGAATGCCTTCAATGCCACGCAGCTGCAGACCATGATTCGTCTATATGAACGTATCCAGACCCATATCTTCAGGTTGATGGCGACAGACTCGGTTCCGAAGGTTTGTCGCGACAGTTTTTTATTATTAATACTTCGCATCCCAACCACATACATTTCCAGTTTATCAAGACGCCCAAGTTCCTCGCGATGCGAAATTGGGTCGAAGATTTCGATCCTACTGAGAACGATATTCATCTTCTCACTGTAGGACCTAGCTCACCACCCGGTCTCAGCACAACAGACGAGGTCGGTGGTGCCTACATCACAATATCTCAGCAGGCCAGCGAACGAGAACATCGACAACAAGTTGCACAGGCGGCGACTGTAAAACAGCATTCGAATTCGTCGTCGACCTCGTAGAACCAGCCTTGTATCTTCTTCGCCTCAAGCCCCTCTCTCTATGGACTCTAGCAAAGCCTTAATCTCTCCATCAGTACATTATGTGTTTGTCGACCCCATCGCAACGTCTCTCTATTCATCATCCGTATGCATATCTTTACTGCAATTTTTGGGATTCTCATCCTACATTCACTTCATTTTCCACGGCGCACAACAAAGCTTGCACCATCGTTCCCCGGAGGCATTGTTTTTCTTGTTCCCTCACATATAATCTTTCATATCCACCTGGTTCTTACATATATAACCCTTGGCCCCACTTACCCTTCAAGTTTTCTGTCTCCCTGTAATATTCAATACCTTACACGCCGTCTCTGTGTTACAGCAGACAACCAATAATTGAACACCAATTCACTGTCATATAACATTACTTTATTTCCTCTTGGCTGACTACGCTACAGCTTAGGTTTATATACGTGCTGCAAGGAGTAATACACAGAACAGAGTGAATTTCAATCAATAAGGATTCTTCGACATTCCACGTGACATTGACACGCTTGTCACTGGACTCTCACTGCACAAGGATATGTCGTGGCTGAAGGAAGCAGCTGGTGGAGGACCTCTACCGCCATATGTAGACAACTCTCTTGAAGGCAAAGTCCCCGATCCTCGTATCCCCAACAGGATGGTAGCAAACAAGCCAGCCAATAGGCCTTTCCTGGCGTGCGGTCCTAACTGTGTCTTCGCCATACTCATCTCACATCACTCACAGATATCATGAGTATCGTGAGAAGCAAGAAGCGCTGCACGCCGCCTGGTTAAAGAAGAAGCAGGAACGCGAAGAGAAAATCGCAGGGGGGGAGAAAGTTGGACCCCTTGAAAGGGATCCCACCGCTCAAGAAGAAGTTGGTGTGCTCGGATTACTGAAATTCATCGTCCTCTTGCTTCTATTTGCTTCTCTTGCTGGAAAATTTATTACCGGCAGCTATACATGGGAATATGAAAGTAAATGGACTCGGTTGAAGACATATTGGCCGGTATGTTCAGATCGTACTCGATTCCTGTTGGACCTTTATCCGAACTCTCTAGACAAACCAACGCCTTTTTTCTTTGAATTTACTTTCGGAGTATGATGGAACCACGGCGAATAGACCGACATATATAGCGGTAAATCCTTTTTTTTTCGTACGATTGGAACGGCAGCCCATTTTATTACGCATTAGATTGACGGTGATGTGTATGACGTTTCAAAGGGCGCCGCCTACCAACCTGGAGGATCTTACCACATTTTGTGTGTTATGACTTTTCTTACGCTTGACACTCCTCACCTTCACTTGATAGAGCCGGTCACGAAGGTGCTAGAGCATTTGGTACGGGATGCTTCAAAACCCACCGTACACACGACACTCGTGGTATGTCTGAAAGTGAACTCAGGGTATAATTTGAATTCAATTCACAAATACTCGCTTGCTCAAAATTCATCATCCAGAGTCTTGCCCACTGGAAGAATTTCTATGTTGAGCATAAGGACTACGTCAAAGTGGGAAGGGTCGTTCTACCACCCATCGACCCGGCAAGCCCTATTCCAGAGCATTGCGACCCCAAGAAGGCTCGACAATCTGATGGAAAAAAACCTGCGCGGGACAGTGTAACGGAGGCCAAGGTATCTGTTGCGACGGAAGAAACAAAGAGTACGGCAGGGAAGCACGATGAATTCTAATTGCTGGAGGGTTTGGTCCATCTATTATATATCTATGGGTCTACGGGCCATATCGCCTTGTATATATATAGCCCACTCAGCGATGAGTTATAATCGCCAGAGGGTCCTGTCGACCTATTATGCATGTAAGGATCTGCGAACCAGGTCGTTTTGTAGATAAATATCCATTAGTCGCATGAAGTATTCTAGACGCATGAATGAAGATAAGCCCGGGTAGAGGGGGAGAACCCTGCGTAGACGGTTATACCTGACGAGGGGATCCATGGGTAAGTAGATAATTTTTGAGGATAGGAAAATCAGCCATAGAGGCGTCAATCATGGATGTAAACGGGTTTTCGCGATATTTCGCGATGACGATATTGCCTCGCCAGGCCACTTCTTCCCTGAATGCTCTGGCCTGAATGTCACGGATGCATTTATTGATAGGAAAAGGCATTCCGTCTCGAGAAACGGTTGGGTAAAAGATGATGTAGGGATTGGCAAATTTTCGATTCATGCCATCCAGTGCTTCCACGAGCTGTATGTTCATGAATCAATGAAGACCTTTGGCAAAGAAAAGAGAAATGACCTGGTATTTCCACGCCCTTGATCCTAAACCTTCAGCAATCTATGACGTATTAGATATTCGGCATGTAAGTATTCTGCCACGACACATACATAATCCATGTAAACCTCCGGATGGGGCATACGAGATGGTGGGCTGGCGAAAGACGCCTGATGCGTCGGTGTCATCGGGCTGCGACGGTTAAAATGAGTGGCGCATGCAAGTCTGAGAGAAGACCAACAAAACCTGGTCATTAATTGTACTAGTGAAGGGGGTCGACCTTGTAAAATGGGCAATCAGTTGGAGTCTCTTGACACAACCGTCGGCTTACTGACCATCTGACGGGAAAAGAATGGATTCATGAGCGACGAGCTGATCCATAATATTCTTGAAAATCTCATCAGCGGAGCAGTGGGATTCCCGACCCCGGTAAACATACTGTCAAAGGAAATAATGCTGAGGGAAAATGGGGTGCTCTCAATTTGAGAAAAATGGCTTGTAAATTGCAGGATATCTGTGGTGCCCTGGCTTTTGGATAATAAAAAACGGCAAAAAAAATGAGAGTCCTTATAGGCCCATTATTCACCGAGCAATGAGGATGGGGTGCTTTCTGGTTCGATCATTGAATCCAGAGACCTTGATCATATGAGATCCTGAAGTTGACCGATCACGTAGACGCAAACTGGTGCATGCATGGTGCTTGAGATGCGGGGATCGTGCTCCGCGTAAGCTAGCCAACCATTGGCGCATATCAATTGCGCCTCGAGTTACATTCTAACTGTGACGCGGAACTTGCGCGAAACGGTACAAAGTAGTTGTTTCAATGGCCTCGAGCAAATGTCTGTCGAGAAATTCTTGCAATAAAAACAGTGAATTTAAGCGGCTCGTGGAACTAATATCTGAAAACCGTTATAAATTATGATTAGAACGTAGTAGTTGCGTAGTAGATGTGGATGAGGACTTACCTAGTTTTGTTGTGCCTTGTTTTGGGAGTCGCCCCTCAGTTAAAGTTTAGCAACTTGCACATCTATGTTCAGATTCGACAAGATACCACTTCAGGAAAGTCTCTACCAGTTGATCTATCTCGCCATCTGAAACATGAAAGACAGTGCTGAAAAATGGCTCAAGTTGGGTTCCTGAGATCATCGTATTATCGTTCCCGTAAAAAGAGAAGCAATCGGTCCCACCGTTAGTCAAAGAGAACACCAAGAACAAACGGGGCATGGCCTTCAAGGCGTGTTTCCCTACCAACGTCGTAATATTAGGCTTCCTTGTCATTCGACGGATTAAATTGCTAGGGATTCCGATCGGTCGTTCTGTTTGCCTGCCGGGATATTTTGTCATCTTTTGCCACTCGTTTTCAAGCCCTGCGTCAAGGCTTCCTACATTATATGGATCCGTGGTGTTTACCGAGGGTCGCTGTCATGGCCCCATCATGCCATTTACGTGTACAACGAGACTCCGTGAGTCTGTCGATACCAATGCAGAGCAGGCCTCATTTTGTTAAACTTCTGCTATCCAGTAGGAGACGAACCCTGATGTGTAATTTTATCTGCGCTGCATCATTGCTCAACTCCTTCCGACCCATTCTGGACCGTTCTTCTGGACACCTACCGCCAAGCCTCCATTTTGAACACAGGGATGTACATAAGATGGCCAGGGAAGAAAGGGCATATTGGCTTCAACTGGGTCTCATACACACAATAGTATTAATCACGAGTCCTGGTAACATCAGCTCCTATATTCCTTCAACCTGGTCGCTTTCCTTAGTAAGTATTCAAGTGCAGTTCTGTCCGGTCTTTAAACAATGGCCTAGATTCATGAAAGATGAAACCCAGGTCCTCTGCCACGCCTAACTTTCGTTTTCTCAGCCCCATCTTTTATAATTGCGATAACGAAGTTCAAATTGGAATGGCGTGTTTGTTGACCCTTCGAAGATTCATGACTGGCCAACAATTCGGCAAAGCCATGAAGAGAACCGGATCACCTACTGCTTTTTTCGTGGCACAGCTGAGGTCAAAATTCCTTTAGCTTGGGGACTCAAACGCTACCTTGTAATGAGGCGCAAATCGGAGGCAGCTGCTAGAAGAAGCCTGATGTTGGGATCGGAGAGCAGGAACACAGAAGTCATCACATCTCTATACATCTTTAGGCCTAGGAATTCTGATATCCGACATGACTCTATCCTTGTGGAGATTATTTGTCAAGATAATTGAGGGGGGGCCTTTGCTCGATGAATGCTTATTATCATCGGCAATAAGTATTGACATCGTTTTCTGTTGCGTGAAGCTGGTTTTTCCCTTCAAAAGCACCGCGAGGTTAAATAACTTGAGAAATGGATCAAGCCTCAATCTGATGATCATGTGAGCTAGCACTGTGACACGGGTTGCATTTGGGTTACATGTATTGAAGTCAAACCAAAACGCTCTCAAACGCTGAGCAGTGAGCACTGTACTCTTCATCCGCTGGTTGCCTTTCATCGAACATCATCCTAATACGCTTTGGATGATCCCTGTTGCTGGGTCTGACTCCACGTTACGCGTCACACAGAAATGGAAAGTTTTCTCGTCGCGACTCACCTCTCCTCTTTAAATTCATCCTCCACGACCTCAATTCCAATTCAGACAACGCGTCAAAATCTTCCCCTACCTCCTGCATCTAAAGAATCCGACACATCCGCTGAACATGCGATATACACCTCCATTTTCAACACACCAGCCACTGGAACCATCCTTCTGCGTCTCATCCATGGCGGATTAATTATCGAACTTGTTTCGCTTTCGAACCCAGTGCCACCAATGCGTTTGGTATTTCCGGCCCTTATATTACCATCTCCTGCTGTATTTTTGTGGGACACGACTGGACTCCACATCCTAGCCGTAACTGATGCTGGCTCTTTGCATCGCGTTGTCATTCCAATCAACGGACGTAACCTGTGGCAAGACCAACTTGAAAATGTCTGGCATCGCGAATATACGTTGAGAAATTTCCCTGGAAACGCGGAAGGTTGCTTTGCTCATGCTCAGGGAACACATTGCGTGGCAGTAAGCATGCCTAATGGTTCGTTACTGCGCTTAGAAGTCGATTTTGTGGGGCACGACGGACATGAGGGTGAGCCTAGGTTCTCAATATCTGGAATCTAAGCAGCTAATTGAAATATCTCAGAGGAGTGGACAGAAACTCTCTTCCAGCAAAATTCATTCCTCTCCTCTCTAACGGCTTTCCTTCCTGCACTTCATTCCAGCTACCCCAATGGAGCAGATATTATTTCTATTGCAACTCATCCGTGGCCTACAGACATCGGCCACGTGTGGACATTGTCTCGCGACAGGACACTTCGCCTGTGGAAGGCAAAGCTGGGATGTGTAGCTTCGCGGACTCTAGCGTTTCCTTCTCAACGCAAAGATGCAACTCCAGCGTCTGGTGGCTCATCAAGCAACGTAAAACATCATTCTGTCCTGAGCGGAAACTATCAAACACTTTTGAGGGTTTTCTCTGTAACGTCGGAGACTATCTACGTTCTCGTGTTTATCCCAACTATCTTGTCACCTTCCTCCGGAGGCTCATTTTGTATTGTTGACACATCTGCCGATCATTTTCAAGAAGTTTGCAATCTGGAATGTTCTGCGCGCACTGCGCACTGCCATCTCCAGGATTTCTTGGTTTCGGGGAATACACTCTACACGCTGTGGGACCGGCAAGGTCGATCAGCAGTTGAGAGGATCAATATCAACATACAGGAGCTGAAAGGCACTAATTATACCCCTTCTTGGAGGACCTCGTGCTATGTGCGAGAGGCCGAGTTTACACCAGCTTACATGGAGGAACAACTTTTGTCGTGCGGTTCATTGACGGAGAAATATCTGGCAGTAATTATGAAGCCAGGAATGTTCTCATCTCTTACTCTCCGAACGGCAATCGAGCAATACATGGACGCATGTCTGTCGCTTCCAGGCCCCCCACCTCCCCAACTATTAACTACGTATCCAACGATATGCGAGAATATTGCCGCAGTTGTCGGATGCACAGTCACCTTGAATCGCGACCCACAAACAGGTACCCTCCAGCATGCCAATTACTGGACAGCATTGAAGAGGGACTGGGAAGGATTCATAGCTCGATGCCGAGAGGTAGAGCGCAGCGCACGCTGGCCCCTTGCGTTAGGAATCCAAGGCTTTGATGAAATCATTATCGTTGAACGAGAGCGGGCAGGGTGTCTAGTTGGTGAGGACCTTCCCATCCATCTTCAGAGGCTCATCATACAAGAAACAACTCCGGATCCGCAATACAGTCTCTTAGCTGTGTTGTGGGCACTTCGCGCTAGGTTAGGTCCCCAGATGATGTCCAGCCTTGAGAACCGTTGCGCAGAGATTATGCATCAGGAGATTGCATTCTCCTTTGCTGACATACTACAGGATCAGACGCGTCAGATCAACATTAAAGACAATCTCGATGAAGGGTCGGCGAGTTGGTTCCTTGGACGTTTTCAGAGTGTTGGCAACATCGACAACGCGATTCGGGTTGCCCTCGATGCTATTGGAGATTTTGACCTCGCTGTGAAAAGGGAGGTTGATGAAAGCTCTCTGTTGCTTCCGTCGTCTCTGTCTGAGTGGTCGCGAGGTTTAGCAGCGGCATATATCTCTACCACTATGGAGGCAAGATACGACTTATGCCTCTCTCTGATTACCTTGCTCTTCTTCCTTTCAGATGAATTGATTGATTGGGATGGATCTTTACTTGCGGAAGTCTTTGCTATCTTCAGGGGGGTTGCCATTCTGCGCTATGTGTCTGGACAACCTGCAGAGAGCGTCAATGGAGATCACAGTGATTCGTCTTCGCCTGATGACGTGATCGCTCGAATGCGAAATATGAATGTTTCGCAACAAAAGGCTCCCTTCGCTTCGAAATCCTCCCTCTCTCACCTTCTCTTGGCACACTCAGCCGATCCGAACGGTGTGCCTGCAGCGGCTCACACTTTTCTAGATGCCACTGGTTTACTCCAATCCATGTCTCCAGCGCATGTAACAAAATGCGAGGTCATGTTTTGTGAACGCCTGAGAGCAGTAGGATTCCTTGAAGTAACGCGGGAATGTCTGTCGTGGCTTCCTAGAACCCCTGCAGCCATCTTTATCCTGGCCAGAGTTTGGTTGCAAATGGGTCGAGTCGACGATGCTTCTCAACTTTTTGAGAAAATTGCAGGAACTTTTGGCATGTATCTCGTCCATAACTAATGTTTTTTACGCTTAACGGCTCACTTTTTTATCTAGGTCCGGGAATAACTACGACTCATGAAGATTTTGAAGCGCTGTCGTCAGTCTTGCCCGCAGCATCCACGACGCAGTCCGAGTTTTCGTTCTATTTGCATGTTTCAAACTTGTTCAAGAGCGACCTTCTCGTTCAACACGAAGTACACTTCGCTCGGCTTGCTATATCGACCGCTCCTTCTAATGCAGACACGTCCTTCCTGTGGAATAACGTTATCAAAGGTCTTCTTGATCTTGGCTCATATGAAGATGCATACGCTTCAATAATGGCTACGCCATATGAGAAACAGTGCGTAGCCGACAATCTTATTCTTAGCAAACCTGGTTTTGATAAATTAATAAGGAAACGAGAGTGCGCCAGCCAGTTGGCAATCCGGATGTGTGAAGAGAATGCGGTCGAAAGGCTGATGACCTTTGATTTTGGAGGAATATCTGACGAAGTTGCATCCGCTTTATCATTCAAGGCCCGAAATGTGGAGCCTCACTTCCGAATTTGTTACGCAAAGATCCTCTACACCTGGTACGTGCGCAGAGGAGATTTCCGGAATGGTGAGTGTGTGTCACCTCATCACGAACACGAAGTTGACAACAATGTATAGCTGCTCTAACTATGTATCAACGCGCTCAAAAGTTGAAAGATGTTGTTTTTGATTCTCCGTTTTTCTTGGCAGCGGCCAATGAGCAGTTAGATGCCTACTCCATTGCGATCAACGCACTATCCTTAGTTGATGACACGGCGTGGATTCTCACGCCTGTTGTTCACGACTCGGTATTTCAGTCCTTCCGACCTTTATTCGTTGTTTAACCCACTGCAGTCTCCTTCCAAAAAGAGAGTTTCCAAGCATATCCCCGAATCAAAATACATCTCGAGCAAGTATGATGCAGAAATTGTTCATTTGGCAGATATACAGCGTGAATACGCGATCCTACGTGCGCAAGTTGATATCATCAAACGGGAGCCGTCGGTTATTGCGTCTCCAGGCTAGTACACTCTCATCTCCCCGAAGGTTTTATTCATTTCTCAATCTAGATTTTCTTATCTCACCGACACTAATCGTCATGAGGCTGGCGCACGCAAATCTGTATACCCAAGCGATGGCCACTGCACGCAGCCTCAAGATAGACATGACAGACTTGTTTTCTCATTTGACGAATCAATGTGTGCGACTAACTCGGGAGCCTAACTTGGTCATGTGCGTTTTACATTCTCAGTTGCTATTCCCCTCTTATTCTCGTTACCTACCAGGCAACAAGATACATCTGACTGGTTGTTAACCGACAAAGTATCAACATGGGCGAACACGCCAGCAGATCGAGGATGGCGATATCTGCGACAGTCGCTGGAGAGACACGATAACGCAGAAACCGATTGGCGATATGCCAAATCTACTTTGGAGACGATTTTAAGCTTGGATAGGACATTACCACCCCCTCCGTGGCTCATTCAAATGCTCGAGGTAAGTTGAGATGTCTGTCATGCGGAACATGCCATACTTATCTGGCATCCACAGAACCGTCATCAAGAGTATCTCATTCGTGTTAGCCTCCGCTACGAAAACGTCGACGATGCTGTTATGCACGCATTAGCTCTCCTTCGAAAGGTTTACAATGACATATTTCTTACCGTGCTCGCTTACCAAACATTAATTTCAGTCTGACGCCGCCTTGCAACAAGATTCATCTCTACAAAATTCCTCCTCCACTTGGTTTCCCTACGCTCTCATCGACCAGGTCCTCACAGCTGCCGCTGCACAAGACGCCCCTCCTCCCCATCTACCCCTGCTACGCACAGAAATTACCAGTCGCATTAAGCGTCTCCAGAAATCGATTCAAACGGTTAGCCACTGAGTGAATTTTGTTGTAACAGACTAGCTCGTTGGGCGCTCAGAGGATCGACGCTTGTAGATGATTGTCGCTGTTCAATTGTAACGCGCGTGACTCCAACTATACATTCAGTTGACCTTTGACTTTCAATAAGAATGCCTCATAGAACATACTTAGGAAGGCTTATTTAACAGTAAATTTGTGAATCACTTTCTTATGATCAGGCTGAGGAGGTCTCCGAGCGTCTCCAAAGCTCCCACAGCCTTCTTGAATGCAGGCACGGCAAATTGGCGTTTTCGACCACAAATACTGCGATGCGACATCTTGTTTTTTTTCACATATAATGATGAGCTTTCTGAGTAGTATGATTGTGGTTTTTCTTAGAAGAAATCCACCCCCGCTGTCTACTCTGAGCACCCCTTTTCATAGTGACAGCCTGGTTTTGGTGCAATTATACAATGATATATATTCACCAAAGTTAGAGGGTTCGTATTCAATCTACTGGAGTAAAACACGAGAGAGGGTTAATCAAGGGAATAGATTGGGGCTAAATGCAGAATACAGATTTCCAAAAGCAAAGGTTATATTGAGACCAAATTTGAACATTTATGGAGCATGAAGGTGGCGTCCAGAGGGGGCATCAGTCCGTAGGCCGTCCAAGAATTGGGTCCATTCTCCTTGCCCAAACCCAACAGCAGCACCCCACATCGTCGATTCATCGGCAGGGTGTACGTACTGAACATAGCGAGTGGAGTCGTGGTATATTTGATGCTGTTGTGGTGTGGCATATGTAGGGGACTGAAAAGACATCCCAGACAAATTTTGTGTATGAGAGACGACCTGCGATGGTGTGTGTGGAGATTGCGAGAGAGTCTGGGCATGACCTGATGCAGCTTGCTGATGATGGGGGTAAAGAGAAGAGGACGCCGTACGGATGGAGGATAGAGTGTGGGACTGGAGGGAATCATACTGCTGTGGTAGTGACGACATCATTTGCATTGGAGGACTAAGCGACGTGGAGTTGGCAGGTGAACCTATTGTGCCTCTATCAGACGGGGAGTCGTGGTAACGTCGAGGATCATGGGAATCATGATAGGGAAATGCAAGTTTTCGAACTTTACCAAGTATTTGTGCGCGTTCTTTTTCTCTTCCTTCAGGACTCTCTGTAGGCAACTCAACGGAGTATAGTGGTTCGAGGGCCTGAAGTATGGAAAAGGCCTTATCGGCCACAGCTATATCTCTTGATTGCTCGAGTGTCACCATTGCCTTACCTATGCTGGCGCGGAACAACCCAGCCCCAGGTTGATCAGGATTCGCAATCAATTGGAATGAAAAGAACATGGCTGCTGAGAAACAATGGAATGGGCCCCAGTTCATGTGTCCGGGAACGGCGAGGGACGGGTTGGCCAAAAAATCTGGCCGTGATTGCCCAACCATGGTTATAAGTTTATCTGCAGCCCCAACTGCGATCTCCAGACTTTGCGCGGTCTTGTTCGGGTCGATGTTGGACGACTTACTCTTTGTCGCTGAGATGTTTGCGTTTATGCTTGCGTAAGGTCGATGAAGCGTGAAGCGGATGTGATAATATGCCGTCCGAATGATCACACTCTGCACACCCACCCGCCTCACGGCAATATTGGGTGAGGCCAGACTACGAGCCACACGATACTCATCCAAATCGAGTTCTGGCGGGAGGTTGTCCATCCATTGAGTCAGCGCGCGGTCGTTCGCTTGGACACTTTCGTATGGTACGGGTCGCACAGAAACCGCATCGTCCATGATGTCGCCAAGAATAAACGCTAGCCGGAAAAGGGCAATGTTAGGGAGGTAAAGGCGGCCCGTCTTGTCAAGCGCCGGATCACAGTAAGAGGGGAGCTGCGTGTCGAAATGATGTGATGCGATCGCAAGAGGCCGTCCAAACATGAAAGCTTGCCATCTACATGTCAAAGACTCAATCAACGGCGGAGCGAGTAGGTGTAATTTTTCCTACCGCTCAAGTAATATGATATGCCACCAGGCCCATCGGCGACGTTCAGCGACATCTCTGTGCATTCTCCACTTCCCCGGATCTCGATGAAGACCCATGGCCATCCCTATTGCCACCAACTCACCTCTCACATGCCAGATCTCTTCGCTGTCTGTCTTCGAGAGCGTAAGGAAATGACACCTCACGAGCAGCAATTCCGCCAGTTCCAAGCTGTAAGACCTTGAATCTGATTGACGTCGTTGCAGCGATGTAGTAGACACTTCAAAAAACCTAGTACCAATCTCCTCGTGGGTGTCATGGAATGCGACCAAAAGAGGATGTTGTTGAGGCAGATAATGTGTTGCAATAGCCATCATGGCGCAGGCCGTGGCCAAAACGATGCGATCTGCGGAGGTACCACTTTTGAACCGCTCCCACTGGCGACTGAAGGTTTGTTGATTCACATGTCGGTAGATCCAGTTGCAGTATTCAAAATAGTAGGAGATCAACCCGTCTATCACATCGAGTGACGGGAGCATTGCAAGGAGGTCGCGATCATATTCTGGTGTCATAATTGGAAAATCTTCAGCTTGGTCCTGACTTTGTTGTCTGCTTTCGGAATCGTCTGATTCGCGGCTCTCGTTCTAATGAAGAGCCTTTCAGTGCATGGGGACTACCAGAGGGCGAGGGAAGTACCATTAGCAAATGTGTAGCTGCACTCGTGGGTCCAGCGTACAAGCCACCCTGGACATGACTTCCTAGCACCCCAGGAGCTGTTGAGGTTTTCTCGTTAACGTCGAAATCAACTACCTCCTTCTTTGGAACTATGAGTGACGACGCATCACTAGCGCGTCGATGCGGCACAAGATGATTTCTTTGGCTTGGAAAAACATAGGCTTCTAGAAGAGATATTGAATGGCGAACACGAGCTATTTCTTGGGCAGGATCAATCCGCGTAAAGCTGAAGAACAAAAGAGGTTTATATTCTCAAAAAGAATCACTCCCCGGAAAGCCGGCAACTTACTGGTGGTCATCTCCGCGGCCCAGAGGATCGCTGCCTTCGTGACCTCGAGCGTCTTGATAGCACATAGCAGACGTCCCTGAAATGTTTCGGTCATCTGGTGGCTGCTCTACAAAAGTAACCTCCCGGGTACAAACCTCGCAACACACAGGAGGAGCATGGTCGATTTCTGTGAATCGCAGTTCTGTAGAAATTCAAAGGAAAGAAATATAGGGATGATCGACGAACCTATCGCATTTCAATTTGCTATTTCGACATGGCTCGCAGTTGATGGCTTTTCGGGCACGTTTGGTAGGGGGACGGCCATCGCCGTTCTGCTCGCCAGAGGCACCAGGAGTTGGAGATGTTCTGCCACGGACGGTTCCCGATGTTGCCGATCTGGCTGGCTTAGGCCGCGGAGCTGTAGGCGAAGTTGAAGAGGAATTGTCATCAGGCATTATTTAGATCACAATGTTTTCCAAGATTGGCTGATCAGGGAAAAAAGATGAGTGCCAAGGCACAACAGGAAAAAAAGAAAGAGGCGTCGAGAGCGTCCTTTATGTAGGCCACAGACAATATAGAGAGCGAAGAGAGTGGGAGGAGGCAAGAGGAGGGAAGGCTTGGAAAGAGGGCCGCGATCGAACGTCGGCGGATTGGGATTTATCAAATAAACACCGCAGACTCACTGTTATAAGTATCCCGATTACTATGTATCCATCCCATAAGACCTTATCTTTGCACATTCCTCGTAATTTCACCTTTGTTCACTCGCCTCATGGGTCAACACGAAGTAGCTCAAAGTATGCATAAGCTCAACATAAGCTTGAGCTCAACTTGACCTTTGACTGAAAAAGGACCTCCGGTGAAAGCTTGAAACTCTCAGGGACATCATTGCTCGGGGTACTCGAATTTCGCCGCTAAACGCCGCCAAAACTGCGTTGTGCACGAGAGACGGTCTGCAAACTCTATATATACGGCGCACATTTATCGTTCGAACTCAAATATACGCATCCGACCGTCGATTGCGACAAGAGGAAGAGGGCAAACCGTAGGAATGCAAATGTTTGCGGAGTGACTGTCGGCGATGGTGCGGCAGAAGAAACTCTAATTCAGCCCGATTTGTTAACAACTTTATTGCAAACCCTAACCCTAAACAAGGGTTTGAACACTGTAGCACTTTCTAGAATGATGGCCTAAATCAGTTTATAAGGTTGGGTACCAATTTCTCATTGCATTCTTGTTGCATTCAGAACGATGTCTGACGTGCGTATCATCTGTCTTTCAAAGTTCTTAGGCTTCTCATAATTGGAAATCGCAGGCAAACGTACTCAAAGATCAAGGCAATAAGGCCTTTGCTGCCAAGGATTACGACAAAGCCATCGATTTGTTTTCCCAAGCAATAGCACTTAATCCAACGAATCATGTTCTTTGGTCCAACCGCAGCGCAGCAAAAGCGGGTCAAAAAAAGTGGGACGATGCCCTGGCCGACGCGGAAGAGGCACGTATGCTCAAAATCGTGACATGAGCCCTTGTTGAATAACGCGAATCAGTGCGTAAGAATTAATCCTTCGTGGTCCAAAGGTTATGCCCGTAAAGGTGCAGCTTTGCACGGTGCACGTAAATATGATGAGGCAATTGCGGTGTATGAAGCTGGGATCAAGTTGGAAGATAGCCCTGCTTTGAGGAAAGGCCTTCAGGAAGTCAAGGAGGCGAAAGGTTCGAGGGCATCTTTCTTATTTGTCCTGTAGCTCGTTAACATATTGTTTCAGCCGCTTCTTCAGATGATGTGGGTTTCGGAAAGCTGTTTTCAGACCCAAACCTTCTTGGAAAGTTGGCGACGAATCCCAGGACGGCGAAGCTTCTGTCCGACCCATCATTTGTCCAAAAGGTATTGTATGAATACAACGAACACTCTTCGTAACCCATTTACTTATTGAGAAATCAGCTGCAAATGATACAAAAAAATCCACGTCTCGTAGACAGGTACGTGTATGATTTGTACTCTGTTTCTGCTTCTGAATCTTTGCTGTAGTGCGCTTCAAGATCCACGGATGTTCGACGTCCTCGGTGCACTTATGGGTATCGATATTTCAGCGAGTACCCGACCCGAAGGGTCCGATGAACTCCCTGCGGGCGTTTCGCGTGATCAGACTCGCTCGTTCAGCCCACCGCCTGCTGCCTCGTCCTCGTCTCCCAAGCCATCACATCCCACACCTCCTCCTGCAGCCTCCAAGGAAGATGTTGAGATGGAGGGTCTTGACGACGAAGAAGCCCAAGCGAAAAAAGCTGCAGAGGCTAGCAAGAAGCTAGGCAGCGAAGCCTACAAGACGAGAGAGTTCGGCGAAGCCGCAAAACACTTCCAGCATGCCTGGGATACTTGGCCGAAAGACGTTACATTCTTGACAAATCTAGGCGGTGAGTATTTTCGGCATCTTTAGCGCTACCGCGATTTGAAGAAACATGGCCGTAGCTGTCTATTTTGAACAAGGGGATTATGACAAGGCAATAGAAACCTGTGAAAAGGCTGTTGAGGAGGGGCGATCAGTATGTTTAAGATTTCTCAAACGGTGCTGTTCTAACCTCATGCAATAGATTCGCGCTGATTATAAACTCATTGCTAAAGCATATGGTCGCATTGGGTTCGCATATCAGAAGAAAGGAGATCTCGGGTCAGCAATCAAGAACTACCAGAAATCTCTGACCGAACACCGAACACCTGATGTACTGAATAAGCTCCGTGAAATTGAACGACTAAAAGCAGAAGAGGACCGTAAGGCCTATATCGACCCTGAAAGGAGTGCTGCGGCGCGTGAGGAGGGTAATGTCAAGTTCAAGGCTGGGGATTTTGCGGGTGCGGTGAAGGATTACGCGGAGAGTATTAAACGAGACCCTTCTGATGCACGAGGCTACAACAATCGAGCGGCGGCGTACATGAAATTGGTGGCATTCCCGGAGGCGTTGAAAGATGCAAATGAAGCGATCAAGACAGACCCGTCCTTCGGTTCGCTAAAGTTCCCTTTGTGCGTTGAATCGTTGCTAACGGCATTTAATTTAGTCAAGGCCTACATTCGCAAGTCCAGTGTCTTGTTTGCGATGCGCGAGTATACAAAAGCTATAGAAGCAATCCAGGAGGCCACGGAGCATGACGTTGGTCATCAACATACCAAAGAGATCGCACAGCAGGAGATGAAATGTCAGCAAGCGTTATTCAGCCAAAGAGGCGAGGAGAACCAGGAGGAAACCTTGGCCAGGGCGATGAGGGATCCTGAAGTTGCGGTGAGTCCATCCCTTTTTGATCAAGGCATTGCTGACCCTATTATAACTATAACTCAGGGTATCATGAGCGATCCTATCATGCAACAAATTCTGCAGCAAGCACAAACTGATCCCGGCGCGTTGCAGGATCATATGAAGAATCCCGTTGTGAGGGGGAAGATCCAAAAATTGATAAATGCAGGCATCATCAGAACTAGATGATCGTTGGGCCCAAAGTCTTTTCATTTAGCACCAGGTTGTTGTACCAGTACATCTCAGGATCGTTGCATTTCGAGGAGCCGTCCTAGTAGCAATGTAAATTACATGACATTTCTCTACCATCTCCACTCAACGTTCCCGACTGAGCGGCCTCTTACGCCCTTGTATGGCTTGTACTGCTCCCCGCTAATTTTAAGCTGCTCTACCTTCAGAGCGGAGTAAGTGTGTGATTGTATTTCAAATCGGACTTGTAGAGCGTGTGATGGGCGAGGCGGAGATATGCTAGAAATGAATCATGCACAATTAACGAATAACGACATGTCAGGGAAGAACATGGACAGCCTCACGAGGTTGAGAATGATCCCTGTAAGCTCCAACTGCTGGACGGAGGAACGTTTGGGATTCCCCACCTCAGAACCTGACAACAAACTCAATCGACAAATGGGGAATATAGATACCTTTTTACCTTTTTCTTAGTATCGAAATTCCAGGAGGCACCCGAGGTCCCAGAAATGCCAACGTCCATACTACCGATCCCTCCCCTCGTCAACCCACCGGACCCACGAGAGGCAATACATTTAATTCCGCCAGCCCCTTGCCCTAGATCCATTTCAATGTTGAGATTTTCGATGGTACGTGCGGTCAGGCGAGATGTCAATATAATCTCAAACGAAGCTGATATATCGTGATTTTTCAATGAATGAAAGGTTTTGAGTGAGATCTTACCACTGAGAACCTCTAGGTCAAATGTAGATTTGATGCTGAGTGGTATTGCAATGTTGTCCTTTGCTAAATTTGAAATAGCTGCTGAGGGTGACGATGTTGATGATGCGGGTGAAACAAAACGAGGGTTTAATGTTGCTGAGGTATTTGGTGCGAACCGATAATCAGCAAGAATGAACTGGCCATCGGGTGGTATGAATGAAAGACATTTGTCGCGTGTCCACCGTTGCAAACTGGTGGTCAAATGAAGTTAGATCCACGGTTTACTTGTTTCTCGTTCGCACCGAACACAAGGGTGAAATGCACAATCCGCAAGAACCTGTGGATTCGCAAACGTCAAAAGGCAGTCTGGTGTACCTAATATACGTTTGAACAGTGAAGAGAGTTGACGCTAACTTCAAGGCAACCACACACCTGCGAGTCTCGTATTTGTCTGTATTTTACCCCATACACTGCTCGAGAGCGTAACTCCATGTCTAGAAAACTCCAAGATAAATCGCAAAAATGTTGTCTTGGTATCCTGCTTACTTGTTAACGATTGCCTCAAGTTTCTCCACCATGTCAAAATATATTTCGTTGCTGCTATATTTGAGTCCCGCTTTACGCCAGGGAATCGAAGATGAAAAAGGACCACCTGCTGATCCAAGCCCTGCGCCGGAGTTGATTGTTGTATTGATATTTGCGCCAGCAACGCTCAGTAACTTTGTGAGCAGAGATGGTGGAAGGACGATATCACGGAGAGCATTAGGAGAGGTTGTGAGAGGATGTCCCCCAGAGTCCAGAGTCTCTTCCAGCAGCTGATATACGACGTCAAAGTTTTCCTTGAGCTTTGCAGCGGAAAGAGTTCCAAAGTACTCATGAAGAATATCAGTGAATGTCTGGAGAAATGCAAAGGCGAAAAGGGGGTCGACTGTGTTGCTTTCTATGAGCGAGTGTTAAAGACGAATAATGCTGCACACACTGTTACCGCTAATGGGACACAAGAATCTCATATCGGCGCAAGGAATATGGCAGCAAGCACTTGGAGATTGAATGGTATTGTAAGAGGGAATATACAAAACTGGATCGACATCGGCAGGGCGTCGAGCGTTGTCAAGAGCATGGTTGAACGCGTCCACATGGAGGAGGGGGTACGCGGTTGAAGCTGACCTGAAGCCAGACTGGATAATCGGACGACTGTGATTCTGTTATTAGGGAAAGTGGATACTATGAAGATGAAGGTACCCAGTCTTGTCCAGAACAATCAATCCGTCGATGCCCATTGAATTTGAATGTCAAGTTATAACTGTACACGTGATTTGTAAATCAATCTCCTCACTTCCCACCTCCCTTTTCCACTTTCGTCCCGCAACAGCACTACCACCTTTCCTCCTTCAGAGCACTCCCAGTGGTCAACCCGACGAAGTTTACTACATTTCCATGCCAGAACACCCGCAATTTCGTCGTTCTTGCGCATCCGGCTACGCTCCATCATTGACAATTGCGGCGTTTTGCCAGGAATGGTGCCTAGTCCATGGTCAGATCGATTGTTTGAATGCTCCCCAATGCAAGTCGGGCCAGCTGCGGAGATACTTCCAGCTACCCCTACGGCGGCAACCTCGTAGAAGAATTTGATTCCATGCGCAGCGGTCAGTTCAGGCAGGGTACTTAGTAACTCCGCCCATTCCACCATGTTTGTCACAGGGCTACCAGTCGCAGCAGCGCGTTCCTTCTCGCGGCTACCGATCCTCTTTCCGATATCCAGATGGGTTACTCCTGGAATGGCCGCCACTAACCTCTTGATATCGTCCATATCATGCCACCCAATCATTTCGATTCTGCGCACTGGCACTCGTCTGAGATTGCCAAGAAATACGCCATCAGAAACTGTGCGATGTGAGCCTATATTATTTCCACACCCAGCAAGTTTAAATCCTTTAATTGTCTCAAGGGGTCGAGGGTGGGTCGAAGGGCAAGTAATGACAGCGTTTACCATATCTTTAGGTGCCTTGATTTCCCTTAGATTGGGAAGGGAGTCATCAGGAAGCTCTATGGCTCTGAAACCTGCTGCTCCAACATTGATGTCGAGGTGTAAAACTTCAAGGGCTTGATGTGCCCAGAGGAAGGCAGCGAGAGGAGCTGTGGAACCACAGCGGAGGTTTGTCAGCGCGACGGAGGTGAGGTTTCTCCAGCGGCTATACATAAGGAACTCATCCACAGAGGGGCGGGAACTGCTGGCTGTCTGCTGAGCAGTTGCTCCGCCATTCGAAGCGCGCGGGGATGTATACGTGATCTCGAGGTTCTTGAGGTGGGGGCATTGGTTGAGGATATGTGAGATGTGGGAGAGGTCAGGATGCTTCGACGACCCATAGCTATGAGCTGTCGAGCGGAAGGCAACACTTGTCATCTCTGATAGCTGCGTTATGGTTGGACATGAGTGTGATGGTTGGAGAAATCCGAATCAAATAATACCGACCGCTGCATGAACTTTTCTCTTCGGTCTACTGACGATCGCAACTTCACCGTCGCTATTATTATTTTCATCCACCTGGGATGCAAATATGAGATTATCACAAATCTCTACCGTCTGGAGCGTAACACATCGCGTCATCAATACTGGCCAGAGATGCTGCATAGAAATCGGGGAGTGGTTGCAAGCCCACTTGAACACCCTCAGGCCAGTCATGCGCGTCAGTGCTGCTACAAAATAGCGTTCTTGTTTATTGTGCATACCCAACTCGTCATCAGTCGACTCGAGATCCGTGTCCCCTTCCAGTACGCCCCTAGGAATGACCATGCCATTGTTGGCATCGTTCCGACCACCATTCGGGCCAGATGACAGGCAGCGCTCATCGAGTATCTCAAGCCTTCGCACGTTCCTAGCCAAGGATTTGTGGACAACCAGATGGTTCCATACGCTGATAGAAGAAACCTTACACCTTATCAGGCGATACTCAAAATGCCTTGGGAAAACAATGCTGTGCAGCTGCTTGCAGCACAATCCCACATGCAATAAATCGCGCTTGGTGTCGACGTGGGACATGATGGCATCCAGTATCTCTGTCGGCTGGTATACAAGCCCGCTGACGCGCGTGATTTTCGGAGAGCTAGTGTCTAGAGCACGAACACCGTGAAAGGTGTACGGTTCGACAATAGACAAGAGATGAAGGGAAAGGGTGTGCTCAGCAGGTGTGAACTTGTACTTGCAACCGCCTACGCGTCCTGGAAGCGAGGCGAAGAGTTTAAGCAGAACATTGAACGCGCTGATGGGGTCTGTACGCGGATGAGCGCTCAGATTGGTGTTGATATGTTGTTGAGTTGGTTCGCCAGCCTTTCTGGCACGAGACCGGATGGTTGCAGATGTGAGAGGAAGGGAAGGCTTTCGTGAGCCCGCAGAGGACATGGCGCAGATGTCGAACCGCACAGCTGCACTTCTGATCGACTTCTGATATATATCATGAAATTGTAAATTTCGAATGTTGCTGCCAAACAATAACGTTCATCATGGCGATGCCCAAGACCAGTCAAAATACCCAGCCTCTCCGAATACATCGCAAACCTCCTTCTCACGCTTCTGCCTCTCACCGCCCTTTGAAACTTCTCTCCACACTTTCACACATTCATGTACTTCTTCCGGGGTGCTGAAGCCCACCACCAAAGGCACATTGTCACCCACTGCGCGTGTCTGCCGCAATGAATATCCCAAAGCAAGGTTTGTCAAGTCTGGCCAATTTTCCCTTGCCTTGGACACCGCGTGTAAGAGGCCCGGAGGAGCCGGATGCCAACTTGGAGGAGATTGCGTAAGGAGGCCCATGCTCAGAGGTGACGCGGCGAGCAGTTGCCCCACTTTTGCTCGGCGGTAGAAGTGAGATGCAAACTCCATAAATGTGGAGTTCTGCAAGCATAGGTGTGAATACGAAAGCAAGATATCGACGGGTTTGAATGGTGCCGTGTGCAAGATCAAGATGGAAAGTCGCAAGAGAGTCGGGAGTGGATAGCCTAACAAGTTGAGAGGCGCGGCTCATGATAAAAAAGTCTGAAAAGAAAAAATACCTGTGATACCGATGCGCCTGATCAGGCCCTCTTCCTGAAGTTTTCGAAGCTCCGCGAATGCATCAAGAACCAACTGATCGCCTTTCCCTCTCACCAATCCTTCATCCCCTTCAGACAGGCCATAGCTGGTTGCGTCATTATGAAGCGCGCTTGCGTGATTGCCCGTAGCTTTTGGTGCATATGGCGTACAAACGAATTCAACGTCATGGAGGTATACCACATCCAGATAATTTGTTTTCAGGCGTTCCAAGCTTTGTTTCACGCTGGCCCGAATTGTAGCAGGCGAATAATCGAAAGACGCAACTCCGTAGCGACCACATTTCGTCATCTTATCAAAGAATGATGAAACCGGTCGGTAAGATCTTGATAGACCTACCAGTTGGTACGCGCTCCGCGGGAATTCTGTCCTCAGGTTGTCTAATATGTTTCCTAGCACAACCTCTGAGGGTCCATAGTATGCCGATGTGTCGAAAGCACGGATGCCATAACTAGACATTAGTGATAGATGTGATGATAGATAATGCAGTTGACAAATACCGGAGTGCAAGTCGGACGGTGCGCAAAGGCTGGGTGCTGGCAAGATGATCGTCCGTGTTATATTGGTTTGAGAAGGCGCCAGCACCGTAAACAATCACAGGAAGACGATCTGGTCCACTGAGCTCAGTCTTGATAAATGAGAGTGTTTCAGCGAGGAATGGTTATCTGATAGACATACAAACCAAGGGAAGCCCAGGGAGGGGAGAGTCGACCGGTTCCTCGGCGGGAAGTGAAAGAGATGGATCGATGGCGAGGGGAAGAGACATTGGGAGGTTCTGACCAAGATGAACGGCTAAGGGTCCGGGAAAGTGAGGAAACTCGGAGAGCCAACACGTGATGTAATCAAGAAAGCAAGTGAAAAAAGAGAAATGAATTTCGCGCTTGCTACACACACAAATAACTTGGACGTTGTACTATAGTTTGTCCCGAGACCAACTAAAAGAGGTGAACAGTGTCAGAGGTTTACACCGCGAGTTGAGTTGCAGAGAATCACACACCTCTTCTCGAACTTTTGGTTGACGCTCATCAATTTTGTGTTCTCTTCTGGCTTAACGGTGTTCCAAGGCGTTGGGTTGGCCTTGGTCCAAACGACTGCACAGGGGTGTCAGAAGCAGTCCGAAGATGAGATGTGTGAAAGGCAGACTTACCACTAGGGCCTGTAGCAAGGCGGCCCAAGTACCACGTAGCACCAACCACAACTCCTCCGATAATGACGTAGCTATAAGATTCAAGGTGTTAACAGGCCTAGGATGTCCGATGGGGGGCTTACATTGGAATTGCCTACAAGCAAATGTTAACGCTGGGTGGATAGATGTGCTCAAAGAGAACAACGTACCTCGACAGCAAACCAATTCCTCATCAGGGATTTACGCAGTGGGCTCGGGGACGACATGGTATTGAATGCTAAAAGGAAAGATGTTTCAAACAGCGAATGATGTTGAGCACTTGTTGCTTAATCGGAATATTCCGGAGCCAGCAAAATTCAATTAAAAAATATGCAACCATACACCTGTTGCAGGCATCAAGCCGCACAGACAACGATATGTACACAAAACAAAAAGAATGAAACAAAGTTGTTACGAAAGATAATCATAGAGTCCAAATTGAGTCAAGGGCATAGAGTGCATACAATGAGCGTGGCGCATAGAAAAAGGGTTGCTAGTCCAGATTGTGAAAGAAACAACCCGTCCAAGATTAACCTCAGAGCAAAACTAATCCGTCATCGCACCTTTTGCAATGGATTTGAACTGAATCCCTCATCACCAACGAGCCCTCGGTTTCCATACGGAGTTTTAACTTCCGAAGTTGCTGTTCTCGGGATACAAAGACCTGCTTGTGAGATATGGGACGAGGAGCCTCGGGCTGGCGATCGGATCGAGATGGGGCCGAGGAAATGGCAGCATCGGTGTAACGCGGAGCCCATGACATGAAATTGGAAAAGGCCTGAAACGGGAGTCGTGCCGCAAGCGGGGAGGACATGATGGATGAGAACGAAGATGGTGCTGACCGAATGGATTTTTCAGAATCGACAGAGGGGTATGGTTGGGGCACAGAGTCAGGGTAGTCGTAAACCGCAACACTCTTTATTTCTGAAAACGATTGGGAACACGGTGCTGCGATCGTTGTATCAGCAGGGGATCTATGAGAAGAGCGGGTGTTCATCGGCATGTGCTCTGAAGGATCCAGTAATCAGTAAAACCTACGAATAACGGTATTTTGAGGTATAAAGGTCGAACCGTTTGTACCATTCTGGCTCTTGCCATTGCTTGCTGCAACGATAGGTTTCCGAAGAGGTTGGGGGATAAATGTCGAGGTGGGCACCGCCTTTGGCTTTGACATAGCTGGTGCACTTCGCATAGGTGAAGGTGATGAGACAGGTTGAGGGATGAACGATGGCATTGCACCACCACGTTTTGTAGGGGGGGTGACGTATGCACTGGGAGAAAAATCAAGAGAGTTAACAAAGCACCCGGATGTTGGCTTCGGTGGGGTTGACGCAGAAATTTTGGGAGAATGAATTGAACGCCTGAATGCCGTAGAACGTGGAATTGACGAAGGGGACGCAGCACGAGGCGATGTTGGACAGGGAATTGACGAGTGAGATGAAATCGTGATGGGCTGGGAAGGAGGCGGCGAAGGTAGACGTTCAGACGTCACGGAACGACCAAAATTGAAAGGAATGGCACCGAGATCCTCCTCATCCTCGTCTTCACCACAGAAATTCAGGACAGGAAGTACAGGAGGTTTGGAAGCCGGTTTGACGGGAGAGATTTGGAGCTGCTTAGGCTCTAGTTTTTCTTCAATCTCTTCAGGCGGGGTAAAAGTAATGCGGATCCCCCCGACTTCACCAAACATATCATCATCCCCTCCATCCGCACCAAGCTTGTTATCGTCTTCTTCTGCTTCGGCGACAGCTGAAAGCCGCTTTTCAGCGGTCTCAGCAGGTCCCTCGGCCACAACACCAACACCGCCTGGCAAAAAGAAAGGAGCATTGTCATCAGCCGATCCGTACGTGAAGCCGCTCGCAAAAATTCCCTTGCTCGTTTCATATGTCAAAACTGAAGGACTCGTAAGTGCCGGTCCATCGCTGTCTGCATCAAGCTCCTCCAGGCATCCAAAAAAGCGATCCACTGAATTGTCTTCCTTGTCTTGTGAACGACCTTGAACTACGGGACCTTTGGGGAATGTCCAGGTCTTTGACAAAGAAGCCCTGGATGCGTGAGTAGGACCAGCAGGTACGAAGACATTAGTGGATGCAAGTGGAGTGGGTTGAGAATTTGTCGGCGCGTTTCCCATCTGAAGCCGTGCGAGCGACCGAGGTTGATTGTCCTCTGATCCAAAAGACGATGAGGTGGGGAAATCAACGTCTGATTCCTCCTCATCCTCATAACCAGCAAGACCATTCTCCTCCTCCGAGTACTCATCTCCGTCAGCTTCTGATTCTTCTTCAACGGCTTTGAGCATGAACCCAAAGTTACGCTGATGGTCATCGAAAGAATCTCCTTCCACATCTGTTGCAGAACTCTCAGAATCCATGGAGGTAAACCCAAGACCTCGCATTCTCGGATGGGCGGCATCAAAATTCCTGGGTGTGGTGGGGGTAGCAAGGGGGTCAAAACGGTGGACTTGAAGCTGCTTTTTGAGAGTTTCCACCTCGGCTTCGAGATGTTTGACACGCTGCTTCGTTTCAGAGTTGGTCAAGTGCAACACCTTGTTTTCCTCTTGAAGTACCCTTTTGTCCTCCTCAAGACTCTTGAGTGCATCATCGACCGCTTCAAACCTCTTTACCAAAGAAGCCTTCTCAACTTCCAACAACCCTACTCGCGAACGCGCCACCCAGGCCTCTCGCCTCTCCGCATCAACTCGGTTCGTCATGATCCCAAGCTGTTTCTCGAGATCGCTGACCCTTGTCCTCCAGCCATCCACATCCTTCTTCAGCTCATCTCGCTCGGATTTCAAATCACGGACAAAACTGAACATCTCATCGCTGGCCCCGCCAGACATACTGCCTAAATCGCTCGAGGACGAGAAATTCGAAGACACGGAATTGGGCCTCGAACTTTCATTTATTGAGAACCCGCTCGACAATCTCCGTGTCGATAGAGCCCGCTCCAGATCGGTTATCCGCGCAAGAAGCGCATTATGCGATTTGAAGAGAAAATGCTGCTCACTCACGCTGAGAGGCTTCGCTTGCGCTGGGGGGTTCGGAAAAAACTCATCGTCTCCGCTACTGCTGCTCCTCACTGATTCGGCTACGGAATATCTCCGGCTGAAGGTAGGAGTCATCTCAGGAGTTGGAAGACCCGACATGTTGATAGCGACGCCATGGGAGGAGCGCTTATAGGAGATGCTGCTCCTTCGGGCGGGTTTCTTGTTGTCAACCTGCCCTGACATGGGTGAAGGGCTCTCACAATGATCCATTTTGAGATTGAGAATGGGCCGCCGCGACGAGGTACTTTGAGCTGGGGGAACAATCGTGGTAGCGGCGTCATTGTGCGGGGATGGACTCAAAGGAAGAGACCCTAGCCCCGTTGTAGGACTAGGGGTAGGCGATGGTGTTGGTAATCCCTGAACCGTCGTAATTAGATTGTCAGGTGTAAGTGACAGTGGGCGGAGGTTCAGAGTAGCGGGCCGCGGCCGCGACGGGATGGACTTGGTCACAGCAACGATAGGTGGAGGGTTGATGGGTGTTGTGGGCAGAGACATTTCGATGGAAGAAGTGGGAGAGGGGAACGAATGTTCAGGTCCACCTTGACTCTTCCCTTTCTCCTCCTCTTCCTCCTCCTCCTCTTCTTCTTCGATAAGGGTATGAAGCTGGTCCTTCGAAGAACCGGAGGCAGCGAGAAGTTTGAAAGAATCTCGTTTATTCCCTACCAACAAAGAGTTAAGCCCACTTCCGTAGCTTGAACTCGACCCCGCCGAATAGGACGGCTTCGTTTCTTAGGAATGACATCAAAGGGGGAATTGACAAAAATCAGAAACAAGTCGACGTACGAAAATCGAAGATGAGTCTCTCCATGTCGGAATTAGATAACTCGGGTATTTCAACTTTAGGACAAGGCGCATCTGGTTTACCCTCAAGGGCCCACAGAGCACGGCGACGAATGGAATCCTTCTCGCCAAGATTGACATTGTCGTCAGAGGGACAGTGCGGCAAATCGGGAATAGTGACACCCATCATCTCGGCTGATTCGTGGCGAGTAGACACGGAAGAGCGACGGCGATGATGAGAGTTTCGTTTTGAAGGAGGGACCGGGTTTGCTAGTTGCGTTGTACCTGCGAGGTTGGCGCTGGTGGCAGGAAAAGAAAAAGAAGGAAAGTCGTGAACGGTCATGGAGTTTGAAGAGGAAGAAAGGGATGAAGAAGAAATTGAAGAAATTGAGGCATTTCGTGAGTGTGAGCGTGCATGTGTGTGGGTACGTCCAGTAGGGGGGATTACAGATGGGAGGCCTTTGCCCAGTTTGAAAGCTTTCAGCTAGTGGGGAACAGAGTTAGATAAAGTATCGAAAAGTAATGAGAAACCCACCCTGTTCCTGGCGGCGATGTCGTCCCTTGCGTTGTTCACAGACGTCGATTGTTCCATGGTCAAAGAAGATTTTCCAAGGGAAGGTGGTTGATAAAGAGTGGGAGGAAAAAGAAAGGAAGTGCCGGCGGATGGGCGAGAGTTGGCTGTCGACGACGAGGACGACGACGAGGACAGGCAAGAGAGGGGGGTCAAGAACGGTAGCAACAGAGGGCAGCAAAGACCGACGAAGACAGAGAACGTCTGCGAGATTGAACCACCATCACGCAATTTTAAAACTCCGACCCGTACACGACCATGTCCATCATGACAACTTCAAAACTTGATCCTCAAACAATCCTCTTCTTTCTTTGCGATGTACAGACAAAATTCAGTAAGCACTTCAAAGTACTACTCTTATTCTACTCTTCATGTAAATAGGCTCCGCCATCCATGAATACGACCAGGTAGTCGCCACCTCCAACAAGATGATTAAGCTTGCAAAGGTACCCACCACGCCCAATTTACCTCACTATTTGACCAGGTCGCATAGCTCCTTGGTTGTGGTGTCGTCTGCACAACCCAGAACGCTAGAGGTATCATCGAGGTCACCTTGCCCCGCTATATCATCCTGACCTGGAAAAAGCACTTGGGCCCATAGACCCTGCCATAGATCTGCAGGCCTTGGGATCCCTGCTGCTCGGAAATTACGACAAGACCTTGTTTTCCATGCTTGTACCCGAGGTGCTAGCTGTCCTTGAGGCTCGACCTACTATAAACTCAATCGTTATCTTCGGCATTGAGGTCCGTCCCTTCAGAGTTCATGCAATATATCTATTTAACAATACCTCAGTCACACGTTTGCGTTCTTCAGACCGTCCTTTCTATCCTTTCTCTTCGCAACTACGCCGTTCACGTTGTCGCCGACGGTGTTTCCTCCTGTAACGCCTTCGAGATCCCCATTGCTTTGGATCGCATGCGACGCGAAGGTGCCATCATCACTACAAGCGAAACCGCTGCTTTCCAGTTGATGGGAGATGCAGGATCTCCGACGTTCAAAGCATTTAGCAGGCTCATCAAGGAGGAGAGAGAGAGGACAAAGATGGCAGGAGAGTTGCTATTACAAGGTAGACAGAAAGTCGCACAGAATTTGCTGGATGGTGACACTGGTAGGGGCGGCGTCCTTGGACTCAAAAGCGCAATGTAACCAAGTAAGAATTTTATCAACACACACCATTCGCCTGAATTGAGGAAATAGGGTTACAAAATTGCAACGTAGCTGACCGTTGCTCATCACTGAAGAGGTCTGGGTTCAAGCGACTGGTTGGCATGTGCCGGCAGATCCTTCCCTTCATAATGAGTTTGAGCAACTCGTGGGCTAGCATCATACCCGCCCGATACACGCCTATACTCTGGCGGAGCACCTTGGCCATGCGCAACATTTCTGCTGGGAGTTCCGTGCAGCTCGGCAAGCTTGCCTTCTCGGAGTTTCTAACATTACAGTAAGTACAGCGTCAACCCGCTTCACTGCGGAAGGAACGAACAGAATGTTCTTCATTGACTTTCATGGCATTTTCTACTCGAAGTTTCTTCTCATCGACACCTCGCTGCAACTTCTGATGTTGTTTGCGCTTCATCTACGGCGATAAAAAATAGGAGTAATATCGGTCGATTTCAAAGTTGCATACCTCTAGATCTGTTTCACCGCTGTGCGTCTTTGTAGCTGCGATATCATGGTCATGCGTAGCCTTGTGCAAGGCGTTGAGGGTGGATTGTTCGTACTTCTCGAGCTTGATGAGTTGTTGTTCGGCCTTGATCGCTGCTTTTTGAGCCTTCGCTTCAGCCTTTTCTGTCTGAGAAAGCTCTTTGATAGCCTGCTTGAGATTCTGGTCCTCGTTTTTAGCCTCTTTCATGATTCCTTTCTCAATTTTTTTAACAAGAGCTGGGGTTGTGGGGGCATTGGTGTTCATGATCTGAGACGATGTGTTACTTGTGACGTCAATACTCTTTCAGATCTAACTTGCTGGACCAGCAAAGGTCATCAACCACATAAACTGCCAGTGGCAGCTACGGACATTCGCAGCCATGACCTTTCGAACTGGCAGTCGTGACCTTTCTTGATCTAGATTTTCAACTAGATCTGCTTTTTTTTACTTCCGGGGTGGTAAATTTTCAAGCCGACCGGGAATGGTTCAGCCAGCAACCACCCTCAAAAATGGCCAAGTTTCCTTCTACTACATGCGGGGCCATGGCTATACCTTTGTCTTCATCTGCAACCTGGTAGAAGCTAGTAGATAACGACAAGTGATTGCTGGTCAATCATGACTGCACGCAGAATGCTTCCTGGGATTCTATCAGCTCCACAGCGGCGTGGTGACCACCTTTTGGCGGCTTCCGAAGAAGCGGGCGAGGATTCGATAGAATCCCATTTCCCGTCACCGCCTTACCGTTCAATTTCCCACTCTTCCGCGTCGCCTTCCTATCGTTCGGTACCAGTGGCCAGCTCTTCAAACCCCCATTTGGAATACTACCCACCGATTCCGTCTTACAGTCAGGACGAGTACAACGACCAATTAAATGTTATGCAAGAAAAGAGAGAAAAGCACGCTAGCTACTCAGAGGCCCCATCCATGGTAGACGTGACGCTCGAAGAGCATGATCCTAGGTCGAGGCCAGCCAAAGTTCAGTTTTCGGAGGAACTGAATAAGGTATCGCCTCCTTCATTCCAGCGCAAGGATTCCGACTTTGTCAGCTCGGCACCGTCGTCTATAGCTGGAACGGACGAAGAGGATTCAGAGGACTATGATTGGTCTGGTGAAGAAGATTTGGTGGATGAAGCGGCAAAATTCGGATCGCAGATTGGTGGAGGGGACAAGCAGAATAAGTGGGGTTTCAAAAGGTACAGTGTATCCCTCACCTCTCAAGCTTGACGCTCACAACGTTGCTAGGATGCTAGAATTCTTATTTTCATCCCTGATCGGTTCAACTTTCCTGGCCGGACTGCTAGTCACGCCTGCTCTTTTCGTCCATTTCTACTGGTACAAACCCCACCCTACTGAGCATCGTCGCTACGTCAACCAAAACGTACAAGCGTGGTTGGTCTGGGCCGCATCTAATCTCGTCATCTCCTGGTATCTTGCGATGATTGTCGACATTATCCCTATCATTGTGCGCTACTTCATATCTGCTACCTGGGGCCATGTATCGGAAGCTGTGAAAACCAAGATAGAACTCTACGACTCCGTGAAAGATACCTTCAAACCTGCATTGTATGCCTCGAGTACATACGCTAGCTGGGTGATAATATTCGGCAATATATACAAACTATATGATGCGAGCAACGCATCGCAGAGCCGTGCTTCATATACCCAGCGAGTCTGTAGTCCTTCCTCTTTTGAACTTGTCTGCCACTGACGCCCCCCTTTCGCAGCTGTCCGAGGCTGTCGAATTCTTCTTCTTTTTCGTCATTGTGCGGTGCGTGCAAAGGATGCTCTCTCACTTTATAGGTACTCTTCCGCTCTATGAGTCCAATCAACATTTACTCACATTTTCTCTGTAAAGCTTTTTCTTTTCATCGCACTGCCTACAAAGAACGGATCGAAGGTGTACAGGAAGCACTTGCAGTTATCGAGAAACTTCGGGATTTTCGACCCAAATTGCGTGCTCCCCGCATGAAATCAAGAGGACGGAGTAATCTCTTTTCAGGGTTCAGCCCAGGTACTCTTTTACAGGAGGAAGATCCAGACTCTTCAAGCGGTGCGCTGTATACAGCCTCACCACTTGTATCACGCTCCAATACTTGGTACGAAGACGAAAGCAATGATGGTGACATCGAAGAAAAGGCTATTCCAAGTAGGCAACGCGTGAAGGTGACAGATTCTTTCTCTTGGCTTGGAGAGGACAAGAACTTGAGACTGTTGAGACGAGCGGAGGACGGGAACATGTCATACCCTGAATCTAGTGGACGAAGAAATGCGGATGGCTACAGCAAGCGGGAAAACGCAGCTAATGAGATGGAAATGGTACCTCCCTCCCTTCCGCCTTCACGACCAACGACACCGACTTTTAACCCCAACCCCCATCGATACCCTCCCAGTGTAAAAAATTCCCGGTCAAGCTTTGACGCCTCTGTGGAGCTGGACACAACCCTTGTAAATGCAGCCAAAGTACTAAAAAACGCCGTTTTACATGACGCGCGGAATATTAGGGGTAAAGACGACGATCTGGGGGGATTGTCGTGGAATGTAAATTCTGCATATGAAGCTAAAGTAAGCCAGGAAGATTCCTGAATTTTGTCATTCTATTAATTCCTCTGGCAGCACCTTGCGCGGTCTATTTACACGCGGTTGAAAGATCGACACAGGACGTACCTCATCGCGGCTGACTTTTATCAAGCATTCCCAGACCACGCATCAGCGGAAGCTGCCTTTCGCGTCTTTGATAAGGACAGTCATGGGGACATTTCTCGGGCAGAACTAAAAACTGCCGTATTAAAAGTCTATAAAGAGCGTCGGTTCCTATCCCGCTCCATGCGCGATGTTGGAGAGGCACTGAAGACCCTAGATCGCATGTTGATGTTCCTTGCAGCTGTGATTTTGGTATTCATCGGTTTGAGCGTCTTTGGAGTGCAAATCGGAAGTTCGCTTACCAGTCTATATTCGCTTCTTATTGCGGCTAGCTTTATATTCAAGAACACAGCGAGTTCTATGTTCGATGCCGTTATGTTCTGCTTCGTCACACAGTGAGTCCTTCTCTCCTTGGTCCTGAAACCACTCATCAAAGCTGGTACAGTCCGTACGACACAGGCGATCGATGTTTTGTGGACAGTGCGTACACACCTCGACATTGAGGATGGACACTGAAAGTGGTTCTTGCAGACGAAAACCTAGTTGTCAAAAAAGTCGGGCTCTTTGCTGTACGGATTTCAGAATGCCGTTTTTTTTCTGCAATGTTGATATGACCACAGACCGTTTTCGCTCGTTCCGACGGCACGCAAACCTATTATTTCAACAGTCAACTGTTCACAAAGTTCATGTGAGCCCCCTTTTGCTCACAGGAGCGTTCAGATCCTAATTATTTCACAGCACGAATGTCCGGCGGAGTGGTGTAAGTTAAGACGTCCATTAATTGGTTTGACAAAATTCACCTCGCTAGCCAGAAAACATTCGAGAATCTCACTATGCAGGTGGCGTGGCGCACCCCTCTTCAAAAGCTTGACGCCTTGGAAAAGTCGCTCAATACTTGGTTATCGACTGAAGAGAACCGATGGTTTGAACCAAGCACGAGCATAACCCTGCAGAACATCTCCTATCAAAAATATCTAGAAATCACCATCGGCATCGGTCATAATGGGTCAGGAACCACCTCTCTCGAAGAACGATTTGTGAGATTGACAGTATGCTCCAGTAATTGGCAAGATTGGGGCCTTCGAAATTCCCGCAAAACGGCCTTCCATGCTGCTGTCCACTACTATTGTCGTCAACTTGACATCGTTGGATGTGAAGCGCCGATGCCCATTGTCTACGCAGATCCAGTGACAGGGAGATACACGCCTCATCACACCGCTGGATTTGAAGTCGATGATGATCCCCGAACACCCACGCTCGATACATCCCCCAGTCCTGGCGGTCAAGAGGAAGCAGAAGATGGCGAACTTAAGGCTAAGGATGTGAAGTCACTGCTTGGTTTTGTGCCGCCGAGTTCACTCACTTTGCACCGCGCCACACGTGTCAGGAAAAGTAAAAGTAGAAAAGAAAATGTGGGGGCAACGAATGGTTGACCGAACGATTTGATAGTTGCGTTTCCTAAACATGCATTACAGACGTATAGTCAGTTGAATCATATTTCACCGGTCTATTGTCACTTCTTCGGACACCCTCGATGAATTCCAGTACAAAGAGTGACCCCGAGCTCCTTGATAAAGCCATAAGCAACATTTTTGAAATCTATTCCTCACTATCATTTACACCGCCGCACTCGCAATACACTGTCCTTGCGTCGTTCTTTCTATTGCATAGTCAAACCCATAGAGTCAAGGTACTCAGTGTCGCGACTGGTACCAAATGCCTTCCGGCAAACAAGCTCTCCGACAGGGGAGAGATCGTTCACGACAGCCATGCTGAAGTTCTAGCGCGTCGCAGTGCTCTGCGTTGGTTTTTCGACGAAATTGCTCGCTGCTGCGTGGATCCTTTATCGCACTCAGAGTGGATTCTCCAGAATGCAGACGGCAGATTTGCTCTGCGCGACGATGTCCGCCTCAACCTCTACGTCTCAACCCTTCCCTGTAAGTCGCTGCCCTCTCCCATTGTCAACCAGCGTTAATTTGCGTTTACGTAGGCGGCGATTCCTCGACGCGATTTTTGGCGTCCATTCAAGACGGGGAGATGGCAGCTCTCAAAGACTCTATGAACTCACTAGAGTTGAGTGGTTCCGCGACTGCTCGGGGAAGAGACGGCTATGGTCGACTAGGCGTGTTGCGCACAAAACCTGGTCGGGCCGACTCGCCTCCAACGCTCTGCATGTCGTGCAGTGACAAAATTGCAATGTGGAACGTTTTGGGTATACAGGGTGCGTTGGGCTCTCGTTTTCTGCAGCCATTGCATCTCTCCGCCATCGTCGTTGGCGAGGTACCTTGCGATATGCAGGAAACAGTGAGGGAGGACTGCCACCGCGCATTTATTGGGCGGCTGGGTAACATTCAAGGTGAATTCTTTTCTCTTGCGTCCTCAGGCTCAAAAGTTTCCTCAACTTCCCTATCTTGTGAACAGATCTTCCACAGGGTTACAGCCTTCAAATGATTGAAACTTACTTCACCGACCGCGTCTTCGTTCATTCTCGGACAGCACTTGGTCCAGGATCAAAGGGATCTTGCAATGAATGTTCGTGTGTTTACCGCTTCGTCCACAAAACCATTCACGAACTTCATCATCACAGCGATATGGTGGATACCCGATTCTCAGTCATCGTTTGAGGCCTTGATCAACGGCCTTAAACGAGGCGTTTCTCCAAAACATCGATATCGAGAAAAGTCAAGGTCTGTGTTATGAGGACCGTCCCCTCCAAAGGTTTCTCAAGTCCGTCGTTAGATCTATGGTCTCTCGCATAGCAATGCTTCAGTTTTACAACCAGCTACTTGCCCACCTGGCTTTGCCGCTGAATGAGTAAGTCCAAGACCATTCCATGACTTGTAATATTCTTTCGAGCTTTTTTCTGTTAGCGAGGGCACCATGTATTCGTCTATAAAAGACGAATCCAAGGCTTATCAAACTGTGAAAAGGACGCTTTTAGGGGAAAGTGGACCTTTTTCCGGATGGGTGAGAAGCGGAAATCATTGGAAGAACTTTAATTTACGGGGAGAAAGCCAGTCTCTGGGCTTGGATGTCACTTCAACAACAAATTCAGCACAGATACCAACATCTATAGTAACATAAAATCATTACAAATTCATTATAATCCACGGTCGGCGTCAAGGAACTCGAGAAAGAAGTCAATAAAAACGACATATTAAACGTAAAGATGTATGCGGCTGGTCGTACAAGGTCGTCAATAATATAATCAGTTGCTAATAGCATGCAGTCAAGAATCTTTCTTAAAATCCAGATTCAGAGTAGGGTCTAAACTTGTAGGGCTGTCTTCTGAGATGTCGCTCGCAGGGCCAGGTTGCTTTGATGCAGAAACCATGGCAGTGAGATCTGTTTCGCTTGGTCCGCTACAAATTGTAGTGGGAGTCGACGAGCCCGAGGATCGCGCGGTGCTCTCCGCGAGTTCCCTCCGCAAAGCCTCCAATTCACGTTCAAACCTTGAGGATTTGCTAAGAACGAGTTGCTTGCCAGTCAAAAGAGATACTCACTTTCGCCCAAAGACTTCGATGTAAAACCCTCCGCCGTTCCATACACTGACTGCGAAGATGAAAATTAGGAATGCGGCACTCCAAAAAGAGCTTCGGTAGAAAACAAAGATTGCGGGCAGTTCTGTGAGTATGGCGTATACTGAAGGGAAAAGTCAGTTGGGTGTTTCAACATGCGAAATATAAGCACGGACTCAATTGTCCTCCCATGAATGTCAATTCGCGGTACGCCGGAGGTATTGATGCTAGCGATCGACCAATCATTCCCTGCTTGTCGTTGAGTAGCCAAGAAAAAGATGTTGTGCGTTGCCCTGACTGAATCTTTGCGCGTCGATCCACTAGGACGAACTAGAGCATGATCTCTCAGCTAATATGCAAAAGGAAAATGAAATATTGATATGCACCTTCCAATACAGGAACTGCCAGACGACATCTAATTGGGGAATAAGAACTGAAGTTTTGCTATCAAAGCCAAGACTCACAAATACCAGCACTGAGAAGCAGGGCTCTGAGGGGGTGCAAATATTCGAGTTCACGCAAAGCTGGGAACCTCGCCTCAGCATTGGGATAGAAGTGTCTGGGATAGTGAGTGGTCAGATGTGAGGATTCAAGCAAACAAATGTTCGAAACGAACCTTATAACGGTGAAGGTGAACGGTGGATAGATGTGGATGAACAAGGATGTGACTTTGTCTTGGTCGTGGAAAACGAGACTATTTCGCCATGTTATTACGGCACTAGCAAGAGCTCCGTGGGAAAGGCAATAACAGGCGACGAAGAGAGCGGGGCTTGAGGGGAAAAGCCAGATATAGACAAAGTTGAGGATGGTCACGTAGTAGCATAGATCGAATAGGAAGTAGTGCCAGGCGCGTTTCTTGTACCGATAAGCGCGCAGGGGAAGAAGATAGAGGCCTTGGACAGAGTAAGCGACGTGAACCCAACTGACATGAAGAATATTGAGATGAGATAAAGGCAAAAATGCGAGTGGCACGTACTGCGGAGCAATCCCAAACAGAAGGGCAGAGAGGAGTAAGCTCATCACGCCGAAGAAAAAGGACACTTTCTCGCGTGTCCTTACCACCTTTGCAGACTGCCATGAAGCTGATAATGTGGCCATACGCGTCGAGACCTATGCCAGACGCGATGCATCAGAACGGGTCAAATTAGAAGCAACACGAAAGGAACCTTGAGCTTGAGATTCTTGATTTCGCGCTCGAGATTCTCTGCCAGCGCGTCACCGGAAAGCTCCTTGATTTTGAAGGTCTCCTCTGCCTTCATCTTGAGACGATCACTGTGCTTCTGTAGCTTGCGCTGTAACAGATCAACACGAGAGTCAAAGTAGGTTTCAAAGGTGTCTGCGAAGACGAGAGTTGAATGCCACATTATTGGGGGCAAAGGTGGAGGGAATAGTACCGAGCAAAGTAAAGGCGCTTGGTCTCTGATCTATAGCGTCGTCGCGAAGAAAGCGTTCAAAGGGGGCGGAGAAATAACCCTTGGGGCCGAGAGGTGGCGACGGTGGCCTTGAACCCATTGTTGTTGAGAGAAGATTGCAACAGGTGGCCAAGCGGTGGCCAGAAACTCTGAGAGAGTCACAGCAGAGTCACACACGTGTAACTAATAATAGCTATTGATATCACATTGACATCACCACTCAACTACTCTCATGCTCGGTAAACTTGGTGAGTCGTCTTTACCAGGTATTCAACGCAATCTCAACTTTCTATCCATACAGTACACCTTGGTTTCGATGCTATTCTTATCAGCGCTTTTCTCGCCGGCGTAAAGCGAACAACTGGTCTCGCGTATGTCCCTCGGCAGCTGTGCTGACCCCTTCTCATTCTTAACCTAGTCCCGCCCTATCGCAAGTACCCAACAAAGACGTTCGCCGTGCGTGACTATCCCTCATCTCTCTTACAGTTCTTAACATTTACTGCAGAGCTTTTGCGCTCATATCTGGAGTTTGGTTAGTCCACTGCCTGCCGCTATTCATCTCCATGTTTAGGCTGTTCTAGGTGAATATGTATTCGACTTTGCCGTTGTGATATTCGGTGTGAGTGTTGACATCCTATTGTCTTACACCCCACGTCATCCAAACTCTGCAGCGCTCGTCTTCTTTCGAGAGAAAGCGTTAACATATACGCAACGGTTTTTTATTTTCATTATCCGAGGAAGTTGTACACAAAGAAATGCAAGACGATGGAACCTATTGCAAAGTCCGCAAACGCACTGCGTAGATACTCGTCACATTGGCGCGCATACACATAACCATAATACACATACCGTTCTGGTGATACTTCTTTGAACTCGTCCTTGTTTTCTGGGTTGACTTGTGACCGTAATGAGGCCACCAATACGAATTGACCGACGGTACTTGAGAAACTGAAGACGTGTGTGAGGAAAGTGTGGAGGACAGGCTGCGTGCAATAACATACCCTGATAGAAAGGCATTGTATGGGTAATTGGATACCAGAATACAGTAGGCGAATTGGATAATTCCAGAGAGCATCAAGAAGAACAAGAAGGAATCGATGAACTTGAGTCTGTTTGCAGTGTTATCATTGTACGCCTTCCAAAGGGTCTGAAGAGGGTTTGTCGCCGTCGCTGGCGGCGTAGATGTTGGTTTTGGAGCCATGTATTTTCAGGTTGCGCGACGTGGCTGTCGTTCAATTGACCAAAGCTGAAAGCCTTTGCCACACAATGCCAAATTCAGCTACAGATGCCGAAAAAAAAATTGTGTAAATCGGTGACCAGCTGTTGGACTGCCTGTTATAATGTCCAACCTCAGCCTGCGCTTAATTCCCTCAAACCTCAGACGCTCTTGTTTTGTTCTAGACGGCATAAAGTCACGAACACGAAATGTCCATAAGGTTCCGCCTCTGCAGTACTCAATCGAGAAGGGTCTTGGGAAATTCCTTCCACCACTAGCGTTGAAAACGGTTGTCGAGTACCAACAAGGTCTTTTGGACCGTTTAAATGAAGAGGTTAAAGGTCCGTGGCTGCTATTACCACCAGTTCCAACCTCTCATTGGCCCAATAGACACGGCGGAAGAGAACATGTCCGTCGCACAGACCGTGATAAACACGTCTACGCTTCGAGAAAGAACGTTGGCATTCAACTACGCAAGTCTTGCTCTCAACAATAGCTTCTTCCTTGACCATCTCGTATGCTTTCCAGCTCATTCAGTTAAAATTAACGCCAACTTTTACCGTAGAAACCACCCCCATCACCAGACTCCGACCATGAAGACAAAATTTCAATCGAACTCCTCAACCATATCAGAAGGTCTCATGGAGACCTCAAACAACTAAAGTCCACATTCTCCAGTGCAGCTCTTTCGCTCTTCACGAACGGTTTCGTCTGGTTCGTATGCGACAGCAATGGCGCCACGGGAGTACTTCCAACTCTTGGGCCAGGTACTCTGCTCGTCAGGTCACGAACCTATATGGGTAAGGACGGCCTCGTCCTTGGACAGAAATATTCGGATCCAGTCGTATCTCCACCCAACGCGCCAAAACCCCAAAACCCTGCTTGGTCGCGGGCACAATCCCCAACACCGCATCCCTCACCCCCCGGAGTTTCCCCTTCGTCGCCCACGTCGGGCATCTCTGGCACAAACACCCCTTCCAACCCGGACCCCCTCCGCCCTCGCTTTTTACATACAAGCGCTTCTAGGTCAGGGCTGAACACGACACCGGCGTCACTTTATAGCAGTTTGAAGCCAACAAGCACGGCATCTATGTTGAACGTAGGACAAGTCCTCTATCCGCTTTTCTGTGTCTCTGTCCATGAACATGCATGGTTAAGCGCTGGTTACGGAGTCTGGGGCAGGGAGGAATGGTTGAGGCAGTTCTGGAAGGTGCTTGACTGGCAGAAAGTAAGCATGTCGTTCCAAGCTGTCTGCGGAAATCACACCGCGTCTACTATATAATACCATTTTGGAGAGAGAGAGGAATCAGCCTCGGTGTCTGTAGGTGAATCATCCAGAAAATATCGGCTGGATGATATAAAATCAGTACAGGCATCGATACATTGCTCCTGTACACTTCTATAATTACTTCACTTTTCCAAAACTTAAAACCCGGCCTGCTAATGGATTTGCTTCAAGGCTTGGAGGGCGCAGAGAGCAGCTGCGTAGATAATGATCAGATCACTGCCAGTCGTATAGTTAATTCGTAGAGTCTTACCACCCACTCCACTCCCATCCTTTGCCAGTCCAATGTCGACCCTCTTCTCGACATCTTCCCCGACAACCACTCGCAGTGACTCTCGAAGATCCTTTTCAAACTCGGGGTACTTTTCAATCAAGCTGGTGGAGAACGAGCTCAGATATTGTTGAAAGAGCTAGGGGCATCATGCTTACCTCCCGTCCACACCGACATTGATCGTCTCTTTCTCATTCTTGAGAGATTTAGCCTGGCCGGGAAGACTGGCGTAATCCGTCTGTACCAGAACAGTGGCAAGTGCCACTCCGCTGAGTGTTGCGGCGCGTCGAGCCACGATATAGCAGATCGTACGGACAATCTACATAGCCCCATCGAGACGAAGACGCCAACGATAAAGGCAGCACTTACTGCGGCGTCTTTCAGCGTCACTTTCTCGCTCTGAAAGGCCAGATCTTCGACAATCACCTGTCGGATACGGTCTAGCTTGGCCCTAACATGGGGGTGCAGTTGTTCTTGGTCAAAGGCATCTAAAGAAGGAATTGTGTGGTGGTCGTTGTCGTCCCACGCCGTCTCAATGTTACTCATAAAGCTAGTATCAAGGCCGTAATGTGCGTTAAGAACAGGTGTTCCTTTTCCGCCAAAGAGAATTGGTGGCACAGCGTCGACCAAGGATCCAAGGACTTGCCGCGCGATCTCACCAAGATACATTCCGGAGATGAACTTCTCGAATGCTTGGAAGCCGGGATTGATGCTGAGTCTATCCACAGCATTATCGAAAGATGTAAAAGGAAGATGAGAGCGCTGAAGAGACGGTAATTTTGCTGAGATCAAAACAAGAAGTGTTTTTGGAAACTTGCCGAATTGTTAAACGCGCCCCATTCGGTGTTCACGACCATATATCCACCCTTCTCAGCAATAGGCGTGTTGGCCAATTTTCGTATTTTTGCTGCGAAGCTATGAGTTAAAATCATCTCGGCGTAGCGCGTAAGTACTTGCCAACTTCTTCGATGTATGCACCGTTTGTACCGGTGCCAAAAATAGCACCAACGATAGAGCCACCTGCAATGTACGAACGAGACAGGAGAGTTCCTACAGTCTTCAAAATACATGTCAATGGCATCCTCCCAAACGTCACCGATGGCTTACGTCGTTCACAAGGGCGACGCATTTAACGTGCATACTCTTTCTGTCAAAGGCGTCTTGCAAAAGCTTGACGACGTCGTTTCCAATAGCGCCAGTCGCAGAGAATCCCTTGGTCCACGTGAGGATCTTGCCAGCACCGAGGGCGGTCTGCTCAACAGGGAATGAAAAAGTCAACCCTAGATGGACGATGTCGCCGGTAGGGGCTGCGCCAGCATCGACACTGTGAGGGGACGCGTACTTGGTAGTCGCGTGAGTGATCAAAAACGTATGTACGGAATCAGCAAGATAATCTACAGCAAGGTTAGTGTTTGGAAACTGTTCATGAGATAATTAGCATTCCCACCGAACAAGGCTGTTGCTTCCCCAGACTTGAGTGCTTCGCTAACTTTGAATTTTTGTTGGATCAGGTTGAAAGTCTTGTCGCCGTTTAGAACGACTTCGCAGACGCGCCTGACACGACGACATCCAGCCGTTCGTCATCGAACACTCGATACATATTCTACAGCCAACGCACATGTTGGTACCTCCAAGGTCAAGTGCCAGGAAAGTGCTAGAAAAATGGGATTAATTATTATGAGGATGATAACGGGATCGGCGCACTTACCCGGTTTCTGTGCCATCGGGAACGCCAGTGACGAATGTGGGACTAATGCGCGATCAGCGATCGCGAAAGAAGGGAGAGGAGGGGCATACATCATTGCCATCGGATGACCATAGCTGCCTAGTCCGAGTTCGAACTCATTGAGGAAGGCCTTGGTAAGGTCAATGAGCGTTTCGGGAGACAGAGTGAACTGGCGTTCAATCTGGTCAACAACGCCCTGAGCGTTAGAATCTTGGGGAATAGATATGGGGGCCATGGGGAGGGATTGTTGAGGTAGAGTTCAGGTAATCCTTATATCATGTACCCAGGTGAGAGAACACTGCTCTTTGTTACTCGTGACTCTTGGCAATCGCTCACAATCATAGCGTCCCTCGGCGTTCCATTTCCATTCCTGGCACATACCCATATTATATCTGTCATCTGAGGTTGTTCGATAGGTGAACGAGACAGGAATATCGTATGGACTGATTACCACGTTCACGACGACGCGGGCAATAACGAGACCAGCCAGCACTAGGACGCTGCATTCTTACTCCAGTGTGCAATTTATTTGGGTCAGGCCGTGGAGACCATGACATGTCGTTTGGCACTTACGAGGCAAGCTTCGGGTCAGTGAAGCTCATTATCGAGGATCAATCAAGTTCCTTCAGGGCTCAATGTCATGGATACATACACCCGGATATTATCCGTTCCCGAGCCATGGATTTTCCTACTCGCGGATTGTAAATTTAGCTCACCTTGACATCGATTTGAGTGGTACTGCATTTAACGTGGCGATGGCATGAATGGCTTCTTGATTGAGGCAATACAGCCGTTTTCAAGTCTTCTATTCCATTTAGAGCCTCCCTGAAGGGTTTTCAACCTTTGCTCGATGAGCTTTGTGTGTTTTTGGTGCGTTTCAGGGAGATTTTGGGCTCTGGAGGTGCATGATTCGAGGGCATACCAGATGCCAACTGAAAGATTAGCAACCGAACTTATGGCAAAAACTGGCGCATATGGTCGGAGTACCATAAAGGAAGGGTTGCAGGACAAGCATGCTATCCAAATGCCATGTATATGTAAAGCGAAATTTCTATGGGTTTGTAACAAGATTACATGACGTTCAGGTCGCCAAACTTCTCCTTGTACCCTAGGCAAATATGAGCCATGGAAGTATGACAAACCGCGGCGCGACATACCTGGCACTGTCCATTTACCCTTCTTGAGCATCGTCTCTACGACTTCAACGATACGTGGGTGGGCCTTGGCAACATCCTCAGTCTAACAAATAACAAATGGTCAGGATGTGGGGAAAGAAAAATAATCCACGACTAACCGTGAGCTGCTCAAACGGACGCGCGTTCTCGATATTGGCAAGAGTTTCATGAAGCTGCTTGAGCTCAATATCAATTTTCTCCTCCGTCTCCTGTGCCTTGGCGATCTAAAAAACCAACAACCACGCATTCAACAAACCACAAGTGGACGGAGAAAAGGGGAACAACTAACAGCCTTGACCTCAAACGTCTCAATGGCCTTGATGTGCGCGCTCACATCATACGTGGTAGGCTTGAAATCGTTCAACAGCTTTTCCGCCTCATCCACAATGGCTTTATTCTTCAACACGGAACGGTAGTGCGCAAAGTCGACGGTGGTGGGCTGGGTAGAAACGGCGTTGGAAATTCGCTGCGCCTCGAGGTGGCGTTTACGGAATGCTTGTAATGAAGCAATGGTTTCTACAACGAAATGAAAAAAAGTCGCCAGATGGAAGGAAGAGAGTAAACGCACCCTTTCCGAGTCCAAGGGAGGTGTAAATACGAGAGAAATCCTTTAAAAGAGGAATCAGACGACATGAAGATTACTTTATACATAGATGACTTGCGACCGCGACGGCTGCTGCTTTTTGAGCCATGGCCTTGTAGAGTGTTGAGATTAGTGAACGAGAGGTCAAGGATGAGTGTGAGGTGGAAGTCACCCGGCAAACTCCGTTGTGCTTTTCCTACAAGCGCCGAGTGCTTCAAAATTGTTTCTTTACTGACATTGAATCCTTGATTAGGTTACACAAAGCTTCGCTAGACGTAATGTACAGAATGGCTTGCTTTTATACATATTTCAACTAGAGATAAACAAGAAAGCACTATACTGTTCTGTGTGCTAAGAGAGTGTTAGTAAAAGTCATCGCCGCGTTGACCAAGCTCAGCCTGGACGTCAAGCGACGGGCGATCGTATATAGCTCGCAGCATGGTGGGGTGAACGGTATTTTGTGGTCGTTCCGGTAGATTTTAAATAGAAACCATCAGCGTCCCAGGAATCCCGTAAGACAGACGGTGCTCGCAACGGTTAATATCCGTATCCAGCCCGCCCACTCCCACCAGACGCAGCGGCAGCTGAACTGGCCGTCTTGCCAATGCTTACATTCATGCTGACAGGCTGTATGCCTGGACCAACAGCGCTGGGTAAAGGAACCGATCCCACCACACCAGCGCCACCCACCAAGGCAGAGAGGCGGGAGATTTCGTCCCTCGACGAGACGAGTGCATTCTTGAGCTGCTCGTTTTCGTTTGACAAGAATTCAACTTTTGCTTGTAATTGCTGAAGCCATGCTTTCTTGCGCTGTCGACATTTCAAGGCAGCTATTCCGACAATGGATGAGACGCATTGTAGCAGAAAATGACGTGAACCAGTATACCTTGTCGGTTTCGTTCCAAAAAGTTTCTCCGCTTTTCTTCCTCTGTTTCCGGTTTTTTATTTGATCGCCTTCCACCAGCAATATTACCACCGTCAAGATCATCAGGATCCCCACCATCATCGTCTTCAGGATCGTCATCGTCGTCGTTATCCATATCTGGCGACATTGGGCTAGCCTTTCTCCCCCGTCCGGTAGGACGCGTGCGTTTACCCCCTCTAGCGGCTGAGCTGGGTGGGGGTGAAATAGGGTCGTATGATTTGCGTTTCGTTCCCCTCTTGCCATTTGAATGATTGGCAGAGCCATTGACACCATTGGTGGAAGCAGTGTTGCCTGCGCGAGCCTGGGCTTCTTCTCGTTTTGTGAGCTCTTGGTGAGCCTGAGAAAGAAGGAAAAGACCATTTGCAGCGGTATTAGCTGCGTTGGAAGCAGATGCAAGATAAGCGGGATTGGCGTTCTCCTGAGAGGATGACTGATGGTGATGAAGAGCGGAAGAGGTGTAAGAAGTAGATGCGGAGGAGTTGAGGACGATGGCGTTGAGTGTATTTGGAGTGATGGTTGATTGTGGGTTTGCGGTTGAACCGTTGTTCATTATAGCAAGAAAAGCGGCTGTGCCTGGAGAGGAGGGGAAAGGACCGCCCACGAGAGGGGTGAGACTAGGGGTAAGACCAGTACGAGGAGTGAGTCCTGTTCTCGGAGTCAAACCTGTACGAAATGCATTGGGATCAAAGGCCATGTGCGATTGATCACTTCCTGGCTGAGGACCAGGAAGCATGGCAGGAGATAGAGGACCTGATCTGAGAGAATTGACAGGGTTGGAAGGATAAGCCCATGATGGATAAGTTGTGTCTGCAGGTGAAGCTAGAGAAGCTAATGGAGGAAGTACAGGACGAGAGGATGGAGAAGAACTCCGTTGCCGAGATTTATCATCTTGTCTTGGCTCTTCATTATCAGAAGGAGTTGGTGAAGAGTTGCGTACATTTGAAGAAGTCGGTGTAGCTGAAAAAGATTGTTCAAATGGATTTAATTCGAGGTCAAAATTTGACCGTGTCTGGCGAGTGTGTGGTGCCGGAGATCGAGACTGGCTTTTGGGCGACATGAGAGATGTGACGAAAATGACGAATGCTGACGTAGCCAAGTTATAATACATATCTATTTGGCACTATTTAGGCTCTTGTTTCCTCTTGCGTCATTTCTCTTGGCAGTCATCTGATTGATCATCTTCCACAGGGGGCCAAAACTCTTCTTCATCATTAGACGTTCCGAGTACTTTCAATGCCTCTCGAAAAGTTGCTTCTGCATGAACTGTTGCCGTGTCAGACAGTTCAGCAATGCTAACGTAATTTAGACACGGAGGAACAAGATATGATGCCTCAGTCCTTCTTGCACCTCTTTCTGATCGAGTACCGGAGGAGGTCTCAAGGTAGAACATGGTAAACAATGGTTGTGCTGGCACATCGACAGGCTCAGTAGTAAGCGCAAGGATGGCGTGTAGATATGGCTTCAGGATAGAATCGGGAGACACCGACGACGACGGTACGGGCAGGGCAATGTATAAAATCCCTTGTAAGAGTCAGCCTAGACAGTGCGAGAATGAGAGAGCGTACATTTCCCACTGGGTGCCGACATGCTGCCTTCACCTGTAATAAAGACTATCGCAGAACTTGTACTTGATCCTCCAGCAACAGATGACGGTGGTACTACCAAAACGCCAGTATCGACACCCGTCCTAGCTGCGACCTCGTCAGATATAGAGGCGTTGTCCTTTGACCTTGATCCAAAGGAGATGGACTTGTTAATAATGACTGTACAGCGGGCAATGACATCCACGAAAAAAGAATTTTGATCGGAGACCAAAGGTGGAAGGCGAAAAGTGTCGTTCGCCAACTCAGGTGGCACGTATGAGGGCGAGGAAATGAGAAGATTACATTGGAGAGGTTCAGGAAAGTCAACCAAGCGGACCGTATAGCGGGTGTTGGGTGTATCTCCGGGTTCAGAATGGGTGATCGACTCTATTCTTCGGCCAAGGATATAAGTTGCTCCGTGGACTGCAGCAGCGCGACAAAATCCTTGGGCAATGTCTCCAATGCCACCATAGTGCCCAACAAGAAATGCGGATGGACCGTACCGCCCTATAGAGTGCAGGTACTTGTGTAGCCTTCGCAGTGCAGGGAGTGTTGGGTCTAGTCGCAGCGGTTGATTCAAATGTGCGTGAGCAGGAATAACGACACTTACCTGCCTCGGAAACGCAAAAAGCAAGCGCATATGCAATGACACCAGCTATGTCATCGCTCAAGGAGAAGGCTGTCTTCAGGAACTCAAGAAATGGCTTATCATGTTGCCCTTGGATCTCTTTCTGGGACTCAAAATCCCCAGCAGCAAATGTCAGAAACCGCATCAGGCGACGTTTTCCAATCAAGGTTATCTCGTTATTCTTGAACACGTCCTCTTTGCTTGCAGGGACATTCTTGACAATGCCTGAAGGATGATAAACACTGACACAATCCAGAAGGCGGAAGCCGCTGTACTTGGATACACCCGATGATATCAAGGATGATATAAGAGGACCCATGGATGGTATTATGGATGGGCGTAGACAGATCGAATATTGACGAGATTGGGGGAGAACCTTGGTGGAGTAAGTAATGGAGCTAAACGGGGAATCTAAGGAGGAGGAGTTTGCATCTGCCCATTGTATGAGTTCATCAAAAGATAGACTGGCTTCGTTGCCGCCATAGAATGAATTAGTATCGAGTTGGGCAACTTTGTAACCTGCTTTGGACAACGCACTCGAGACGCCAGGATCAGCCTCTGCGCATAAAAAATATTTCAAAACTCACGCAGCCACGATAGATTCAGTAAGCCCAGTCCCGAGAATAATCGTGTCAAACGAGCTCTCTTCCATTGAGCCCGTTCCAAAGGTAGGGGTCCCGGTGGGGTTGGCAAAGTCACACGCATGTGATCCCATCCGGCCTCCCCTAAACCATTTAGTGCCAAAGAAAAATTGATATCTTTTTCAAAAACCATAATCTTCATCCTCACTCCCATGGCTAAATCAGACAAAAAAGAGAAGAAGGCTTCCACCAAGGTGAAGGAGGGAAAGAAAGCTGTCGCCCCCGCAAAACCTGCCGTCGTGTCGTCGAAAGAGATCTTGGAAAAGGCACATGTACGTCGTTATTCCTTTTTTTTAGACTTTTACTAAATGCCAACGTCGACTTAGAAAAAATCAAAAAAGGCTCCTGCGAAGCCCGTGAAGAAGGCTGAGAGCGATTCGTCGGACTCTGATAGCGACGACGAAAAGCCTGCTCCCAAAATCGTAGCTGTACGTCGTTTACCAAAAAATTATTTTTTATAAGCTGACATGTTTCAACAGGCAAAAGACGCCTCCTCCGAAGAGAGCAGTGAAAGCTCTTCAGAAGATGAAAAGCCCAAGTCCGCCCAGGTGAAGGCTGCCGCCCCTTCCCCTGCCAAAAAAACCCCAGCCAAGAAGGCATCTTCCTCTGAAGAGTCTTCAGAGTCTTCTGACGAAGAAGTTGCTGCCAAGCCCGTGAAACCCACGCCAACAAAAGCTGCCGCTCCCAAGCCAGCATCGTCCGACTCATCCGACTCATCATCTGACGACGACGACACACCCCCTGCCAAGGTGTCAAAAACTACCTCTGCAAAAGAAGCTCCCACAAAAAAGCCTGCTTCAAGTAGTGGCAGCGATTCTGAAGATGCATCTTCTGATTCTGATGAGGAAGATGGAGACGTCAAAATGGCCGATGCTACCGTAAATGGTTGTCAGTATTCTTTTTTTTCTCGCCCTCTGTTTTTACTCACCTTTCATTCCAGCATCGAAACGGAAGGCTACTGATGATGCCCAACCGCAACCCAAAAAAGTGAAACTTGCTAACGGCGACGCCGCACCCACTGGTGACGCTACCGAAGTGTCGCTGGCCGTCTTCGTCGGTCAGCTTTCATGGGCCGTCGACAATGACCGTCTGGCTCAAGAATTTGCTGACTGCGGTGAGATCGAGTCTGCGACTGTCCAGATGGACCGTAACACTGGCAAATCGCGTGGCTTTGGATACGTCCACTTCACCACACCGGACGCCGTCGAGAAGGCTCTCCAAATGAATGGACAGGAGATCGATGGTCGGGCCATCAAGGTCGACCGCAGTCTACCCCGTGACAAGTCCCAAGTGAGGGAGAAACGTGCACAGGCATTTGGGGACGAGGTCAGCGCACCGAGCAGCACCTTGTTCGTCGGAAATTTGAGCTTTGGCGTCACGGAGGATACCGTCTGGTCATTCTTCAATGACTATGGTGTTAAAAGCGTTCGCCTTCCCACTGATCGGGAAACTGGCCGCCCGAAAGGGTTCGGCTATGTGGAATTCGAGGATATTGATGGCGCGAAAAAGGCTTTCGAAGCCGCTAATGGGTCTGAGATTGAAGGGCGCTCAATTAGGCTCGACTATTCTCAACCCAGAGATTCATCTGGGGGTGGATTTGGTGGTGGCCGCGGCGGAGGTGGTCGTGGAGGCGGTCGCGGCGGCGGAGATAGAGGCCGCGGCGGTCGTGGGGGTGGCCGTGGTGGTGGTCGCGGCGGGTTTGGTGGGGGTGATCGAGGGTTTGGTGGGGGCGATCGTGGGTTTGGCGGTCGTGGTGGTGGTCGGGGACGTGGTGCACCCCGAGGTGGAGCGAGGCATGGTGGCATCGCCTCATTCGAGGGTAAAAAGACCACTTTCTAATGATCACGACCTTCTGCCCCCATCTTATTCAGAGTATATATCTTCAGCTTTCCGACATGTATATAATTATTCTACTTGGAGTACTGTTGCAGTACAAGTATGCAATTCAGACGTGCTTTGACTGATCAAATCGTTATGAGACGAGATTAAATGCATATCCTAATTAATGTATGTAGCTTGCGATAACACAACGAAGACGACGGAGCAACTACAAAACGAATACTGACAACAAATTACCAAGCCCTTACGGAGCCCTTTCCATAGCCTTTCGAACAGGATTGTTTGCCGGAGCCAAGGCACCACTCTTTTCAAGCCTGTCGAACAAAACAAAGAGTTTCTCCATTTCGTGCATCTTCTCATCGTCTGTCATATCAGAAAGACTTGGCGTGAGTTCGACAGTTTTGCCCGTAATAGGATCGATGGCAGTGCCAGACGACGTAGTAAGACTGGCATTTGAAGACCCGGGATCTTGTGCTGGGGCGCTCATTACGCCTTTATGAAATAGGAAGCCAGCAACGTTTCCATATCCAAAGAGGGCAGAAAGTGTAGTGGCTGAAGCAACGACGTTAGCAAAAAAACAATCGTGATGGAGAATTACAAACTTACCATTAGAATCAGACACGGCAAACAACATCTCTCCGACAGAGTCTTTTAATCTAGGATGATATACAGAGCTAAGTAACCTTAAACATCTTCCCAACAAATCCGGCCTCGACTCTAATGCTGAAGAGCGGTCGAGATCATCAGGAACTATCCATTGTCGGACCCGAACCCGACAGGTTTCGTCGGCTAGGCAAAGCCTGGTAACGAGTACTATTAGAGGTGAAAGAATGTCATCCAAAGAATCCATAGACTCCTCCTTGCAACGCTCCCTGACGGAAACGTCGTCACCGTCGATATCACCTGGGAAGTAGTGGGAGAAAGAAACTTCGAGAAGATCAAAGGTTCGCTGAACGATATCCGCTGTGGCGGATAAGTTGGGCGATGGAGATCGTGAAAGAGACTTGCGTCCGACGGCTAGGACGGAGAGCGCTCGATCAAGGGTGCTAAGCTTCGGCGCCGTTGGGCTATATCGAGTGGGCGAATCGCTGCGGCTGCTTGGGGTGGATGATTCCGTGCGCTGAGAAGTCGAAGAGGCTTTGGGAGTAGTAACGAGGGTATCACGCGACGATTGCGTTGCAGGGACGGCAAACCAGACAGGGCGGAGTGCCGGTGTAATGGGTATCGTGATTAGGGAATGAATTACGTGCGTTAGAGGAGCTGTGAGCGGGGATGGAAACGTTGGCGGCAAGGAGCTGAAGACTCGCAGAAGTGGAGGAAGAAGCCTGATTATCTAAATCAATGGGCCATATGGTCAATACTAAAGGTGGTGTACACACCCGTCAAGTTTTGGATTCCAAAAATCGCCCATAATGTTCTCACCGTCATTGGGGGTATCGGAATTTTGCGGCTCCGACTCTGATAGCTAGATGGTGTAAATACATGGATGTCAGAAGTCCACGGCGAAAGAACATGCCTTGGGGTAGTATAATAACAGGTTGAAAGTCAATTTGAGAAGATCAGACATAGCCTCTCTTGCCATTTTAGTTCCGCTTTGAATGGCAACGGTCAGGGAGTCCAACTTCGCCGCAATAATTTCAACCACTGTTCGGCCGTGGTGCTTTTCCTCAACAATGCTCTTGATATAGGACGTCCTAGAGGCCGTACACAAGAATAGAATGCGAGATAGAATAAAAATCCGATCAGGACCATTTGCTTTCTGGTTAGAAAGAATAGTCAATCGCCTCGATGTGGAAAGACACAGAGTAAGATTCACCTCAAGCATTCCAAGACATATTTGTCCTCCGCTCACGGCCTTTTCGATGAATGTAGAACGAGCCCGTTCGATCAAGAGAAGTGCATTGGCTATACACCGTAAAGCTTCGCTCGATGCCTCTGGGTCATCTTTGAAGGTGGCCGCCAGCGAGAGTAGTGTAGACAAATTAGCTGGTGAAGATAAGAAGTCGGAACCTGAGGGTTCTTTCCCAAGAGTCTTGACAGCCAAAAGAGCCTGCGCAGCATCTCGAGAGCTATAAGAGAAAGGCTGACAACCGATGGAAGGCAAAGTACCTTTTAAGGCCAGTCTGGATTTCATACCCGGAACTGATAGGTCTTGTAAAATGGCGCGAATGAGATCATTGCGCGTCGACTGGGTGAAAGAAAAGGGAGGCGCTGGCTTCAAAGGTTGATCATATATCTAATACGAGATGGAAAGTAAATAAAACCTTTGATGATAGAGTCCAAGATATCGGCAACGTCTGATCTGGGCGACGAGGAAGAGAGGTTGCTATACTGTTCAAGATATTCGAACATCATGCTTGTGATCCCCTGGGAGGTAGAGAGACGGGGAAAGAATGTACCAACTTGAAGTCGGGTGAAAAAGTATAAAGATGTAAAAGCTGACAAACAGTTGCTGTTGCCCGTTGCTAGGCTGCGGAATGTTGTGCGATAACTAAATGAATGAATGTAAAGATATACATTGCTATCTTGCAAACCACGCAGCACCCTCCCTGACAGTCCCTGACATATCCCACACAGCGACCAAGGCTTGGCGTAGACCCAGTGTTCACGTTGCTTCTCTCTTTGCTGGCGAGGATCAATCATGGATCATCACTAGGAATGAAATATTCTCCGAGATCTTAAGGTCCTTCCGAAATTTGCTTATCAGCCAGTGGTACAAGTTGACCATCGAGTTCCGGAAAGTTTTGAAGGAGGGCCTCATCAAGATATCTGTGGTAGGACTGGAAGAAGCTCAGCATCGACGCAAACCTGGTCCCAAAGCAACCCACATCTATTGCAGATATTTTACCATTCATGAACTGGTTTTCTGTAGCAGCTCGCTCAAGTCGGTCTTTCGTTAATTGCATGGGGTTTCGAGCGTTGTCGATGTCTGCTAAGACCTGCATGGGAATCATAGTGTGCACATGCTGGGCCATATCATCTATTGTTGCAAGATGGGTGATGACATTGTTACTATGGGGGTTCCTTAACAAGACGAACGACTCTTCAGGTATGGAACCTCACACTCGCAAACCGACTTGTTTCCCACCTCCTGGCTTATCACGTTCTTTTGTGGAGTCGTTGATAACAGTTGTACCAAGGTTGTAAAGGGCATTGGCAAGACCAAGAAGTTCCAACTCGAGATCGCCTTGCACGCCAGACGGCGCAGGAGACTGGGAGGATCTTGGAGAATCTGGCGCAGGTGGTTGTCGCGGCTGTGGCGCCATCTTGCAAGCACACGTGACAAGCACATCATTCAATTTGTTGTGCGTTGTTGCTCAAGAGCCTTGTAAGCAATCCAATTGGTTGAATCGTCCAATCTTATCTGCAGCCTATTTCTTTCTTCACAAGACGACCTTCTTCGCGACAGGCGATTTTCCGACTCTTACGGCCACCTCAAATTACTGAAAGGCAGCAAGATGATATCACAAGTCTCTCAACAACGCTCGAGCACATCCCACAAGTCTTTGGCAACCATGCACTCTATTGGACGGTTACACTCTTTCAGCTCTGAAGCTGACGGTGACCCAATAAAAGTCAAAATGACCCCGCGGGTAGCTGTGCGCGATAAAACACCTCATCGGTTCCAAGTCGTTCCTCTTCGCGAGATAAGCCAACGCCCTATTGACGGGGTGAACGCGTTGGCTCTACCCAACCTTCGACAAAATCAAAACCGGCTTCTAGGGAAAGTGGGGTCATCCACTACGTCGTCGAGTTCTCGTTTAACTCCGTCTCCTCCTTTGGTGGGTAATGTTTCTTTCCAATTTCCTGCACATAGTTCAATTGAAAGCTTACGCATCCCACCTCTGATGGAAATTCGTTCTCTCAAGGCATCTTCTTCGAAGCGCATCTGCAACGATACTTCTTCATTGGCCCGCCAACCCCTCACCGAACTGGACCAGAACGTGGAGCCGCCTGACCTTTCAGAGTTACACCTAGAAGATGCTACATCAAAACGCAAGAGACCACAGAGTCACTTTTCCTCTCTCAAGTCGTTTCCTAATCAAGCCGCTCTTTTACTTCCATCAACATCCCTATCTACTTCTTCACTCTCTCTTCAGGCTGTTGAGCACCGTCGTCAAGATGTCCATACTAAGTCCTCAAGTTCCATTTCTATCAATCAAAAGGCTTCGCCTCGCAGTCATCTCGAGGGCCGTACACCACGTCCTGTGCGCAAACAAACTATGACTCTGTCAGAAAATCTTTACGACGGTCGTCCTGAATACGTAAGCGAAGGAAACACGAAACCTACGATCAAACACCTCGAGACTGCTTGTCGCCCGTCATCCAAGCGTAACGCTATCTACAACCAGCCTTTGTACACGAATTTTCTCAGTCAAACCGATATTCCTAAATTGGTTGAAGATTCTCACAAGGGGGTATCGGACGCAACCACTGATTTCGCTGCACTTGATGGACGTCAAGAGAACACCTGCCTGCAACCCCCTCCTGTCTATGGCGAGAGGCTGCACGAACGATCTTCAGATGTTGGAGAAGAGGATCCCGAAAATGTCGACACAACCATCTCTCCAAGCGCATCCCATCAAGAAAACACATTGTTGAAATCGTTACTGCCTAAACTGCTGCCAACCCAGCCACTGCGCTGCTCTCGCACTCATTCTGTTCGTGTGAAGCCGTTTTCTGAGGGAAAGGTGGTCTACTCAAACATCGTGCTCGAGTTGATGTCAGATATTGACAAGGAGCTCGAAGGGTGGAGGAATTTGCTTCAACACTAACAGTAGAATTTTTTTTTCATTATTATCGATTTGTCTGCTCTATGTCATTATATACACGTTTCGTGCACTCAGCACAGCACAACCTTGTCACCGGTCCGGGCGCTCAGAGCCTGGTTCTCGTGCAAGCGTTTCTATGCAAGACTACTGTGCTCGAATGATAAGTAAGCCGCGATGTCAAGTCCTATCAATGTAAGTATCATCGTCACAGAGGTCAGTTTTATTGATCAACATCACGTGATACGATCGTACAAATTAGACGCCGAATCCCGACACAGGGCCGTCGGAGCAAATCCGATCGGTCGGCCGATAAATGAGGCGATAGCAAAGTATATAGCATATGAAGTCCAAACTCTGCAGCCCAGTCACTACTTGTACCACCATGCCATCTGCTATTCCTACGCCGCGCACCCTTTACGACAAGATTTGGGATGATCATGTCGTGTGCGTCTACAGTCGTCTACAGCCTCCAAATTGTGAAACTAATATTCTGATAAACAGTGACCTGAAGGAGGATGGACTGGCGCTAATTTATATCGATCGGTAGGTGTTGTACAACTCATCAATCGGTTTGGTTTGTGTTCACACCCCCCATAGTCATCTTGTTCACGAAGTTACGAGCCCACAAGCATTCGAGGGACTGTGCGTTGACATTTCGAGTAGGATAAGCTATGTGCTGACATTTTGTAGACGAAATGCAGGACGTTCAGTTCGTCGCCCTGATTGTACCCTGGCCACAGTCGACCACAACGTTCCGTCCGTTGATATTTTCCTTTCGATGTCGCCCTGCTGAATTTTGACTCAAGAACTGCCTCGCGAAAGAATTTTACATCAGTCGAGAGTTTTATTGCGGAACCGGACTCGCGCGCGCAGTGCGCTGCCTTGGAAGACAACGTGAAAGAATTTGGGTTGACATATTTTGGGATGAAAGACCGAAGACAAGGTACGTGCATTGCATAATTTCATAAAAACACTCTAATGAGCGATGTAGGCATCGTTCATGTTATTGGACCCGAACAAGGCTTCACTGTAAGTTCTAGTCTTCTTTATGAAACCGTGGACTGAAGAAAATAGCTCCCTGGTATTACTTGTGTATGCGGTGATTCTCACACTTCAAGTGAGCGAGCACAAAGACTATGCCACGACATTGATCGCTAACTTTGAACTCGTTAGCACATGGGGCTTTTGGTTCGCTTGCATTCGGTATCGGTACATCGGAGGTCGAGCATGTTTTGGCCACACAAACGTTGTTGCAGAAGAAAGGGAAGAACATGCGAATTACTGTCGATGGTGAACTGCATGAAGGGGTTACGTCCAAGGATGTCATTCTCCATATCATTGGAGTCATTGGGACCGCAGGTGGGACAGGTTGCGTCATTGAGTACGCGGGTTCAGTCTTCCGCGGCTTTAGCATGGAGGCGCGCATGAGCGTTTGTAATATGAGTATCGAGGCTGGTGCCCGTGCGGGAATGATCGCTCCCGACGATGTCACCTTCAATTATCTTCGCAATCGCCCCCTTGCTCCGAAAGGAGATGAGTGGGATCACGCAGTAACGTACTGGAGATCTCTCAAAACCGACGAAGGCGCCAGGTTTGACATTGAAGTTAACATCCCCGCATCCGACATCATTCCTACCGTTACGTGGGGCACATCTCCGCAAGATGTTGTCCCAATCACTGGCTCTGTCCCCGATCCTAGTAAAATGTCTGATTCCGTGAAGCGCGCTTCGGCAGAGCGTTCCTTGGCGTATATGGGACTCACGGCTAATACACCCATGGAAGAGATCAAGGTTGACAAAGTCTTCATTGGTTCATGTACGAACAGTCGTATTGAAGATCTTCGATCTGCCGCCAAAATCGTACTGGCTGCTGGGCCTGATGCTAAAGTTGCCCCTGGCGTCATTGCCATGATTGTTCCAGGCTCTGGCCTTATCAAGCAACACGCGGAGGCGGAGGGGCTGGACGTCGTTTTTAAACGTGCAGGATTTGACTGGCGTGAAGCTGGATGTTCAATGTGTTTAGGCATGAATCCCGACCAGTTAGCTCCGGGCGAGCGGTGTGCTAGCACAAGCAACCGCAATTTCGAAGGCCGACAAGGTGCTGGTGGTCGCACCCATCTACTCAGCCCAGCTATGGCTGCTGCCGCTGCGATCACAGGGAAATTGACGGATGTTCGTAAATTTATTGGTCAGATTGCGAACGAGAACATTGCTGCTGCCCCAAAGTTGAAATTGGTCAATGCTAGCGACTTTCAGGACGAGCCCCAAGCATCACCTTCACCGGCAGCGAAACAGTCATCCGACGGCACCACTTCCGCCTTGCCTGCCGTAACTTCGCCCTCTTCTGTCGAGAAATTCGTCATTTTGAGGGGCATCGCGGCCCCACTTCATATCGAGAATGTCGACACTGACATGATTATTCCAAAGCAGTTCCTCAAAACCCTCAAGAGGACTGGTCTTGCCGAAGCTCTGTTCTACACGTTGCGTAAAGATCCACATACGGGCAAAGACACCAATTTCATCTTGAATCGCGTCCCTTACGACCAATCGAAGATTCTTGTTTCCACTGGAAAGAACTTTGGGTGTGGAAGCTCGCGTGAGCATGCACCATGGAGCCTGTAAGCTTCCAACGAGCAATGTAGCTCAACACCAACTGACTTTTCTTCAGAAACGACTTTGGAATTCGTTGTGTCATCGCCCCAAGCTTCGCCGACATCTTCAAAAACAATGCGATGCAGAATGGGATGTTGCCTGTTGCAGTTTCGGAGGAAGACTGTCGTGTGCTGGCTAAGGATGCGGAAGCAGGACTAGAGTTAGAGGTTGATCTTGAAGCGGAGGAAATACGTCGTCCAAACGACCAACCATCAGTCAAGTTCACGACTGATCCTTTCCGACGGCATTGTTTGTTGAACGGGCTGGATGATATTGCGCTGACGATGCAGCAAAGGGGGTCGATCGAGAGTTTTGAGAAGACGAGGAGTGAGCTGTGGCCATGGCTAGATGGGTTTGGATATCAAGGCAAGATTCCTATTGGAGCTGCAAAGCGAATAAAGAAGACAGATTGGTGATAGCCAAGTAATATTTACATAACATGTTTTCACGGCATTTTCCGATATTACTCAACACTTGTTACCAACATCTTCAACGTTGTCCACAACAAGTCCACAATGCCTTTGGCTCCTCACATGAACAACGTCGAGCCTCCAAATGTTGGCTTCGAGCCCATTACAGCTACCACAAGTAATCCTCGTCCTCTCAAGAAGAAGGGGCAACAAGCATCATCTTCGGTCGCTCCAACTTTGCTCAAGCCTCCTAACCAGGATAATCAGCAAAAGAAGGTTTTGCGTCGCTCAAGCAAGCCCATAATAAATTGGTTTCAGCGCAAGTTGTCCGGAACCGTTAAAGCTAAGCGTGTAGAAAATGTTCCCCTTACTATTGCAGACCTTGGCATGGGACGCGCTGGACAAAATCCTGTTCGTGTGGCTGGTCGTGTCGCCTCATCGCCATTGCCATCACCCTCGTATAATGGTGGAAGGCATCAATCCAGATTGGATTCTGCTGCTCTTTCAAAGCGTAGGACCATATCTTTATATGAAGATGACGAGTTCCGTGGTTCCATGCAGTCATATGGCGATGATAACATTTCAGTGGATCGATCTTCCTTTGCCCGCGATTCCTTGTGGTCACCGAGCGCTTTGGAAGCAGATGACGACGCTTCTGTGCGACCATTACCCCCCAGCACACCTCCCTCGCCCTCCCCCTCTCGATCATCTTCATCATACCTTTCGGACCCCCGAACCTTCCGTAGCATAGCAGCTAGCACGAAGCCCACTACTCTCATGAGCATCGATTTAAATGGAAACGGTATGGCGCACATCGCACAGGCGCCTCCTACGACTTCAACACACCTTCATCGCATCGCCCCACATGTGAGGCAGTCATCTTCTTTGAGCAACCCAGGACATCTGGGAAACGGGACGTCTATAACTTTTTCGACCCTTCCTGCCCAACCATCATCTCGCACGTCGTCGTTGCGCAATCCGGGCAGCCTGAATTCATTAAATCTCAATTTGCAACATAACAGTCTCTTCAGCGGCGGCACATTGTCTCCCGTTCAGGCGCCCTTGCACACCACCCATCATCCTCGTAACAATCCACGCCCTTCCTCACCTCCTCTTGATAATGCTTCTATGCTAACGTTGGCCTCGTCGGCGTACGCCATGCCAGGCCGATTTGGCCCACAAGGTTATAGTTCGACCGCCTCGGCGATTGGGGATTCGCTTTCTCAGGATGGAGTGAGTCTGTCGTATCCAGACGCCGAAAGCACAAGTCAGTTCGTTCTTGAGGATGATGATCGATTGGAGGAAAGGGATGTAGATGCCAGTGTGAGAGCACTCAGGCCGAGGAGCTCAAGGAGGGGGAGTTGGGAGAGTGAAGCCAGTCGGTGGAGCGCACGCGTCCAGTTGGGAACAGCAACCTCTTCCTTGGCGAGGGACCGAAGTTTGTGGACCACCAATAGCATCAGGACCGGCGGATTGAGTGCCGGAGATGGGGAAGCTCATCAGCGCTCCGAAGATGTGGTCCACGATTCCGACTCCACACACGCAGATAACGCCAGTGGAATGGAAACTTCTGTATACACGTCAGAGCCCGCTGAGGATGCGGATATGAATAAAGCGTTACTCGACACAGTTGAAGGTTCTGGTGAGCCTGAAGACGAGCAGCCTGAGAAAGACCCGCCTAAATTGCCAATAGCAACACACCGCCTGTCTTCGGATACCATCGCTCATCCCGCCGCCATAATCTCAAGCCTGCCCAGTACACCGGACGCGACAGCGGGCCCCTGAATGTTTCAAGTGGCTCACCTCCTTCTCACTCTGTTCGTCCATCCTTTCGTCCCACTTTTTCTTTTTTGTCTTCGGCATGCAATGTACATCACTTGTACACCTTACTTTCTCTCTGTATTCCCATGTATATACGTAGAATGTTACTTATGCACCATATTATTGAACGTCAGCCAACTATGCTACGGTACATATGGTGGTAAGCAGAGCCAAACAACTCCGCACAACGCCGCAAAGACTGAGAATGTGGCAGTCAAAACATTCATCGAACTTGCATCTTTTCTTGATGCACTGCGCATCTTGACTTGTCATTTTTGAGCAATACTCAATCTCGACACGGAATGTCTTCAACCCCACGCGAAGTTGGCACACTCATTGTCGTTGTTCTCAAAGCAGTGCGTTAATGCCACCCAATCATGCATTGCGCGCTCAACAAATCTACTTCTCTAGAACCATCTTCCAAACAAGAGACACATCGGCAAGCAGGATCCATACTGCCTTGTCGTGGTAAATGGTGAGAAACGAAGAACCAAGGCTATCAAACGTGGTGGTCAACATCCAGAGTGGGACGAAGAAATCAGGTTTACTCTCTATGAAGACGTGGAGGACGTGCTGGCTCGAACCGCTAAAGGAGATGGGACTCCTCCTCCTCCTCCTCCAAAGGGTGCCATGGTTCAGAAGAAAATTAAAGGTGGCAAGACTATGAAACTGGCTTGCTACGCCGATGACCCCCGTGAACCCGATCTCATTGGTGAAACCATTGTCGATTTGACGGAGGTTTTGACCAAAGGAGAGACAGACGGTATGGCCTCTCAATTCATGATGAATCCTCCAGGATCTCACAACCGTATCCGTGTCCAGAGTGGTTTACTTTGACGAATAAAGATAAATTTGCAGGTAAAGTTTACTTGGAGCTGACTTTCTGGTCGAACGTCAGTAGACATTGATCATTGCTCTTTTCGTAGCTAATGTATTGTTACAGGAACCTGTTCCGGAAAAGAAATTGACGCCGAAGCCCACCAAAGCGAACAAACAATATGGAGGCCCAGGTTCTTTCGTCCCGTCAGGTGAACCCTCACCTGCGCATTCATCGAGGGTAGCATCAACAAGTGGTGCATACGCCCATTCTCGCCAAACATCGGAAACGCTGCCTTCCTCATTACGGCCCTCAGGTTCCGCCCATCTTGACCTCTACGTCGCCCCATACGAGCAGAGAAGCAAAATTTTGCCAGTCGATATCCTTGCCCGTGATTTTGAAGAATTTGGAGTGGCTGAACCACATCGCCGAAGAGACAGTCTTCCAGTAGGTCTCATTTATCATTTACCATCCAGATATCTCACCGTAGCTTAAAGCCTGTCCCAACTGGGTACGGACATCGCCCACAGTCAACTGCATCGACCCTCACATCCTACCACTCATACGGGCACGAGCCGTCCATATCTGATGCATCTTCTCTGTACTTGTATGATCGGCCATTGACACCTCCAGGTCAGTCGTCGCATGTTCAGAACTCGTTGCCTGGTCCCATGCAAACCTACTCCCCGCACAATTCCTACCAACCTCCATACGACCCCGTGCCCCAACCGGCATATCAAACTCCAACCCGTGGCCCGCGACATAGCATGCCCACGTCCTCTTCGGGGTTCGTTCCTCTTCAATCGTCAGGGTTTGTGCCTTTACAACCCCCGCTTTCCGAGAACTCTAGCTTTGCTCCGTCCGTATCGTATACTCCTTCGCCGTCGGGCTACAACGCCGCTCAATTTCTCCCGACGTACGCACCACCCCCTCCCCAGACACCAATGCCAACAAACTATCTGCCGCCGTCAAGTTCAGGAACCTTCCTTCAACAGCCTTTCACCACCTCTCAATCCTTCGGATATTCTCAGTTCACTATACCACAGTCAACGTCAGCTCCGCCTCAGCAATATCTACCAGCGACTCAATCCCCTGTATCTCTTACCTTGCAGACAAATCCAGCACCTCCACAAACGTATCAGAATTATCCAACAACCCCATCAATATCCCATGATAACCTTTTACCCCACCCTCCTGCTCCCCCCATGAATTTTCAACCCGGAAATAGCAATGGTAGTTCTCGTCCTCTCCCACAACAACCTCAGCTTGTATATACCCAACCGCCCGTTCAAGTTGCCACTCCACCGTCAGGAAACTCCCCGCAGCACCTAAGTTCGTATAGCCCTACGCAGACTGGCAACGTGTTCCCCAACAACACTTACTCAACCATACCGCCTCCCCCGCCCTTGCAATATAGCACAGAACCCCAGCTGTACACCAGTTCTCAGGCTGTGGTCCCTCCTCCCCCTCCTCCTCCACCTCTCATTAATACACAACCACGACGTCATGCAAGTTTACCTCACCCGCCCGTTCTATACCAACAACCACAGCCGCCGGTGTTCCAACCTCCTCCTCCTCCTCCTCCTCCCCCTCTCACAGAATCCTATACTCACGCTCAACCTCCCCCTCCCCCGCTGCCTACCCACGACAGCAAACAGAATTTTACTTTGGGCCCCCCTCCCAAACCTCCTGCGCCAGTGGTGGACAACCACTGGTCACCTCAACAATCACAACAGAACGGCTATACAGCCCAGGCGTATTGAACGCTACGACTTTGGGAAACATATACTAAATCTGGCTTGCCACTCACTCAGCTTTCATTGTTTTCTTTCTCACGGACTTGTTTTACGTCGCTGCAATCATAATTGACCATTTTTCTAGAGATTATCCTACAATTGGCAGCATGTAGCAGGCAGGTGTTCAGTCACCTTCTATAGATAAATAAAATCTTTTGGAACTGTGTGCCCCCCAGACACATTATGATTCTGACGCCTGTCGTTCGCGTGCTTCCCTCCACTTCGCGATCTCGGTTTCGGTGCCAACTAAACCCTGCCGAGCAAGATCCAATCTTGCTTCACGTCTAATGACAGCTTCTTCCCTACGGCGCATAGTTTCGTGAGTCAAAAGAGCGCTTTCAGCACCAAAAACAAGTCCAAAGATGGTGACTATCTGACCCGATAAAGAAGTGATGAAAGTTTATGGTCAGACCGCACGCACATCCAGATACAATGAAGCCTTTGAAAGCGAGTGTTTGCCGCCTTTCATAAAGATTCAACAATACTGTTTAGATGGCGACGTTTTTATGAGCACTCACCTAAATACGGGCCATCCATGATGTGCAATAATTGCTAAACCAACACCAATGGCGGTCGATCTCAACGCTCCCTATGCAATTCTGGTAGGCTTCGGGTTGTCAAACGAAGTGAGAGCGTTGGACAAACTTGAATGGCAGCTTTTGACTGAATTTCATAAGCCTCATCCACATCTTCCTGTTGTCGCCTGCGAGTGGACATGGCCAGGTCACACTTCGCTCTGTGCTTGTCCTTGTTATCTTTCCGAGGTCAAGGCCAAATTCCACCAGCACCATCCTGGTAATGAACCATCAACGTCAAAGTCTACCCCGAAAACGAATTCTCGAAACCTACGATGCTCCTGAACCAAAACGTCCTCAGCTGTATTCTATATATGAACAATTTCCGCAATTAAGGGACCCAGACAAGAAGCTGATTGCACCTCCGGTTGTTTTGTGAGTCCTCTGTATAGTGCTTACCATTATCGTAGAAGTTGACACAAACCTAGCCAGGATGGAATAATAGCCTGTCAAAAACCGGTCCCAGTGCAAATACAGCCAATCAGTCGCTCCTCAATCTCAACTGGTTCTACGCCTCTGGATCCTATAAACGTCGATGATTTAGATATTGAAGGACGCCCCGAGAAATCCTTTGTGCAAACGGGACCAAATAGTTTGGGTGCTTCAACGTCCTCGCAGCGCTGCTTCGATCCACCCTCATTAAATGACCACGTAGCGTTTGACCCAAATCGGGGCCTTTTAGACAGCATGAAAATACACGGAAATACCTTGAAATTAACATTTCATCAAGGAGGAATGACATGCGAGGATGTTTCAGTGTTTCTGCAAAGGACTGGTTTGAGCGCTTCAGAGTCAGCTCCATTTTCACTTTGGTATCAACATCCACTGGCATTCTGACAGGTCACGCAGAGTTGATATACTTGATGAACGAACCGCACGCTTCCAATTCAGCCACCCACATGTCGCTGCCACCGCATTTTTTATGCTCATGGGCTATGTTCGGAGCAAGCCAGAAACTCAACCGAGTTCATCCCGGCGTGATATTATCGATCTGCGAGAATCGCCAGCACCAGGCATCGAGGATGCGCATGTCGACGCAGCTAGTTCTTCTGGTTCAGGAGCTGCGCCGATGTCTTCGCACCTCGTCGTAAGTCCAGACCACCAGGATAAAGTTATAAAGCGTTCCCATGCCATAGATGATATTTCCTGGGACGAAGAACATGAAGAACAAGGCAATTTATCAGACCGAGTCGCTGAGAGCGTTGGCTCGGAATGCGATTCAGAAGACGGGGAGAACTACATTGACAAGGAAGCTCAACCATGTAATCGCAAGTCTGGCGCATCCCCACCAGAGGCTGGTGTTCCTCCAACACCCATACACCGCCCAAGAGTGCGACAGGTGGTCATCTCAAGCGACGGAGCATCCAGCTCCAGAACTTCTACAGGATCGACATCCAACGCCGGAACGATGGCTCCCCCCAGTAAACCAACCCCTGGAAGAAGCTTGCTCTTACTGCCCAAAACGCCTAATAACAAACCGAGGCGGGTCCTTGTTCCGATGTCTGATCTACCCTTTGTTACTGTTTCCATGCGAGCGGACGTGCAGTTCTGGCACAGAACACGAAAGTCGGTTTTGCCCTTTTTTTCTTCTTTGTGGACCATTCATTCATTGAGCATTTTAGACACCGACTTTCAGCCTTCTCAATTCCCAGTGGAGATAACTTTCGTCATGTCGTGGATGCTTGTCTCGTCAAAGAAAATATCGCAGTAATTGGGTACGCTAACGGTCCATGTGATATTTCAATACTTCGTCTTGTTGAGGTATGGCGAGGCTGGTGTGTTGGTTGCTGTGTGGATTTTTTACTCCCATTCGGCAGGACGAGGCTCCAGCTCTTTCTGAATCCTCGCACCGCCCCCATACAGGATCCGACCAATCACGCACCCCATCGATTCGATGTGGCTTGAGCTGTCTGTCACCTTTGTTCTCTGCCAATGAATCCGTTCAATTCTTTACGGGGGGGCACGACAAATCCATTAGGCTCTGGACTTTGCACCCAGATAATCTGGCACTTGCTTCAAGTGAAAGCATAAGCAAGATCGGTACTATCCCAAGCACCCTCGCCGCTGTGGAAACAACGCTTTATGTTGGCACTGGTCAAAAGATTCTGACCCTCGATATTGACCACCCTACAGCGAGGCCGAGACAAGCCCGGTGCGGCAACGCTGTGAGCCAAATACATGTCCACGACAGGAATGTCTTTATAGTTGAGGTTAACTTCCCGACTGCGCTTGCTAGACGGTGCTTCTATGTGTATACAGCTCTGCTGACAGTTTTATTTGTAGACCAACCATCTTGACCACCAGGTTCAGATCTGGGATAAGCGCGCCAGTGGCTTTGACAGACCGCCTAAGCTCCAGCTAGGTTACAGACACACGGGTACCCTATCCCTTTCCAGCTGTTCAAAAGGAGGCGCCCTCCACTCTTATTTCGTCAAGGGCTATCCAGATGGCGGTGTTTGCTTTTGGGATTTCCGAAATGTCAAGGTTGTACGGCAGTCATATTAAGAAAAGCACCCACTAAAGTTTCTTCGGCAATACAATAGAGGCCACTCAGGACACAGCACATGTTATCAGACTCAGTCATACACGCGGTCATGACTGATCAGAATATTATCTGCTACAGCAAGCAGTGCCTCCATTTTCTAGACCCAGAATAGAGACCTGTTTCGGGGTTTGGGTCGTTTTGGTCAATGACATATATAAGTAAATACATGGAACTGTTCAATGCTCATTTTTTGGGAAATCTTTCTTAAATCGATTCCTTTTTTCATTGATTTGAGAAGATGCGCTGATGCATCCATGAAATATATTGCACAGTAAAACAAGAGATAGGGGTATGATTGAAGGGTTAATCTGTCTCGGACCAACCACCTAGCTCTACTGCAAATGCAACAGCCAGCTTGGAAAACTCCAACATATGAGAGAAACTGAACTCGTCAGAAATGTCGATGCGGCTGTGAACGCATTATATGCATTAGGTAGGACAGGCATTGGTGTGAGGTGTACTGACTCGTTGGCGCTATGGATATGCTTGTTCGAATTTTCAAACGTGCTCTCTGCGAGAGAGTAAGTTTTGCTATTCAATCCTTGAATAGAGATGCCTTACCAATGGTAAAAACCGAAGGGTATCCTGCCTTCCTCCATGAGGCGCTGAATGGGGAGAAACTTGAATACGTGAGCGACGGGAGCTCATCAAGAACTTAACTGATCACTGCAAGCGTATCCGCATCTGGTCTACATACAAGAGTAGTTTATGAGTGTCACAGCTCCTTCATTAGCCCGTCAAAACTTACCGGTACATAAGGGATATCAAGGTATGTGTCCACAATGTCCATGTTGAATTTGGTAAGACTGTACATGGTTCAGGCCAAGGAATAAGCAAAATCGTGAGGAATGACCTTGGATCAGTGAAGTCAGTAATTATGCCGACTTCCTCTCGCGTTCCGCGCTGGAGAATACAAAAGGTTTGAGAAGGGTGGGGTAAGATCCAATAGAGATTTACCTTGACCCAAGCTGTCATATCAAACTTGAATCCGGTAAGGCTAGTTTGACCGATCGAGAAAGACATCCCCGCATACCTGGCTCATTGCAATAACATTCACGGAACGGGACTGATAGTCTTTTGCGACAGCTTGGGAACCGAGAAGACCTCCTTCCTGTGTCGAGTCAGAATGCGTGACGCATTGAAGCAGGTGAAGCAAGAACCTCGGCAGAGTACCAATGGAATTCGACTGAGCGTACTGGATGGAAATCAGCGGCAATCAAGCCACGATACGCTTCCAAAATGGTAACACTTCCGGAGCCATCGTCTGTAAACGGAGATCAGTAGCGACAGCAAGGCAAGACGATTGCATACCGTCCGCTCCTGATATTCCATGGTGGCAAGTTAATTTGATGAAGAGATAACACAAGCTTACCAGGAGCAGGCAGGAAAGGCCACATGTTTGTACTGCCGACATTGGTCAGTGAGGCGACACAACCGTGTGTTCGAGGTACATTACCTGTCTTGATGGGCACCAATAATAACAACACCATCGTCATCAGTCGAAGAGCCATTGATGCGAACGATCTGGCAGAATGGCATTATGACACCAATAGAATGTATAAAGTAAGTACGAACGATAGTATGTTGGCCCCAAGGATGGGTAAACTCTGTCAAGGTAATCAGTTTACGAAGAGACTTCGACGCATTCTCCGCGGTGATCTGCTACAGCCATCGAATCAGATGATTGCTTCCAGTGATCACAACCTGACCTGTGATATCTTCGAAAGGAGCCATGCCTGGCTTTCTTTCCCGGTCTGAAAACGAATCTTTGAGCGAACACCACGTTGCAAAAAGCCGTTGACTGTTTACGTCACTGCGATAATCTGCAATCACATCAGTTCAAGGGTCCCGCGAACATTGGAAAGGATGGGTTTACATCTTGTGCGGAAGCTTGAGAATTTCTCCAGATTCTCCTTCGGTCCTTTCGTGGACAAGGTCTTTAATATCGGCTTGACCCTCTCTGTGGCGTTTGGTGCGTGGAACACATCTAGGGTCTGTAAGAGATGACACGACAGAGAACAGCATGTGCCCACAATTGGTCTGGAGGCTAGAACGGGCAGAAGAGCTCAAGTCCTGCGCTTCGGTTCTAGAAGAACCGGTGTCAATGTGGAATTAAGTGGAATAAATGGGTTCACTCACATGTCAAAGAAATTAATGCCTTCAGCCTTCAACTTGATCTAGATGAGGACAGTAAAACTACCGGGAAGGAATTAGGTAGGATTTGTAGCAAACCTTCTCCAATTCTGTCACCCAGACGGGAGCTTGGCCCTCCATCTCAACTAGACGGAGAGCGGTCAAATCCAGGTTAAATCCGGGGTATGTAGCACCATCAGCATTGAAGGGTAGCTGCTCCTGACTAGAGTACGATAGTGGAGTGGCAACAACCAGAGATATGAGGGAGAGGAGAATTGAGAGGGACTTCATGGTGGTTGCGGTTACCGATAGAACTTAAGCACCAAGTGTGAGTTGGCAGTCGTGAACTTGTCACATGACCAAGGTCGTGAGTTTCTTTCAAAGTTACAGTACCTTGTCACCTCCCAATGTCCAAGGCAGCCCAGAAGGCCAGAGAGCAAATCGTGGTAGGTTCTTCGTAACCTCGTTACTACTCACTGCCTAAAATCTCTTCTAGCGCCTGCTCATTCCAGCTGGGAAAGCTGCACCAACCCCTCCAGTAGGCCCTGCGCTTGGTGCACGCGGTGTCAAGTCAATGGACTTTTGCAAGGAATTCAACGCTAGAACTGCACACATAGAACCAGGAGTCCCCACGCCGACTCTCATTCGAGTTCAACCCGATCGTACCTTCACTTTTGTCACCAAGACTCCCCCAGTGTCGTATTTCCTCAAAAAAACGACGGGCATCGAGAAAGGAACTGGTCGACCCGGCCATGATATCATAGGGACAATCACTCTCAAGCATGTGTATGAGATTGCGAAGATAAAATCCGCAGATGAGCATATGAAGAGTTTGCCACTGGAGTCGATCGCCAGAATGATTGTTGGGAGCGCGAGGAGCTTGGGCATTCAGGTAGTTCCATAATTCGACATTCTCCTTACCGTATGTCGTCGTCAAATTTTTATTTCTCCAGCCTAGATATTGATCTCGTTCCTTTAACTCCGTATAGGTCAGTCCCGGTCTACATCATGTAAATTTGTGGCGATTTCGCAATTGTGGAAGCAAATAAGGGTTGCAACTATCTCCGAATTTCGAATCGTGTGTATACTCCTGACCCGAGAGTGGCATCTGTGCCCAGGCGGCAATCATCAGCGGACTTCCCCAAGACAGGGCTTACTGGAGCGAAATTAAACTTCTGAACCGATCGACAACATTTTGAATAACTGGTCCAATTACCATTGGGCATTGTGCAAATATTATCCTTGCTTGCTTTGCTGATGCTTTGAAGCCATACCTAGATCCGAGACAGCATTATGCTTAGCTGCCGATTCATTATGAGAGTGAGCACGAGACGCTTTACGTCTGCGCTGTCTCTTGTGCCTTCCAGCCGGAGACAGTATACCTTACACGATGAAGGCATGCTTTCCCGAACCCCGGATCCCATCCTGCACGTTGATGGCCTTGCCTCTTATACAAAGTCCCCTGCCTTGATTCCTAACTGCCTAAAGCAGAAACCTCGTGGACTCGGAGAGATAACCAGCATCAAATTCATCACAAAGATCTTTTTCTCTCAAAGAAATCTGTTCTTTTGTCCGACGCAATCCTCCCTTTAGGAAATCTTTGGTCCCATACATGCTGGTGTCGAAAGGTGTGATTGTGCATAAGCCGATCACACTTTTCGTCGTTGACAGGGCATGCAAGCACTCTAAGAAGGGTCCTGGTGCTCGCCTTTAACTCGTGTACTCGATTATTGAGCCCTCTACACAACTCGTTGCTCCACTGACCAAATTCCAGGATACCCTGACTTCGATATTGGCACGTTGAAGTTTTCGCGTTTATTCTCCTACCATTCAAACACGTTCCGATCAGGTCAAGGATCATCATCAAGCGCGCGGAAAAGGCCTCAGCATACGTCCTTGCCATGAAATTCTCCGTATAAAACCGGAGAAGCAATGGACCTTCTTGTTCTGTCAGAGCATTTGCCTTACTCCTATTCTTACCCTTTACTCGATGTCGACTGCTTCCAATGACGTTCTCTCCTGGACCAACCAGGACCCACGGGAGAGTGTTCTCTTCAACTCGTGGGGTGTTCTCTACCGCTTTCAGGTTAGGGTGATCCATCAACATTGTTTCTTCAATACCTCAATCCTTTTTACAGACCGTAGTGAACCCCAGCGGGCAGAGTGTAACAACTCTCTGGCGCTCCATTCGGCCCAACAAGGAAGACCGAGTTGCAAAACTCGAGTGGGCTGCCAATGGCGGACTCGGCCGCATCGTCATTGGAAAAGTAAGTTTTTGTCGCGTTCTGACGCCACTGACCGTATCTGACATTACATTTTCAGAACACTCTGCCAATGTCCGACCTCGTCAGGCCAGACCATAAAGTTAATGTGAGCTTCTTCAATTAGTTGACCGACACCCCGTCTTACCTCTGAATCCTTAGGGTGCTCGCATTTTCAACGGTCCTGATGGCTCTCAATATCGTTGGCGACACAGTGCCAACAGCCCTGACATTCTTGTACGTTTGTTGGTTCTTCCAATAGCTGAATGTCGGTTCTCATTCGTTCTAGCTCCAAGACGCGAACGGCATAGTGGTTGCATTTTTCCGACCAACTCGGCAAACGCGTTATCAGATTGGTGACGTCTTTGGGGAACTTCATTTCGTTCGCACGGCAGGTGCAGGGACTGTGGTGAGTTGTTTGATGGCTCGTTTGCAAACTAGCTAATGACCGGTACAGATGCACCCACCGGTCATGGACACGGTGACAGTTACCGCCATGCTCTTCCGATTTTGCTCGGCATGGAACCTTTGAAAAGTTGTCTGGAATCTGGATTGCTCTGTTCAAAAATAATATTAGCCATCATGTACTATATCACCTACCTTGTATTATATAACCTCTTCACTGCAACGGGCCTTGATGAAAGTGAAAACGTTGCCTTACAGCCAAAAAGTAAGGTCGATAAGATCATGTCTGCCCGGGAGCTATGATGGACAAAAATAAAAATAATCTCACGTGAAGAGAGAGGCGGAAGAATACGAGAATGAATTGAAATACAAGAACATGCTGCAATGCTGCAGGCAGGGACATCTGCCTGAAGGCAAGGTTTGCTGGTCATCTGGCTACAATTTCACTCTGACACACTCTGGTCCATCTGATGCTATTCCATCGAGAATATGGTCCACGGTGCGAAGGACCCACTCTGTTCCTTCGTCACTGGACAACCACTTGTCTTCCTCGTTCTGATTTTCACAGCTGCGAGCTTTGAGAAGCCCAAACGTATGGCTCGTCAATTGTGGCCCGACCCCTCCTTCGGCACGAAGGGTCGCGATACCTACGACGGAACCTAGAGCTCGACTAAGGTTTCCCTGATCGAGATCATCTGGGCTGCTCGTGTCTTCATACGTCTTGACGCCTCCCGGCAGAGGGGAAAGCACCGACCCATAGCACTGGATTATAAACGCTGCAAAGAAAATGATAAGGCATTTAAGCGTAACACAGATCAAAAAGTCCGAAACAGGAAACCAGCACATCAGATAACTGGATCGATTTCACAAGATCGGTCCACCCGAAGGCATGAACACCCCCGTAATGGCAGGAGGGTAACCGAACCACGGAAACGTGTACTTACAAATGAAATCTGGATGGTATGACCCTAGTTTGTCGTGGAGTTTATCTGCATGAGGCGCGTAAATTGAATCCCAGAGGGCTCTTCCCCGGGTCACAATCGATTCGATAGTGTTTGGGGTTGCGCTCCTAATAGTAGTACCCGAGGATTAATACAGGTACGAGCCAGGACTGAAAAAGAAGGATCGGTGTGAAATGAAATCATCGTACCTTCGAGAATTGGTCCTCAAGATGCTCTTGACGTCTTCGTCGAGGGCCTCGTGCAGAGCAGCGAGGGTAAGTATAACCTGAAAGAGTTCTCCTTCATTTTCACGTCCGGAAAAAAGAATTCTCGACGCTCACTCGAGGAACGCCAACGAAAATGACGCTTTTTAAAGCAGACTCCCGCATGATTGCAGCCTTGTTCAAGGCGCTGGGCAGGTCCACCGATCTTGGGCTAACATTGTCGTGCAAAGACGACCGCGTAACAAAGCGATAAAGGTGCCCAACAGCAGATGGTCGATTGAGCGTCAAAAGCGAGCAAGTCTGGACGGATTGTCAACTTTGCCCGTTGATAAACGACGAGGGCCATACGGTCAAAACTAGCCAACCAGTCTCTGCTTTCTTTGCTTGTGCATCGGCGAACGTGCTGGTAAAGACGTTACTGAGCTTGGAAAGTGAAGGACTCGGTAAAACTTTGGGGTTGCGCAGTGTCAGTAAATGCTTGATAGAGGGTGTAAGATGTGCAACCATGTTTGCTGAACACCTGTTTCCATTCATCGCATATGTCGGTTCGTAATCAATTCAGGGGATACGATTCGGAACAGTTAAAAAGCTAATGACGAAAACACGATATGGTATTATGCATGCGCAGCAGTACATCAGCAAGAAAGTAGGATAGATCTATAACCCGTAAAGAGAGCCACCCAAGTAGTGAAGAAAAAGCTCGAGGACAGCGAAATCCACAAGGTGGCTCGCACAGAGGACAGCTGTCGGAATTGCCGGTAGACGAACGGGTGCGTGGACGTGGCGAGGGTATCTTTATATGTGGGGATTAGTCCCAGTGGAATCCTTAATTGATGTAGCTGTAGCCGAGAGAAGTTGGATAACCGTTGCCGGCAAGGAGCTGGTTCGCTGTGTTGACGCCGACCATATCATGTTGCAGACCTGAATATTGCACGGAGGTAAACGTTGGAGGATCACAAGCGGACGCGAGGAAACAAACCGAATGCAAAGTATTTCTTAACCCAAGGGGTGTTGTCCATAAAGCCAGTGACCGTATTCATAAAGTTTACCACGTCAGAACTGGAGCATTGTGCACCGCCACCAAAGTTCTGATTCTTGTCAATAAAGTCGTTTGATAATGTAGCAAGGGCAACAAACCTGGCAAGCAAATTCGGTGACGAAGATGTCAAGGCCGAAAGTGTTGTGATAGTCGGTAACGTGGTTGATGAAATCTTGAGCCGAAGTACCATAATAGTGAAGAGCGAGAGCATCGAACTAGGAAAACAATTGTTGGCAAGGACCAAACAAAGTGTTAAAATACTCACGGTGCATCCGTTGCAAGCTGAGAAGAAGGTTTGCATCCATTGTTTCCCCGATGGAGCATTGGTGCAGGCAGGGGTAACCAAGGCATAACCTTGGTTTTTGAGAGGTTGGATATATTGCTGCCATAGTTGAGCACCATAGCCGGGGTCGAGATCAGACTGGCCTGGTTGATTGGGTCTGCAAAAAGAAATGGTTGAAAAAACAAGATGATTTGAAGCACGAGGAGCATACTCGTTGAAACCTAAAACAGTCTTGGCGTAACCTGGCTTGACGAGCCGTGTGAAATCACCGATTTGCTTGGGTCCCCAGAGCATTGGCATGAATTCAAGTCCAAGAGCGGCAGCAGAAGCTGGGGCCCAGGGACTCCAGTTGTAAATTCTAAAATGTAGATGAGGATCGGGTGGATGAAAGAAAATAACATGGCATACGCAGTAACCTTTGCCGTTTTGAAATGACTGATGGTGCCGTCGTCAGGGCCTGCATAGGCCAGACCGACTTTACCAGGTGGACCATTGTATCCGCCCGTGTTCGATGGGGTACCATTGCCACCAGAGGCGGTGGTGGATGTAGCAGCAGGTGCTTTGGGAGTTGTTGTAGGAGTTGAGGCTGGTGCAGGAGTGGTGGCAGCAGCTGAGGAGAGGGAAGAAGAGGCTGGGCGGGGTTTACACCGTCTAGCGGTGGTAGCACGCTTCTTCTTTGCGATAACGTCGTGGTGGCGAGCAGCGATGTTATGAGGCGAGTCAAGGGAGAGAGCGTTAGTTTGGGTAGGACCCCATGAGCAAGCGAGGATAGCGAGGGAGGATAGAGCTATGAGGTTGAGCAGTTTAGCGGCCATCGTAGGATCGTCAAAAGAATGAGAAGAAGAAAAAAGAGTGTAGAGGCCAACTGCTACTGCGACGGAGAGAGAGAGAATGAACAATAAATTCTTGATAAATTCACTATAAAATTCAATTTCAACTTCGGGCTTTGAATTAACGCCCACGCACAGACCACATGATCAAAAGTGAACTATATGCGCGCTGATCATCATCATGATCCATAGCAACTAGAGTATTACGTACATCAGTTGTGTTATGTTTGGTACCATAAAGTTGTCGCAACCACCTGTTTCCAACTTTTTCTTTAACCCTCAAGTTTGACACAAAGAAACCGGTTCAACAAGCTCAGTCCATCCCACAACAAAATCTCACCACTTCACCAGCCTTATCATGTCTGACGCCCAAGCCGCCCCTGCCCCAGAAAACGGCGTGCCTCCAGTTGCTCAGGATATTTCTCAGGAGAGCCTTGGTTTCAAGGTACAAACATATCTTTCACTACTCAATACTTTCATTTATCTCACCCACATAAACAGGTTTTTGCTGGAAATCTTGCGTATTCCACAACGGATGAAGGGCTGAAGGCTTTCTTTGCTCCTGTTCAAAGCGACATGTACGTGGCATGTGCACAGCCTCGTCCCATTTTTCACTCATCTTTTCTCTTCCAGTCTTTCTGCGCAAGTCATTCTGCGTGGAACCCGTTCCGCGGGCTATGGTTTCGTCGCATTGGCTACCGCAGAGGCCGCTCAGAAGGCCGTCGAAGCACTTGACAAGAAGGAGCTCGATGGCCGTCAGGTAATCGTTGAAGTCGCCAAACCGTCCGACCAAAAGGACAAGGAAAAGAAGGAGAAGAAGTCCAAGAGGAGACCCGGCAGGCGCGGCAGCAAGGCTGTTCCCGGGGAAGTCTCAGAGGCTGAAGCAAACGGCGAAGCCGCCCACAAGGCAGATGCTGCTGCCACTAACGAGACTGACGAAGTTGCCAAGCCCAAGAAGAAGAAAAAGGCTGCTGTACGTGTTTTTCAAATCGCAATCGTCTGCCATAAAGTTGACTTGGGCTTGTTTAGCGTAAACCCAAGTCAAAGGTCGAGGGTGAAGTTTCAGATGTTAACCCTGCGGCCGCTTATGAAGGTGAAGCTACACCTGAGGCACCGAAGAAGGTGCCCCGCCCTCGCAAGGCCAGAGCACCGCGCCCTGCTCGGCCTGCTGGTGAAGACCCCGTTGGCGAGCCCTCCAAAACCATGCTCTTTGTCGCCAACCTCGGTTTCGCCGTCGATGACGCAGCCCTTGCTGCTCTCTTTGCTGATGCAGGCATCAATGTCGTTTCCGCTCGCATCGTTCAAAGGCGCTGGGGCCAACCCCGAAGGAGCAAGGGCTACGGTTTTGTGGACGTTGGTAGCGAGGCAGAGCAGCAAAAGGCCATTGCGGCGTTGGAAGGCAAAGAGATCGGCGGCCGCACCATTGCTGTCAAAATCGCTGTCAATGCCCCTTACGATGACGACGCCGCCGCAAAGCAGGATGGTGCTGAGACCTCTACCGCTGCTGCATGAACCCCATCTTTTTTTAAAGACTAACGCCCTCATGAATCACCATCACGTCCCTCTACCTCACGCTATTGTTACGCTCTCATTTCATAGTGAATTGTGTTGTCCGACCAATTCCTGATGTTCTCGCTCAGTGGTCTTTGTCCCGTTTAGTTATATTGCTTCGAAAAATAAAACAGAACGCGACAATTGTTGTCGAGTGTTTGTATGTGATGTCTGCCGATGAAGACGACTACCTCTCTGATAAATTTCTCCTTGATACTCCTTCCACTTCAAAGCCCAGCACTTATTCGAGTCTTCGTAAGGAAGCACAGAAGAAAGCATTCCTGAAAAATGAACAAAACAAGCTCAAGAGCAGGCGACAGCGGGAATTGGAATCACGAGAAGAGGGCCTCGGCAAGAGTCTCTTTGAACGTGCAAAGGAGGAAGTGGACGCGGGCCTTAGCTCGGGCAACAAAGCCCTTTCTATCATGATGAAGATGGGTTTCGAACCTGGCCGCGCTCTCGGATCCGCAGGTACGATTGGCGACGCTACGGTCCCTGATGAGGTGCCTCCCTCGGAGACTCACAGTGCGCCATCGAACACCGTAAATGAGGTTCCCCCGTCTCATGATCCAACTGAGCCCCTGCCATTGAACGAATGGGCAGGTACGTTATGTCCGGCAAAGCTCTTACCCCGTCCTTGACTTCTTTCTGCGCAGGGAGGAAGGGTATCGGACTTGGAAAACGAGCCCGCTCGCCCAACGCGGCTGAGAGACAAACAAAGTTGGCTAAAGCGGATGAAGAGGCTAGTCACCATGACTTCCGAGATCGAGCACGCGAAGAGTACAACGAACGGCAGGCCGAAGCGAGATTGCGTGCGTACACTACAGGTTGACCATGGTAACAAGATGCTGATCCCCAAGTTTCTATAGTTCCTGCACAACGTTCATGTGCAACCATGGACGAAAAAGTTGGAAGAACAGTCAGTATCCCCGAGAGTAAAAATTATCAGAAATTAACCCTTCCCCTTTCAGTACCATGCACTGTGGTTGAACCTCAGCAACCCCAATACTTTCCCACCTGGATTGATTGACGCTCTTTCTCTGCATGGCGGCATTATTGTACCCACCGAACCCCATGGGGATTCTATCCAAAGTCGACTCCGCAGGCAAATGCAAGCTGAATCTCTTCAACCTCTTGACGCCGATGATGATACACCAACCGCCAAGCCTGCAATCTCCGCAGTGGATCAATTCTCTCCTCAGTGCCTTGAAGAAGCTGCGCAATTTTTACGTCTCCAGGTACACAATTTTGTGTATGTTGTTGCTTCCGTTTGACCGTTGTGTTCTCAGGCACAGGATCGCCTTGTTCTGGTCCTGTCATACCTACGGAAAACACATTTTTACTGCTTTTGGTGCGGTGTCAAATACGAAAACGAAGAGGAAATGGAGAGTCAGTGCCCCGGCCCAGATGAGGACGTTCACGAGTGATGCATAGTGATGCCTAACGTCCCGAAGTCTGAGGCTTTTAGACACCAAGATCCCTTTAATAAGCATTATGATATCATTTTGGCGAAGGTTTAAATAATCTTAAAGGGATCAAAGAAGCACAGATTCTTGTGATGACGCTTAAGTGAACGAAGGTAACGAAATCCATAGAGAGAGCGAAAATGATAAAGAGTGTGTATGGTACATGTCCGATAATGCTCCTCAAAAAAACGAGTATGTGTGTAAATGAGCGTATAAGAGTTTGTAAGTCATTGTGCATCAGACCTGATCAAAGGTGGGCACAGTTACAAGTATATCGCTTGTCGAGGTCTGCGGAGTGAAGTGGGTGGATATCCTGACGCCAGTGTGACGACGCATATGGCGGATGTACCTGGGTCCTTCAGTAAGCGGCTTATGCTCACCCACTGGGGAGCAAGGTCCAGGAAGTGGAAGTTCACAATCCGATGTGGGTGTAACGGGAAAGGAATCCGAGCTAGCTGAGTTCGGAAGGAGTGTCGGGAGGATAGGTAGAGTCAGTGGCATAGGCGGGGTAATGGGGGAACCGGAGCAAGAAAAGGAGGGGGAAGAGGGCGATAGACCCGGAGTTTTTCTGCGTACGTAGGTGGAGATGGGGGTGTCAGCGGGAAGGTCGCTCGTCGATCCATATACACTGATGAATAGTTTATTGCGAGATCGGCGCGCACGGAGGGAGGACAATGTCGAAGTAGGAAAGATCTGCTCAATAGTCAATCAATCAATCATTCAACACACGAAGCTAATCAACGTACGTTGCTTGACGGGGACAGATCATCGGATGAAGACGATGATATAGATGAAATGCTCCCTCGTCGACTTGATGTCTACGGAACGGGATGAGCAAAACAGATAACACAATCTAACATAAACTCACTGTTGAAGGGGAATACGGGGAATAACGAGTGACTCGATGCCGAGAAGCACTGTCTCGTAAAGACGGGCTTGACTTGGATCTAGTCGGAGAAGAAGGATGTACACTCTCGAGACAGGGCGAAGCGGTGGTTGAACGGGGAGATTGTAACGCCGAAGCGGACTGTTCGAGGCCTAGGGCTGCCATAAGTTCTACAAAGGAAGGGAGGGAGTTCATTTTGTAGGGGACAAGAAGGAAGGTGAAAATGGGGTGATGGAGCAGGTCACAGTGAACCTTGTAGGCTAGAAGATGTGTGGCCGCCTATAAAGGAGAGCTCGCCTTAGAAACAACCCACGGTAGTTGTCAAGAGGCGTTACTATTATCCTGGTGTTCAGCAATAATAGGACCATTCTCTGGACGCCTAAAACAGTCAGTATCAATTTTGGTCGGCAAGGAGACACATCTTTGGTACAATCGGCCCTACCTACTCGTCTTATACGGAAACCGCAGGCAGCAACGATGGCATCACCACAAGTCGACAACGAATCGGCATGGTGAAGAGCAAAGAAATGTACATTTTTTGGTGCCTCGATACTTGCGAGGGTTGACCTGAATTTCAGAGGGATTGGTTGAGATGATAGTGGTCACTCACAAAGATCACGTTCAATACAATAGCCAAGTGAAGTTTGTAAACACCGCCACACATATTTTTCGCAATGAACCACCAACCAAGCGGGATGAACACAAATCCAGGGGCTCCAAGTGGTGGTGTCTCGTACATCCCTGCGCCCAGACAAGATATGGAGTATATTTGCGCAGGTATGTGTGCTATTGGCATTTTAACTTATTTCAAATCGTTGTACTTCAGACTGTGGTGCAAAGAACGAGATCAAGGCTCGAGAACCCATCCGTTGTCGAGAATGCGGTCACAGAATCATGTACAAGAAAAGAACGAAACGAAGTATGGCAATGTTGCATTTATTGAAGAAGCGTTCTAACCAGCTGCAGTGGTTCAATTTGAAGCACGGTGACCTGCAGAGTATAGATATTTTTTGTAATTAAATATTCTTGTGTTGATGGCTGTTTGGCAAGGGCTTCTGAGGCGGCAAGCTTCCTTCGTAATCGCTCTCACCCAAGCAATTAATTCTACCTCAATGCCCGAGGGAAAGGAACCGAGAGACCGCAGCGTTTCTGGTGACTTTGATGTACGCTCATCTTCCACACTCACCTTCGCTCATCGTCCCCAATAACCTCTATTCCAGGATTCTGACTTTGAGTCTCACGCCGGTGACTCCAATCCCCCAGGCAAACCGGGGAGAAAGAAGAACCCAAAGTTCGTTCCGTGTCCCGCATGTCCTTTCCAACGCTAATCTCGTCTGCCAAGTTCTCAAGCTGCGCGACGTGATCAGAACCGGATCGCCCAACGCGAGTTTCGCTTGAGAAAGCAACAACGGGTTCGTACCCACTTTCTTCACCGTTATATCCGAGTCTCAATTGCAAATACAGATACGTGATCTCGAAGCGCGTGTAGAGATTCTCTCTGGAGGCAAAGATGAAGCGCTTGGCGAAATGCGAAATATCCTTAAGGGTGAGCGTCGTCTTTTGCGTTTCGTCTGATAAAATCCTTAGTGCGTCATAGACTTGATGACTGAGAATCAGAACCTCCGAAATCTTCTTCGCAGTCTGGCTACTTTTATTGGGGATGGTGCTGGCGGGCTTCTACCCAAGCTCGGCTGGGACCTGAATGACTTTAACAATTACATTAACAAGTCAGAGACGGACACAGCTTGGGAAGGATATCAAAAACGGAAGAGATCCCATAACTCGGACTCTGGATCCTCGGGCCTCCCGCCGCCACAAAGTCAAAAGCGACAGAGCGAGGACGACTCAGCTGGGCTTCGCTCGAAAAAGGCTAGAAACGGAGACGAGAAAGACCTGGATCGAAATCCAAGCAATTTTGGTTTACTCGCTCTGCAACCTACACCCATTCCGTCCAGCAGCATGTACCCCGTCAGTTCAAGACAGCAGGAGCGGAATGGAATGTTCCACGAACTGATGCGTAGCTCTAACGGTACTTCAATGTTTATGCAACCCTCACCGACCTCAAACGCCTCGCCACAATACAGTGGAGCCCCGACCGCAGACCTGGACAACTATCAATCATCTTATCTTCCTGCCGTCAATTTAAATCTAGGGCAACCTCTCTCAACATTGTCATACGATTCACAAAACGTAGTGCCTGTCTCACAACAGCGGATGCAACCACAGCCAGCAGACCCTGAAGAATTACTAGAAGGCGACGACGACCCAAATAAAAACGAGGCTTTTAAATTAATACAGTGCGATATGCCGTGTGACATTTTTATTGCCTTCGACTCTGACTTTTTTCACAGTTATCACCTAGAAAATTACAACCGCAACTCAGCATATTGTCTCCCTTCATCCTTGCGTCCAACTGTCGTGCAAAGGTAATGTTGTTGTGCTTGGTGTAACATCCGACATACCAATGACTCTCATTTGGACAGGTCAATGGCTCACGGTTTGTGTCTGTCCTTGTTGTTCAACTTGCCACTGAAATGGATCGATAGAGGGCATGATTGATCACATTCCCCATCCCGAGCTAAGAGATCGGATGATTATTTTCCGTGGTCGGTCTGCCTCGATATTTCTATTACAGGTTGATGTTCACACCGCAAAAAGCACGTTATGATCTTTCAGAGTGCCTCCATGATTACCGACGGGGAGTGACCATCCATGGGGATGACGTACTGGCCCACAACAACTGGGAAATTGGAGAGCCTTTCTTAAGAAAATACAGGTTCGTCACTCGTGCTAGCGCGTTCATCTCAGTCAGAACTGATTCTGATCTAGCTTCTTAATTGACAACGTAATCCTCAATATCTCGAATCGATGGAGAAAGGAGCGGGGCGAATCCGAATTGCGAAGTGCGGATTATGTTACTGAACCAAATGCAACCTCGTAATGCAGTGCGCGGTGTTACTGGACAGTCGATGGACTTTAAAAGATGTATCGCTAAATAATTTGTAAAGAGAGACCAGTAAAATTGTCACTGCAGATCTAATTTATATATCTCCCTCCACCTGAAATTATACCAGAAACGTACCTTCAAAAGTTTACCAGGAGGCCTTCTGCACGCCATTGAGTTCACCGCGGAGAGCATGCATCCGGAATTGGAACTGCGGAGGATATAAGCAAAATGCATCTTGGAAATAAACGTAACGACGCACTCTACACAATCCAAACTCGCTAATGATGCCCCGCCCCTTCCCAGAAACAATACACCTGTTCTTCACGGTCGTTGGACGCGTGTACCTCCCATACGTGTTGAGCTGAAGTTGTGCTTGATGCCGAACCTGCGGGGGGAGGGTTTCGTTCCGGGCAACGTACAGGTACGCACGCCTGGCAATTTCGTTGGCATAAACTCCTTGGCGGGCTTTTATGTCTCTCAAAACGCGAGCATTCGGCATGGCGGAAACTGGGCTGGTTGTGGAAATGTAATGTATGTAAAATCAGAATTGAAAGGGTGCTGCATAACACACACAAATACGGTGTAAACCGGTACAACAACCAAAATTCATACAACTGCTCTCGACAACGCCATGAAACTGCCAGTGGTATGTCCTTTTTCGTCCTTTTTTCAGTCGGAATTATACTTACAAGAAGTTTACAGACGTAGGATGTCCATATACAGAGCCCTTCGATTTACACGGCGACGTTTCGTCTCATCCCTTTTCAGCTTCACTTTCTTTGCAACCGTTATCACTGTCTCAGCGTCCAACATCCTTCCTTGTCCCGCTCGTCCTCAAAGGGGTCGTTTCGCTGATAGCGATGAAGAGAGGATGCCTGTAGCCGTCAGTGACGTAAATGTCACGAAGCGACCTAGGAGATGGATAGAAGAAAAACATCCGAATTAGGTATATTGGTACTACAAACGCTGTGCCCAAGATTCACTCAAATTCTGTAGATTTCCGGGTATATATATTTTAAAGATAATCGCACAAATACATTGGCTACTCGCTTTCATTAAGTGTCCGACCGTTCGCAGGTCTATCGTGACCAGGATCACTCTGATTCTGATAACGGCCGTCCTGCTCTTGACGCGTTCCCCTAAAGATCAATCAGTCGACAGAAACGAACAAAGGAATGACAACTTGCGGTAGTGGACTCTCCTGTATGGAAAGGCAAGCGATAAATCCCAGCACGTTAATTGCAGTTTGACAGATAAAGACGACGCGTAAGGCGTCCGCATAGGAATTAACGGCAATTCTGCGCAGCGTCGGGTTCAGCGTGGGTATGACCTGCGCTGTATGTCTTGCCAGAGAATTAGTATCGGCCCACCTAAATCACGCCACGCATACCGGATGGCATAGATAACCTGTAGGTTAAGAGTCAACTTCGTAACAGGAAAGCTGTTGCAGTAACACTCGCCTCCTCAGCGTCAGGTCCCCGTATTCGCTGTCTCAGCCGATGTAACAATACAGCTTGTAAGACTGCGCCAGAAAGACTAACGCCTAGGACTTGACCAGTGGTCCGGAAAAGATACGTAACTTCGGGGCTTCAATCCCTAAACAGCAGAAATGACGAGACGGAACTCACTTCCCGTGGCAACAGCCATGTCTTCTTTGTAAACGCCAGCAATCATAGCCTGAAACAGTATGTTAATATATTTAAGACCTCGAATATGAAATGGAGATCTCACTATCAGCGTAGTGGTGATGAAACTCGCCATGCCAAACCCTTGGGGGATGAGGTCTACCCACAGGTGAAAAGCAGAAGATTGCTCATTCCACAAACTTGCCAGTATGCTCGCAATGATAGTCAACATCGACGATATCAGCGTCAACCCATACAACTTTCCAGTTCTTCGCATGTACCTTACAAAACGTAAGGAAACGAGAAACGGCGACCGATGTAGTGCTCACCAGCCAGCAAAGACACTCCCAGTTGAAATGGCGATCTGTAAAACACAATGAGGCAAGCATGTTTGATCAAAAAGAAACTTACAGAGTGCGGTAACAAATGTAGACCTTTGAAGTTGTGTGCATTAACTCGTGTCTGTTATCTTGCAACAATTGCTTACCAGATGTGGCGGCCGATTCTAATCGTACAGCAGAGAAATACTGAAGAATGGTAAAATTATGGCCAACCCACAGGCGACAGGGACTCACCAATGGGGCATTGTACAGCTGCAATTCATTAAGTCACAGCACATATTTCTAGTGTTCCATAAGACTTGCCATTGAGAATGCTGTCATACTCGTGAGAAGGTTCGATAGTGAGACGGCAAGAGGAGTCCTTTGTGTCATTAATCTCAGAGGCATTACGGGGAATGGTGCCCAGTATTTCTCGACCATCACGAAGAAACAGCTTGAAATAAGGCTGGTGATAAGAAGTCCGAGGATCAAGGGGTCCGACCACTCATATTCCTCAGCGGTTTTCAAGTTGATTCCTAAAAGGAAACAACCGACAGCTGCCACAAGCGTCAGAGAACCCAGAAAATCCATGCGACAGAGTTTTTCTGAAAGTTTCTGATTTTGAACCTCGTCTGACAACTGGATGTTCACCTTGGTCGCAACCAGAACAATGCTGAAGAGAAGGACCGGAGCCTACCAAATGGAGTGTGATTAAATATTCCCATTCAGATGACGTCGGCACGGACCTGCATGTAAAACGCGCTTCGCCTGGCATGGGAATCGATTAAACCTGGCCACCCATAAATATGTTGACATACCAGCCAAATACGTCGCTCACCCAGCCTCCCAAGGGGCCACCTAGACCAGCTCCGAGACCATACAATCTGTCGGTAGGTGACTCTGCGCTTAAAGACTAGGAAAGAATCCCGCGTACATATTGGCCATTCCTTGATACAGCCCACGCTGTTTTCTTGGTCGGACAATCAGTATGTTATGCAGTAAGCGGAAGACATATCTCACAGAGGTATAAGATCTGTGACGGTGATGCTCGCGACTGGTGGCAGGGAATCAATTAAAGAGCAGACGCGTCAAGTTCACAACTGAGCACCTGTCATGACTCTAGTTTTGAAAGGGTTATTAATAAATGAACGGTTGGAGGCAAAGTCCTGTATCTCACCCTCCGCCACCCATTCCCGCTATTGCTCGTGCCGCAATGAGCGCATTCATTGAAGGGGCCACACCACACAATATAGTTCCAGTTCCTAAAATCATGCTGGTTTGCTGGGAAGATATATATATATAACTTCAAAGGTACCAAAGAGTGATAAAGCTAACAGCATAGCGCCCTTTCGACCAAGAATGTCAGAAAGGCGTCCTGAAGAAACAGTCAAATGATTGAAGTATTCTTAGACAGCTTCACTCACCATAGAGGGGCGTAAAACAACAAACAGATAACAAATAGGACGTCCCTATGTATGACGATTGATTTGACGCGTTGAATTCGCTTCCTATAGGCGTTAACAGTGTGGCAACGACGGTACCTGCGCAGATGTTGCATAGATGTTCACAACATGTTCAGCCGCGTAACGATGAACATACCATCAAATGCGCCCAAAAAGACTCCAGACCAAAGACCTGCTAGGATCCAGAAGATGTCAGCTCTGGAAAACTGGTTGATGGGAGGAGCGTTTTCGTTGTAATCCGTGGACGAAATACCGTCGTTGACGTCATCTACAGAACGGTATGAAGGAGGGGCCTCCTCAAGCAGAGAGCTTGTTTCTACAGAGGAGGGCCTACGCTCCACGGACATCGGATGGTATATTTGGGATCCGTGGGTGTCGTCAGCTTTATAAAAAATTGGGAGAAATTTCCCGTCCGCCGGTGACAAATGAAACGAAGTGAACGCTTGTTAATCCGCCTTAAAAACGGGGAGGGATTGATGTGCGGAGGTACAGGAACATGAGGTTTGGATATAGATATTGCGATTTCGCATCATGTAGCTGGCCTTTTCGTTGAAATGATAACTCTCAAGTGAATGTCATTTTCCGCATTCGTCGGTCTAAAAGCCGGCTTCCGGCAAGTCTCCGATACACTCGGCCTCTATAAGTCTTTAGTTAAAAAAAGAAATACTCGCTCGAAGCTGGTGCGGGCTTTACTAAACAAAGAAGTGTTACTGTAACCACTACTTTGTGAGCCTCAATCGATACTAATGTTGTGGGTGACTTCTGAATTTGCGTTTACTCCTTTTGCGACGTTGCGGCGTGCAGTAATAGCGCCGTATTGATCGACTGCAGTGATATATCCAGGTTGCCTCAATTCACGGCTGCTTACACTCTCGTTCTGCCATTGACCGGCTCTGTTCCTGACGTTGCACAGCCGGTAAGTAGTTCGATGGCACTCGCAATACACGCAAGGAACGGTCATATCAATATTTGGAACTGCAAACAGGAGGCGAGAACAAGTTGGGCGACCTGGGTCCAAGTCCTGGCATTAGAAAAGATTTATCTGAGAAGATATATGCGAGGAAACATTGACAACCCAACAGCCTCGTTAACGTCGCCTATTTCTTTGGTTCACGTGGTGTGCGTCCAGTGTTCATCAGATATTCAGTGCTTCGAGGATTACACCTGACAAGCTCGCAAATTAGGATAGAAGAGTCTACCCAGAATGGAGGTAAGAGGCCAAAAATACAGGCCACACTTCACCGCAGGGAGGCAAAGCCATGTATTTTGTGACAGAAAAGTTGTCGACCAAAGCGGTTTATCAGATGGAGACTTACCCACCTGCTCCAACCCGACCAGAAGGGGAAAAACTTTGGGTATTAGTGTCGCAATCGGATCTCCGTTTTAAGCCGATGTGCGTTGGGTGAACCGTTGAGATAAAGGTTTGTTGATGCCGACAAGGAGGGACTGAACCACTTGGGATTCACCCTAATAATCAGGCGCCCAGAGTACCGTGACCAATCACTGCTATTTCCATCAAAGCGTTTGCTTTGCTTTGCCCCTGTTGGACGGACGCGCCTTTGCAAAATGAAGGTAGAAGTAACTGGCGTGAACCATTAAATTACGGAGTCGCTGTACAAAAATAGAACAGAAAACCTTCACGTTTTGATCATTGGATCATCTTTACAGAAAGGCACGTGCACTCACCAACAAAAGTCGAGAGTTGCACAATGATGACGAGAGAGTTGCTTGGGTGAGTAGCAATAATCGTATTCAGTGAATGCAAGTCGAACAATACTTGGGCTTCCAGAGTGGCGCACTTTTAGAATATAGACAGCTGACGTTGATTTGACGTCCCAGCAACAGTTCGTAGAATCGACAAGTTGTCAGTGGGAGTCTGGCGCGATAACGGAAACAGGGATTCTGTTCCATAATCGACTCAATTGTAACAAAATTCATTTCTTTCTGTCGTGACGTGAAGGTTGTGAAGGAACAACGACATGCTCAAAGATGGGCGGCGGGTGAAAGAGGTAGCACAAGGAACGATTTCTTACATAATGACTGATTTTCTTTGAGACCTAACCCAAAATGGGACAGATAATTATGCAACTCTTCGTCCCTGATCCCGTCTACTCACCCATTTCTTCGCCGGTTTCGTCTTGCCCTTTCGTTCTGTCTGACAGCTCGTTGGTTGACATCACTCGCTCACCATGCAAATACCCGCTCTTCAACCCACACCAGATCCCCCTTCAAATAAGTCCAGTGACCAGGCAGACTCATCTCGCACTCATCCCTGGAAATCCGTCTTTCGCTTTCCAAATTCTTCATCCAAGAAAATTGCAATTAACGGCACCCCATTAGTTCTCGACACCCACACAGATCTCGTTTCTACCAGCAATGGCCACCCACACATACCAATTATTGCAAACTCGTCTTTGACACCCACGTCTTTCGTCTCTGAACAACGATCATCCTACAATTCATCAAACACGCAATCCAGTGACTCAAATGGAGGCATGGGGTCCAGAGGACTCTATAATACCCAACAGAACGGAACATATTCTCAACATCCACAGCTCGAGTCGAGTGACGCGCCCTCAGCCACCCCTTCTGCAAAATCCAGAACCTACACTAAATCTGAAAAGCAACGAATGAACCTGTCGCGGAATGCGAACTCTGCGAGAGTTGTGCCGCTCACTGCAAGCCCCTCACAGCCAGCGTTCCTCGCCCCGTCCACTCCATCGAGGTCACGGACAAACAGTCCTCTGACCCCGAAATCTGTGGGAGCTTCAGCTTCTCGTTTCATACGTCGAGTGGCTTCAGCGCCAAATGCCAAAGGCCTCTTCACGTTGGGGTCGCGTTCACCCGTGACGAAGAATGGGTTCCTTGCGCCTGCCGATGCAGTCCCTCCTCTGCCAGCTCTCGTGTCAAGCTCCTTGGAACAAGGCACGGACTCCCTCGATACCGTATCTTCAGGGTCCTCAAGAGGTCGAATGTCGAGACCAACGCCTCCTATGACGGCTGCTCCATCTATTAAGAATCGGTCAAGTAGTGGCATGGCTGAAGGGCCTGGTAAAGTTGCCTTTCGCAGGACTTATTCGAGCAACTCGATCAAAGTTCGGCAGGTACGATTACAAGCCTTTGGATGCTATTATGATTACTTATGGGTGATTGGTAGGTGGAAGTAGGACCATCTAGTTTTGTCAAGATCAAAATGCTCGGGAAAGGGGACGTGGGAAGGGTATATTTGGTTCGGGAGAAGAAGACTGACAAGCTTTACGCAATGAAAGGTAAGCGCATGGCTTTATGTCTTGCTTTCCCCTCTGTGGCGCTCAATGCTAATTGACTTGATTGATCCGCAGTGTTGTCGAAGAAAGAAATGATTGAGCGGAAAAAAATCAAGCGCGCCTTGACTGAGCAAGAAATTCTGGCCACAGCCAATCATCCCTTTATCGTGACTCTATACCACTCGTTTCAATCCGAAGGTTATCTTTATTTCTGCATGGAATACTGTATGGGAGGGGAGTTCTTCCGAGCGTTGCAAACGCGACCGGGAAAGTGCTTGCCTGAAGATGGTTCACGGTTCTATGCCGCGGAGGTGGTCGCGGCCCTCGAGTACCTACATCTAATGGGATTCATTTACCGCGATCTAAAGCCTGAGAGTAAGTAGCCAAATTTCCTTGGGGCTCAATATTTGCTATTAACCAGAACAAAAAGATATTCTTCTTCATCAGTCTGGGCACATAATGCTATCCGACTTTGACCTAGCCAAACAGTCGAACGAGCCAGGGGGTATGCCCGTCATGATTCATTCTGAACAGACCGGGGTAAGTCATGGGGCAGTTTGAACGCGTCGCGGTTTGCTGAATACCTAATGGCAGATACCCCTTGTGGACACGATGTCATGTACAGCTAATTTTCGAACGAATTCCTTTGTCGGGACAGAAGGTGGGAGGCACGACTGTTCGATCAGAACGATGGCTCATTAGACGGCGCACGGGTAGAGTACATTGCACCGGAAGTCATCGCTGCGCAAGGCCATACCGCTGCTGTGGATTGGTGGACACTCGGCATCCTCATTTATGAGATGATCGTACGTTTTTTTTCAACTCTATCACCATGCAGCAGGAAGAATTGACGTATTTGACGCTGTTTTTTGCCCCTGTTGGGTTTACTTTTTGCTTGCAGTACGCGACGACCCCTTTTAAAGGACAAGAACGTAATGACACCTTTGCTAATATCCGACTGTTGCCTGTACAATTTCGCGACACTCCCAAAATCTCATCGTGAGTGGCTATAGATGATGCGCGGACTTTGGATGGCCGCGTATCAAGTCTTTGTATGCTTATTTTGATGAAACCCCCCTTTTAGAGCTGCGAAAGATTGTGTCACGCGACTACTGGACAAGAATGAACGGGCGAGATTAGGAAGCAAGAGCGGAGCCAGTGAGGTCAAGCAGCATAAATGGTTTGCGAAAATTAACTGGGGATTGTTGCGGAATACCCGACCTCCGGTGAGTGTGATTCGAAGATGAAAGTGAAGATACTAAGACCCTGCAGATTGTACCCTCGTCATCGAAAGGCAAGGACGCAGTGAATTTCCGACAGCTGAAAGAGTCCAACTCGTTGCACCTGGAAGACCAGATTGTGGGTGTGAGTGAGGTTGGGGAAATTGCAGGGGAGGATCTATTTGGGGCGTTCTCGAGTGTCACGCTGCACTATGACGGAGATCAGTAATAGGCTCGCCGCATGAGTAGACGGTGGACCACGCTGGTGGACCACGTCGGTGGTATATACAAATCGGATTCTATAAATCGGGTTCTTTATAGAAAGTGTGGTGGTGTAAATGCGGATCCATTTTAGGTGATGAGATTAGATCTGATGAGAATCATGGGCCTCGGAGTCGGTTTGTTCACTATTTGGCACCTTATTATTGGCATGCCTTTCTGTTGCTTTCCTTGCTCTGCCATAAATGTCCTCCCGATCCTGACCTCTTCTTTCCTTTTACGTCCTCGGACCTCTTCCTTTCTCCACCGTCATTCTCCCAAATACTTAGCATCCACTACTCTCAACTTTCTTCTCTTATGGCCGATCTTTATCCTCCCTCTTACGCCTCTCGTTCCTCCTCCTCCTACAACCGCGACCATCCCTTATACCCACCCATGAACTCTGCCTCTAGCAACACTAGCTCCGATGACCATCCACCCAGCCCTCCAAAGTCTCCAAAGCCAGACCCAAAACCACAGGCTACATTCCTCACAAAACTCTACGCGTACATCTCAATTTTTTCTTTCTTTATCTCCTACTAATAATCCTATAGTCTCCTAGAGCGTCCTGAAAATCATCATATGATTCGTTGGGATCCTGCTGGTGAACACATTATCGTCGAGAGACCAGAGCAACTTGCCCTCCATGTCCTACCAAGCATATACCGTCAATCGAGATTCGCAAGCTTCTCCCGGCAACTAAATGTTCGTCTTCTCATGTTCTACCTTCCTTCTCTCTCCCCTAATGTATTTTAGATCTATGGTTTCATGCGCAAGGTTAACTTGCGGAACGTCGATCCCGCTATTGACGATCCCGACGCGAGTACTTGGTGTAAGTACACTATCCCATGCTCTTTTTCAACCGTGACTTTGACGACGACGACAACTAGCCCACCCAACCCTCAATCGCCACTCGCCGCCCGAGGTCGTGGCAAATTTCAAACGCCGCGTCCCACCGCGTCTTCCAAAACCCAGGAAACGCGACAACCAGGAGCCTCCCTCAATACCTCCTCCCCGCTCCGCGATCGGAATGGGCCCTGTCCCTCTCACAGTACCCTCAAACGTCGGCCCTTCTTCCCACCACAAACTCTCCGGAGGCTCGGTCGGTCGTGCCCGTGGTTTCTCAGCGCCTGGCTCTTTTACACCACTTAATCAGGGTGGCACCGCTGCGTGGGGCACAAGCTACCCTCGGTCCGCACTTCCTCCACTTACAGTCCCATCCGATCCTCCGCACATATCCCACAACACCATCTACAATCACTCCCATACCCTTCATCCCATTACTCCGACCGACGACTCTCCGGCCTCGGGTGGTTTTCATTCTATCGCATCTTACTCACATTCCAACAGAGACGTTTTGCACTCGCAGTATTCTTATCCGGAGCAAAATAATTGGTCTTCCTTCCAGGGTAGTACCAGCTCCTCTACCCACAATGGTAGTTTGTCGTCGCTGCTCAATCCAAGCAGCGGCTATTCGAGACCGGCCCCGACGATCAATACGTCGTACGGGTCGCCGTTTTCTTCTATGCCCATGCAAGGAGAGCATAGCGCGTCCTCGCTGTCCCCAGACAGTCGTCCGACAACCGGATATTCAATGTCCTCTGTCTCATCACTTCCATACCAGGATGAGCACAACATTCATCATGACTACTCCCGGCCTAACTCCAGTCACCACCGCCCAATCTCCCCATCACGCCCCCAATCATCCAAGTCCAATTACCCATCGGGATCTCTCAGTGTTCGCCGCGCCCGGCGGCATAGTCAAGCCATGAGCCCCTATCCGAGCCCCTACGACCACTCGGAGCCGCAGCGACCATCGACGTCGCCGCAGCCTGTAGATAATCACTCATCTTCAGGCCTTCCACGGGTGAGGAGTATGATCCAATTGCCCTCTGTGGACCCATATGGCTTTAATCCGTCCCACGCTGATTTTGCCTACTCCGCAATTCCGGGAGCGGTCGGTCACACGACGTCAATGGAGGGTATGCATGACGGCAACGGTTGGAATCACAGGAATGTTCGGCCATCGACGTCGACATCATCCATCTCCGCCGCTTCACATACATCGTCCTCGCAAGCAAATACCCCGCCTGTTCCCGAAAACTACAACGGGGAAACGGACATCAATCGTTGTAAGTATATTGGTTCCTTTTTTTTTTTTTTGAAGGAACCTAATTCGACCAGCAGTCTCCCCAGATTTTGGATTTGTTCCAATGAATGAGCACCTTCCTCACCATTATACCAAGGCAACGGGCGAAATTTGAAACAAAACAAAAAAAATCACGACGACAACTTTGTTGTCAAGGCCTTTCTTTCGTTTTTTTCTTTCTCTTTTTCATGATACCGGACTTTGCTTTCTTGCTCGTCGCTCGCTCTTTTGGAAGGATACATCAGGTCTTCGGTCTCAATCATTCTTGTTCAAATCTTGCACGTATCCGCGAGTTTCAGTGTTACTCCGCCCGCTCTGCTTTTGTATACCAGATGACCGTTTCACGTTTGAATCCAGTTAGTTTGCTGCCCCACACTTGTATCTATCAGTTTGAAATTAGACGCTGTACGCACGTGTCTGTACCCATATGGACGATCTTAGATTCGATCGATCGAAGTGTGCCATGCTTCGCAACAGACCTTCTGATTGCCTCCGCTTTTGGTTTTTGGTTTCCACAAAGTTGCCACGATCGATCTGCTTCTTATCTTGGCGTTACGAACGAATATTCCAAATTTACATCCAGGCGGAATTTGTATGCTGGCATATGGTCAAAGATATCTACAAGGATTAGAGAGGGAACAAAAAAAGTCCAAGTAAAGAGCGTTTGTAATGTATTATTGATCATCATGACCAGTGTTCGTTCGTCTCCGCCTCCAATGAAAGGTATGGGATAATTTGGTGGCTCCGGGACGGCAGTTCCGTCATTGGACGGGAAGGGTATGGGTGTGCAGATTCCAGATCACTGCCTGTCTGTGGGGCTAGGAAAGCTCTCGTTTCCTCGCTGTCATGGGTAATAACGGGGCCGTCGTCCAATTCGTCGTCGACAGCTCGTCGGGCAACAATTGAGAGGTAGACAAGGATAACGACGCAGAGTAGGATGCCGACGATGGTCCACATTCGAGCAACCATGTCTGCGCCGCCTTGATCCTCGTTTGAAGGTGCGGTATGATAGTCCTTGAAGGAATGGATGGATGCACCCACGCTAGTGTGAATGATGACTTTGAACAACGAGAGTGCCGTGCAGACAGTGTAGGTATGGAGTGTGAGGGTGGGTGANGNNTNNC